GGAGGGGGTTAGTAAGCACCTAGCCCCTCCTTGTGGCTGTTTTAGAATTAATGATGCCACACGCATACTGACTAATACTAAACCTAAAAACAGCTTTAGTTTTCTATTTCCCATCCCCCAGCTGTACAGTGAGCTAGGTAACACTCATGCCTATCTCACTTTGTGTGTGCTGCATCTGGAATATCATAAATACTTGATAAGTTTTTAAATTGTTAACTAATTTTCTGAATTCTGCTGTATTGTGTCTTTTGGACTTTTCTAGTATCTCAATTTTCCCCTTACTTTTCATGACCTGCTCGACCATCTGATTTGCTTTTATTCTTTGCTGTAGATACTTCTCTTTGTTTTTTGGAAACTGGCTCTTGTTGCTGCTTGGGGAGTGCTTGGGATAGGATGCAGGATGCTTATGCCTGCATCAGCATCTCCAGCTCCACCAGGACAGTGCCACATAACTACTTGGAGAACTGTTACATCACAGCTAAATGTGTTAGGGACCTGTTCTAGTTTGCTTTCTGTTGCTGTGATAAAACACTGAACAAAAGCAACTTAGGGAAGAAAGAGTTTATTTGGCTTATATTTTGTGATTGTAGTCTACCACTGAGGGAGGTCACAGCAGGAACCTGGAGCAAGGGGGGAAGCGAGACCATGGGGGAGCATGACTCACTGGCTTGCTCGCATGGCTTGCTCAGCTACTTTCTTATACACTCCAGGACCACCTGCCTAGGGGTGTCACTGTCTACAGTGGGTTAGGCCCTCCGACATCAACCGTTAATCAAGAAAATGCCCCCACAGACATGTTCACAAGCCAGTCTGATGGAGGCAGTTCCTCAGTTAAGTGTCACTCTTTCCAGGTGACTCTAGTTTGTATCAAGTTGATGAAAAATAACCAGAATGGTGGCCTTTCCAGTGCTGTTATTTGTAGTAATGTAATAAAGTCTGTGATTTTAATTGAAAACATAGCTACATAAATATTCTTTAGTTAAGAAAAAGGTATGACTGTGGATCTTTAGAGTTAAGATATAATATGTGTACATTTTATGTTTTAAGCATAAAATATTTACATAGCCATGTAGCTGTGAATGATAATGATTTTCATATCTATTATTAAAACTGTTTTTCTTTAAAAATATTTAGCTTTAGATAAACTTGATGTCTTAGTCAGTGTTCTATTGCTATGAAGAGACACCATGACCCAGGCAGCACTTATAAAAGAAAGCAGTTACCTGAGGGCTTGCTTACAGTTTCAGAGACCTACTGCATTGTCACCATGGCAGGGATCATGGTGACAGGCATATAACTGAGAACTACGGTCCACAGGCTGACACGTGGGATGGAAGGAGAGGCAGCTTTCCTCCTAATCCTTCTAATCCTTTCAAATGTTTCCACTCCCTGCATTCAAATGTATGAACCTTTGGAAGCCATTCTTACTCAAAGCACCACACTTTAATCTCCTCCTGTGAAGTCAGAGAAGTATGTGGTCTTGATGTATTTAATTCTTGAGTAACTATATCCTGTAAGTGAAACTGGACCAATCAAAATGGAATGTCAAGATTGTTCTGGGTGAAATGTCCACTAGGAAAATACTGAATGACTGGGCTGCCCATTTTGTTTAGTGCATTTCCGTGTGAATGGCTCATAGCTAATGATATCAAGATGGTGCTGATGCTGTCCCTGGGCACTGAGGGATGTGCTTGTGCACAGGGAGGTTCTGGCAGTCCCCGCCTCTGCCCGTTCCCCATTAGCCTTTGACTCCATGCCAGTGGACATGCAGCTTCAACCAGAGCACAGTGGTACACAGTGGCACAGAGTCCCATTGCTACTTGCACTGCAAGATAAGTCTCCCTGCTGTGAGAGGGGTCTCAGTTTCATTTCTGTTGCTGTGGTGAAAGTCCCTGACAGAAAGTCCCTGGGGAGACGGGGTTTGTTAACAGTTCTTGGCCAGTCCACTATGGCGGGGAAGTCAAGAAGCCACTTGAAGCAGCCAGTCACACCCACATCAGGAGCAGAGAGAGAACGTCTGCCTACTGTGCTCTCCTGCTCTCTATACACACACAGTCCAGGATCAGTTATCACAAAACAGACCCCACAGGCCAGCAGGTCTAGAATTTCTAGATCCTTCTCAAGTGATTGTAGATTGTGTCAAATTGCCAATTAAAAATAGCCACCACAAAGCTGGGCGTTGGTGACACACGCCTTTAATCCCAGCACTCCGGATGCAGAGGCAGGCGGATCTCTGTGAGTTTGAGCCAACCTGGTCTACAAAGCAAGTTCCAGGACAGCCTCCAAAGCCACAGAAAACCCTGTCTCGAAAAACCAAAAAAAAAAAAAAATGTCCTTTGGGTACAGAATTCTTACCAAGGTAACATGGATTCATTTAAACTGTACACACCACACACACACACTCCACATCCATCTCACCCACACATACCCACTACCCCCCCATACCACTATTTCCTTTGGCTGTGTCACAGATCCTTAGTATTATTTATCCTCCCTCCCTCCCTCCCTCCCTCTCTCCCTCCCTCCCTCCCTCCCTCGTTTCCTTCCCTTATGCCTCCCCAGGCAGGTTGTCCCCTCAGCCCATTTTTCCTATTTCCCCTCCATGGTACCCCTCTCTAAAGCTCCCGCCCCTTTACTTCCCTGGTTTCCATGGCTACTCCAGATGATATACTCACATATGAAGACTGGAGGTAGGATCTAGAGATAAGCATTTGTCTTCCTGGGCATGTGCCAAGGAGTGAGTGGTATAGCCTGGTCATATGATAGATCTGATTTTAGCTTTTTGAGAATTTTCCACATTGACTTTCATAGTGGCTGTACCAGTTTGCAGTTCTACTAACAAAGAACTATAGTTCTTCTTTCCCTACATCCTCACTAACATTTATTGTCATCTGTTCTCTCTCTATATTTCTCACTCATTTTGTTTTTCAAGACAGAGTTTCTCTGTGTAGCAGCTCTGGCTGTCCTGGAACTCTGCAGACCAGGCTGGCCTTGAAATCACAGAAATTCACCTACCTCTGCCTCCAAAGTGCTGGGAATGAGTAAGGTAAAATGAAATCTCAAAGTGATTAAATTTGCATTTTCCTAATTGCTAAGGATCTTGAACACATTCTGAGGTATTTCTTAGTGATTTTAATTCCTTTGGAGAACTCTGTTCGAATCTCTGGCTCGGTTTTTAATTGGGTCATTTATTTTCTTGACTGTTTAGTAAGTTTTGTATATTTTGGGTATTAATCCTTTGTTGGAGGAATAGCTGTCACAGATTCTCTACTCTGTGGCTTCCTCCTCACTTGACTGACTCTTTCCTTTGCTGTATAGAATGTGTAGTTTGGTGAGGCCCCATCTGCCATTCTTGGCCTTAATACCTAGGCAAATGGAGTCCCTTTGAGAGAGTCTGCTTCACCGATGTCCTGTAGGGTCCTGCCTGCATTGCCTTACAGCAGCATGAGGTCTTGGATGCATGTGGGTTGATTTTGTACACTGTGATAGAAATGGCCCCAATTTCTATGTTTGGCAAGTAGACATCCATTAATCTGAGGAGTTGAGGGTCATAAGAGGAGTCAGAGAGAAGGAAAATGATAACTACAGCATTCACATATGAAATTCTCAATAAAGAAATAAAGAAAACAAAATCTAGCCCTCACAGAAGGAAAACTTAAAAGCAGAAAACCTAAAACGAGACTTTTACACACTTGGCAGTTGAAGCAGCACAGACTCTATGTTCTTGAACCTTCTCTGCTTTCATTCATATCCTCTCTATCTTCCTGTCCTGAATGTTAGCTGTTGGATGTTTGCACCAAAGGATGTTTCTCTACTGGCTTTGTAGTCCACTAATCCTGACTACGCCATAGATGACAAGTAGGAGGCAGGAACTGTGGTCAGCTCCCCACTGCCCTTACTTTGCAATAACCCTTCACATTGGATATTTAAAGTCGGTTACCAAAAATAGACAGAGGCAGCTGCTGTTTGAGTCTCTGTCCCGAGGAGAGATGCATCTTTAGTTATACTGCCCAGTAAACTGAGTACAGAGATGCACAATCTAGTTTATCTTATATGGTGTAGGTCAGTTGACTTATAGGTTCGGTTTCTGTGTCAGATTCACTGTAAACTCACTCCAGAATGCACGGCGGCTTATCTTAGACTTGGTTTATGCATTTTTAGTATCCATCTCTGCTAGAAGCATCTTTATAAATTTACTGGTATTCTGAGAAAAGTATATGGTTAGGGACTTTCACTAAATTGGGCAACTGCAATACATCTTTTTGTAATAAATGTATGTGATGCAATTATAATAAAAATGTATGTGATGCAACTCAAACTCCAGGGAATAAGAAATTACTTAAAAAGCATTATATTTTACTGTATTTTTACTACTGGTCTGAGAAATTTCAAGTTATTCTTTGTCATTTCAAGTTATTCATACCACTTGCATTTCCATGGAACTGTATGACTTGAGGGCCAGGAGCATCTAAATATTTCTTTTAATCCTGTGATCCTCGGAGAAGGAACAAAACCTCTGTCTCCATTTGTGAAGTGGAGATGATGAGGGATAACTACATCAAGGGTATTGGGAGGAGAGAGTTAATACTTGTCAGAGCTTAAATGGGATGCTATATAGACATTGAACGCATTCTGTGCGTACTCAATAGCTATGCCGAAGATTAAGCCTGGGGCTCCAGCACATGCTAGGCAAACACTCTACCGCTGATCTACCAGTCCACTCTTGATACATTGATGACTTAAGATGTTTTCCAGCTTCCATATTAGCAAAGGAATAGTTCATCTAATTAATGTAGGAGATACTGAACTTTTTTCCTGTGGAATACATCTGGCACGTCAGAGATTTCAGAATCGACCCTTCAGGAAACTATTTAAAATGCTTACTGTTAAGTGGGAGAGGAGGCGTTGAGTGCTGGCTGAAATATGCTTGGGTGGGGGTCGCATTCAGGGGATCCCTTCCTCATACAGAGTCACACAGAATGTCTTTTGTCTTTGAACAGGTTTCTGCATGTTTGTACTGAGCTTGGTGAAGAAACACTACCGCCTGCAGTTTTATATGGTGCGTATCGATAGTTTCCCATAGACGTGCTCATCTTTTTCCTGTCCTTGAAGAAGGGACAGTCAGATTAGCCACTTAATGTCTTGCCTGAGCCCGAAGAATGCTTTAATTTTTTAGGGTTCATGAGATACAAAATGTTGTAGTTGAAAAGGTTTTTATATTTAAAACGTATACCCGTTCCTAAGATAGTCCTGAAACATTTTAAAGTATTTTCAAAGAAAAAACTGTAAATGATGTGTTTGACTTCCCTAATTGTGGGAATTCTGTCTCAGGGATAGTTGCTGAAGCCTAACAAGCCTGTGCCATGTGGTTTTGTTGAAACTGACCTTGGACACCAGCTGTTGGCATCAGCGCAATGTAGAGCATGTGCTTCTGTGGTCGTTATGGTCAGTCATAGGTCATTGTTACCCTCAGATAATCTTGTGCAGTGGAGAGAAGCAGTCTATGCTTTCGGAGACCCATTACTTTACACAGTGAACTTCTCATTTTCCTAAAGCGGAGCGACTTATGAGTCTAACGTATAATGCAGTTCTGAGAGAAACAAACTCAGGGTCAGCAAGGCTTATTTCACATTGGATCATACTACCCATTTGGGCATTTCTTTTAAGAAAACATTCTATAAATTGTCATTGCTAAGAAATTTGTAGTATTTCCTACATTTCTAATTTCAGGTGATCCTAGAGTAAAAATCTTAATGTAATCTAAGAACATCAAGACCAATAGGAAGTAATCAAATCTGTAAGGAACGTGGTTCTAGGATCCTTGTGAATAACAAGCTCTGTGCACGCTGGGGGACCTTTGTTTCTCTGTGGCCCTCTTGTATCCTCCTGTGCTCTTTAAATCATTTAGTTAATTTACAAGACTTAACATAATCAAATCTTATGTAAGTAGTTGTTGCTTGGGGAATAATGACAAGAAAAAATATGTCTGTGTAGCTCGATCCACGGATCTACAGGTCCTGAAATTGTGGGTATAGGACTTACTGGATACAGAGGACCAGCTATAGAATATAGTAGGGTCAGTTGCCTATTGAAAAAAGTGTATATTTTAAAGCAGCCAGTATAAAGTATTTGTTTCCTTTAATGTAAGAATAGAGGAAAACAACCAATATAAAATACCATGTTGAGATGAGAAATAATGTTTAGGAGTAAATAAAATCTGAATTAGTTGAAAATCACTTCATAATTGCTAATCAAATTCATAAGATGAGAACATCAAATGACTGCTCTTGGTTCACATTCCGCCCCTAGTAATTGTGCTAAAAGTCATGAAAACAGCCATCCCTCAGGATGAGGGGCAAGGGAGGAGGCGAGGGAGTGATGGGTGGGGCAAACAGCACAGAGCTTTCAAATTTTGAGATTGTACAACGTTGTTGAACAGGCCTAGAGAGATCAGCTTTCAGCATGAAAAGATGAAAGTAGACAGTTGAATCCCCAGTTTCAAACATTCAGAGTTAGAATAACTCTTTGCAGGGGAAGTTGTCAGGGAACCCAGGAAAGCAAGGAGCTAACTGTTAACTCCTCAGCAATTTAAATGGAGTGACCCAAGGTGCTTTATTTCTCTGTGTTTTTAAAAACTTCACAGTATGTCTCACTGGCATTAACATTCCCTTTATACGTTACAACTATTTTGCTAAGCATTTCCATTATTTTGGGGTTTTAGTAGACAATGTGAAGAGTGTAATTTACTAACTGCACTGTTTTGTTTGTATGACCTTATCTTACAAATTTTGATCAGAAGTCATGGCAGAAAATTTGTGTTTCAAAATTGCTCTTGCTAATTGGCTGTCTGATGAGCTGTGTTTGCTAATTTTTGTGTTGTTGGGCTATTAACAGTTCGCATGGACCCATGTCACTTTACTGATAACCGTTACTCAGTCACATCTTGTCATCCAAAATCTGTTTGAAGGCATGATATGGTAAGGGATTATGTTGTGTTATGCTGCGTTCTATTTTTATGTTTTGCCCTTTAAACCCCCTAACACCAAGCAGTAGCTTTCCAGTTTCCACTGCAACATGGAAACCACTTATAAATCCCATTAAAATTACTGAGTTTTACTTACTGTTTGACAACTGAGCACAAAATACTCCATTGATGACTAGAAAGCTTTCTTTTAGCTCCCAGCAAAATGCAGAAAGCCTTCCTGAAGACCCAGTTCCATTTTCAGATGTTAATAAACCCCAGTGTTACTTTTTAAAAACCAAAGGTTAGATGTTATTTACATGAAAGGCAAGGAGTATGGGAAAGTTGGCTTTCAGTAAGTGGGTTGGAGAAATGTCACCTTTCCCACTTCTGGGAAGGAGCAAGCTGCTAGACTGTGTGTGTGCAGAGCTGTGCACTCCACCGCACTGGAGTTTGCAGATTCAGACAGCGTTTTTCTTAATTAAAAGTAATCCAAATGAAAAATTAGAAATGACCTGGAGTGGAGGCTTAATGAGGGTCTCTGCATATTCATATAGACGATGAAAGTGAGGCTTCTCCCTCCCCCTCCAGCTAGAGTCACCAACTAGAATCTTTTATAACTAACTGGAGTTTTGCCAGCTTACCAAAATGTGCATGTGTTTATGTAAACAGTCTAGTTTAGGGATGGATGTCATATAAAACCTTTTAATTGAGGGAGAAATGTGGCTTATATTAATTGCTTCTGCAAAGTTATCAGAGTTTGACACAGTCATAGAATTAAAATTAATAATTTTCCTGGAAGAGAATTTGCATTAAGAGCTTGGTGTATACTTGTCACTTCAGTCTCTGGTTGCACAAGTGACTTGTTTGGCATTTCACAAGGCTGCTCTTCCTAAAAGAAATGATGGGTTTTTTTTTTTGCAAGTTGTTCCTTAAAAAATTAAGTTCTAAATATTTGTAACTATAATGGTTTCCTTAGCAGCGTTCTAAGTGTCTTAATTAGTGATAGGTTTTGTTGCACCTCCTGGCTGAGAAGTGAGTGTGTGTGATATTTCCTGCTTCTCCCAGACCTTGCCATGTGCTGTGCCCTGCCCTGTCCACTCTGATATAAGGGGCTGTCACGTGGGTTCATTCTGAGCTGTAAACTGGATAAGTGTTTGCTCCTTAACCGGAAGACTTTTCTCTGCTAATGTTTTAAAGGTTCCTTGTTCCAATATCAAGTGTCATCTGCAATGACATCACTGCTTACCTTTTCGGATTCTTTTTTGGAAGAACTCCCTTAATTAAGGTAATAGGAAATGTTAGGAGGAAGCCCTTCCCATAGGCTGAAAGCTGGGCCACAGATTTCCAGGGCACCTTGACATCAACCTTTTGCTTCTCTTGCACACATTTGATTTCCTGGGCACCTTGATGTTTCCGAGCAGCAGCTTGCCACACTGCAGGCAGTGAGCTACCCTCTCGTGAGTCCCCTCTGAGTTTACTGTCATGTATTCACTCGGGGCCTCTGTGGGAGCCTGGCTCTGTTTCCCTCTGCTGACTTTTCCTCCCCTGACCACTGATTGGTTCTTTATTCCACTCCCAGCATTCCCAGAGCTAGCTATGCTGTCCTTTACTAAACTTCCTAAGAGAGCGAAGCACATGTCTCTATGTACTGCCATTCAAAGACTTCCAAATTCATTTAAATAACTCTGGAGTCTAAAGCCAACGGTGAGACGTGAGGGGGGGGAAGCACATGTCAACTGCCCAGCCATTTTTGCCTCAGATTTGGTTCTGTTTATGGATGGTGGAGGTGAGGACATGAATTACATTACTCAGATCTCTAGGGGCTGGTTTTGAATACCTTTCAAGTGATTTCAACAAAGAGGATTGTTTGTGTGATACACCCTGGAGATTGGGCAATGTGATTCAGTGAGTCGTCAGCGGACACTTTAGAGTTTGAGTCCACTCGATGGCACTCATACAGACAAGGGATTATCCCAGGAGAGGCGCATTGTTTCCCTCTCTGTAGCAAAACTGTCACCAGATTTGTTAAGAAACTGTTGCTGCCCAGCTAGTTTAGCTTTATACTTTCTCATCTTGAAGATGAGACGCCTACAAGGAGGTCAGGCATCTAGGCTGTGACCCATCCCTTCCCCCTGAGAGTTAGCTCTGAGAGTATATGACATCCCACTTGTCATATTCATTTTGATTTTTGCCTTCCATGGCAGCTTCGTCAGTTAGGACCACACACAACTCCTGAGGTTTCTCTCCTGTCCCTTACACCATCAAGTTCCAGACTTACCTCCAGATTTTTCTCTCTGAATGTCTCATTGACTGGGAAATAATAGCCAGACTGTGAAACATACCCAGTGTCTATTCTCAGAAACACAATATGTTCCTTGTGTCTAAAGGTAGACATAGATATGGGGGTGGGTGCATAATTTGAGGCTGCTAAATATTCCATTTCAGAAGGAAATCTTGCATGTCTTCCATATTAGGACTGAGCAGAACACAATAGTGCAAATTTGTAATCTCAGCACTCGAGAGGCTGAGGCAGGAGGGTTTCGAGTTCTAGACCAGGATGGACTTCACAATGGGACCCTATCTTCCTAGCCAACCTGACAAAAAATAGACAACCTGAGTGTCAGGTGTCTGTGTCTTGTTGTATCCTTTCTGTTCTCTGGTCAGTAACAGCTCAGCACTGCCATGTCTACGTGGGATGACCAGCAATCTCATTGCAAGAGAAGCATGCAAGTCATGAGAAAACAAATTCAATATTAAATTTATAGCTCTTTGAAAGAAAAAAAAGAACATGAGGGACTACTTAACAGAGATGAATAGATATCACAACACATCACACATGTTTGAGGGGTTGCATCACACGTTTGAAGGGCTATATCACATGTTTGAGGGGCTGCTCTGCATTAGATGCTTCTCAAGACATGTGCTGAGGTCATTCATGACCATGCCGTGAACAACTGGAGTTTTAACCCATTCAAATAAGAGAAAAGGAAAGAGATGTACAGGTTATTTGGGGGAACTCAATGAGGCACTTCCATTCCCTGGTTTTGTACATGCACTAACTCTTCATCTTATCTGACTTCTTTAGCTGTCTCCTAAGAAGACCTGGGAAGGATTCATTGGCGGTTTCTTCTCCACAGTCATATTTGGATTCATTGTGAGTTTTACTGGGATTTTACTTTTATTTATACTATGAAAATGCATGTTAAATTTTAGCCTTTTCTAAGCCTACAAAACCACAAAATGCTAGTGATATCTTTTATTAAAACTTAGTAAATAGGCACCGATAGTTAGTCACTCTCTGTGTTTTGATTAGTGTGGATTCTGTGATGGTCTCCACCTGCTGCAGAAAGAACTGTGTTTGGTGAGAAGTGAGAGCCACACTTTCCTGTAGATATAAGACAAACTGCCTATCCCCACCAATACATCTGTAGCTTAACCCCTAAGACTCACAGAACATCTCCAAAGAGAGGGAGGAAACATAGTTAGAGCCAGAGGACCAAGATGTCTGCTAAAGATGGGTCTTCCATATTTGCCAGGGAGCTACACCCACAAAATCTTAACAGTGATCTTCTAAACAAGACCTGCATAGTGACAACACATACAGGGGAAATCTCACAAGGCCTTACCTGGATGAAGAGGGACAGGATATTAATGACTGCTAAAAGATGGAGCATCAGTCTTCTTGAGAGAGATACTTACAAATCATCTAATCCCAAGTGATCAGCCTTAAACACGTATACATATGATCAGGCTGTGTTTATATGTGTGTGTGTAGGTGAGTGTATAAAACAGTAATAATTGAAGAAGATGAGGCTATGAGTTTGAGAAGTGATCATGGGGGCACAAGAGGAGTTGGAGAAGGGAGCAGGAGGCCTGGAAGTGATTTAAATATAGAACTCACATATGAAATACTTCAGACAAACAAACAGAAAACCCCAACCTACTAAGTATAACCAACTTGGAACACCAGTACCTGTTACTCAGGTTGCAGAACAGGTCACGTGGGAGCTTAAATTCTGTGTCCCAGAAGGATCCAGGGTGCTGGACTTTCTCAGGTGATTCCAGAGTATAGCCACGCTGGAGATCCACATGGTGCTGGAGAGTGCAGCCACACTGGGGGGTCACATGGTGCTGGAGAGTGCAGCCATGTTGGAGATCCATGCGGTGTCCTTTGTTTTGGTGCTTTCTGAAGGCTGCACTGCTTGTTTAGGAGGGTACAGATGCTGGGACAGGTGACCCCTTAGTACTAGCAGAATGCAGATGGTGTTCAGGTCTGTCTCCTGACACATGGTAGCCACTGGATCAATGAGTACTTCCTGCTGTGAGCTCAGCATATTCACGTTTAAATATTAGCCCATGGTTGTAGGGTTTGGGGCAGTGTTATATTTGGCTTTGGTGCTTGAGATCGAACCCAGGACCTTGAGCATGCTGAGCAAACACGCACCACTGAGCCTCATCCCTAGCCCTAGAGCTTAGGTTTGATTAAAGATACCTAGTGGCAGCACTTGGATGGCAGAGGCAAGCAGATCTCTGTGAGTTCAAAGCCAGCCTGGTCTACATAGTGAGTTCCAGGACAGTCAGAGCCATACAGTAGGACTGTCTCAATGTCCCTCCTCAAATAATAATAAAATTACTATAATAAAAGGTATCAATAAGGGGTCTATAAATGACTAGAGAAAAGAAATATACACAAAATTACTCTTAGGGAACTCAAAAATTTAAGTCCGTAATAATAACACAAAGCTTTGAGAGAGTAAATATGTAAATAAGTGTGGCATTGTCCTTTGTGGGGAGACTACCCCACTATTTAGTTTATAAACATAATTCTGAATGAAAATTCTAGTAGAATTTGGGAAAAAAAGCAAGTTCTGAGGTAGAATGTTAGTAATCATTGATACATATGGAGGATCCAGTCCTACTTAAGGTTGACATGTCAAAAATAAAACACCAAGTTAAGTAATACTATAAGAGCTTATTATTTAGAAATTCCATGTGGAAAGCCCCATCATTGGAAATGTAACATACAACCAGATAAGAAACAGGCTCATTTGGAAGCAAAAGCAGTTGGAATCTATTCCTAGTAGCATATTTGAATTTCTGCTGTTCTTGAGCAAAACAATGGAGTGAGTGCCTGGAAGAGAAATGGAACCAAATGTACAAGATATTTTACTGTATCTCCCATTCCCATGGCTGAAGATGGCTAATTTTAAAGACTGCAATGGTGAACAGCTGAGTCAGGCAGCCTGGCTGGTAAGAGACGAAGTACCTTTCCCTTGCATTGTTGTGTACTGTTTGCTTAGTGGTTTTTGTATCAGCTGATGAAATTAACACAAGTCTATGTGCAATAAGGCCCCCTGCACAGCCCATATCTTTATAATCCACTCCCCCACCGTGTCTTTTTAGGCCCTGCTTAAGAGTAACTATGTAGACTTTAAAAAGTAAGGCCTTGGGCCGGAGAGATGGCTCCGTAGGTAAAGGCACTTTCTGTGCAAATCCTGGGGCCCCGAGTTTTATCCCCATAGTCCACATAAAAGGAGAAGGAGAAAACTGACTCCACAGAGCAGTCCCCTGGCATGCACACACATACCATGTATACGTACTTAGAATAGTAATAAGATAACATTTAAAAGTAAGATCTCCCATGAGGCTCTTTCAAGACCACATTAGCCCTGCCCCTTGTGAGTTTGTATGGAGATCTCACTGCTTTCAAAAATTCTTCTGTTCTCTGAAGATTTTTCAGGGTTTCTCCTGGGACCCTCCTGACCTAACTGTGTGAACACAGAGCCAAATGCCAATGCAAAGACACTTGGCACCTGGCTCTGTCCTGTGACTCTCAGCTCCCTTTTACTGGGGCCGTATCTCATGATTTCTTGCTTTGTTCCTTAGGCCGCTTATATGTTGTCCAAATACCAGTACTTTGTATGTCCAGTGGAATACAGAAGCGATGTCAACTCTTTCGTGACAGAATGTGAGCCCTCAGAACTGTTCCGGCTCCAGAGTTATTCCCTCCCTCCATTCCTAAAGGCGGTGCTGAGACGGGTGAGAGCTAGTGGCTAGCAGATTGGAGATCCATCATTCCCAGCTGAGCTTCCCTAGAAAGTTGTGTTCTTCCCTTACAAGATGTAGATGGCGTCATCTTAGACATCAAATGGGTACTCACATTTCCAAGCATATGTTTGTACACTGGGAATTTATTTGCATAATGATTTAATTACTGATAGTAATTTACTTCATGTTTTTAAAAGTATTTTAAAATATAAATAAAAGTTAAAAATAATTAAGAAATTTTTTTACAAAAAAATGAGTACAGGTTATTGATATGATTTGAATAAGTATAAAACTTAATTAGATTCATCAGTTGAAAAAGTCCTTGATTCTTTAGGGGTCACTATTAATATAAAAATCTTCTAAAAATGAGTCCTGACATTGCCACCAATCATCTGAGATATCATCCCTCAGTATGCTCTGCGGTAGACAGTTCCTGTCTGTTGTCGCATCATTAAAGTGGGAAAAAGTGGGCTGGTTAGTTTTTATGTGGGAAGAGGGAACCTCAACTTAAGTCAGAATGTCCTGTGGGCTTGTCTCTGGGGCATTTTCTTAATTGCTGATAGATGGAGGAGAGTCAAGCCCACTGTGGCCGGTGCTGTCCCTAGGCAGGTTGGCCTGAGCTGTATAAGGAAAGTAGCTGGGCCAGCCAGGCAAAGCAAGCCAGCAAGCACGTTCTCTCCAGGTTCCTGCCTTGGCCTGACTTGGTGAGGGCCTACAAACTGTGAGCCAAATAACCCCTCCTTCAATGCAGCAGAAGGCAAGCAAGGACACACAGCGACTGTGTGTGCACGTGTGTGTGCATTGTACTTCAAACTCACACCCGCAGTTTTTAGAAATAAGTTAATCTAGAAGTAATGAATGCTCAATATTTGGTTTTAAACACTTTTTCAATACCCACGCTTCCTGTTCCATGTTATAAAACTTCAGCTGGTACCAGTCTAAAGTTTGGAGCAATGTTGTTCTGTGAGAACAGAGCCAAAACTTTGTGGGCTGCACATCTTTCCAGGACCACATTCATCATGTGCTGCTTTTGGTTCATAGTTACTTAAGGCGGAAAAGAGCCATATACTTAAAAGGAGAAAATTCTGTTCAGATGATTTCTCTAAATCTTCTGTCATCATTTTGTTCATGTTCATTTTAACATGTTTCGTTTTGTTTGAGACAGGGCTTTACCATGTAGTCCAGGCTGGCCTTCAGCTCAAGATATTCCTGTGTCGTCTTACAGAGTACATGCCACTACCTCTTAACAGTATTTTAAGATACTTATTTCTGAGTTGGGGAGTGGTGGAACACACCTTTAATCCCAGTACCCGAGGTCAGCTTCGTCTGCAGAGCAAGTTCCAGGACAGCCAAGGTTACACAGAGAAACCCTGTCTTGAAAAACCAGTTTTTTTTAAAAGAAAGAAAAAGAAAAGAATTTTTTCCGTGTGTTTCCATAGCTTTCAACTTAGTTTTTGTGACAAAGACAACTTTTTGCTATTTCATTGTTTAAAATTAGTGTTATAAAATATAAAATTAAAATAAATCCTATGATTATAAGAAAAAAGTACTGTGGTCAAAAGAGCAAGCGTAGAGTAAACTAAAGTGTAATCTCCCACACAGCTGTTTCCCAAGCCCTGGCTGAGCTGGAATTCTACAGCGAGGCTATGGGTGCTGGACAGGGAGTTGGCACAGGGCATGGAGACTGTCGATGATGACATTTTTCTCTCAGGGTCTTTAAAGCTTGAGAAGTTAACAAAAATGTGGCTTGTTTTAACCTTCTATGTCTGCCACGGTTCCCGGGTTACATGGCACGAATAAGTACAGTGTTAATGCAGCTGGTCCTCTCCACTTTTTCCTCCTTAGGAAACAGTGAGCTTGTATCCCTTCCAGATACATAGCATTGCGCTCTCAACATTTGCATCGTTGATTGGCCCATTTGGAGGCTTCTTTGCCAGTGGATTCAAAAGAGCTTTTAAAATCAAGGTGTGTTTTTATATTCTCTACTACTTTGTTAGTGTACGGAGTTGGGAGCTATATTGCCACTGGGATGTGGTCCACAACTGGCCACACTAAGCCTGTGGAAACCAGACCATCCCTGAAATCTGTCTCAGCCTCACAGCCATGCTACCTGCCTGGTTTGAGTGTATCCTTTTTTTTTTTTTTTTTGGTAGGTTTGGCCATGCCATATTCATTCCTTTTGGAGTGTCTTAGCCTCTTCTGGAGATGGAATGTCACCTCAGAGCTGGGGTAGCTTCAAGACTTTAGGAACCTGGCCATGCATTATCTGCAGCTCAGCATTGCCCAGTCTCAGTTGGGTTTATCAGGCACTGTCATGTCAGGCTTCGAAGAACATTCTTCCAAGTACACAGCAGTCCATGGGTTAACTTGTGGTCTCTGGGTTCAGACATTGAGTACATCTGCACAAATCTCACCCCTAGCCTGCTCTCAGGTTGTTTCCTGGACAAACATGTTGTCAGTGAGCCAGCTGCTATGTTCTTTTTCCCTCAGTGCAGAAAGAAGATTGTTTATCATTGGACTGTTTGGATAAACACAAGTTAGAAATGCTTGTGCATCCGTGGCACACCAAGGCAGCTCCCACACAGCTTCTGCCATGCAGGGGCATAGGCAGTTACAAATTAGACCTTTTGATTTATGAAAATTACATCAATGAGAAAGAGTGCTAGACTTCATTAATATTTAGTGTTATTTCAATTCTGTGTTCCAATTTGGAAATCATTAAACAGTGAGTGGATATTTGAAAAATAACATTTTTGCCTGTTGGTTATATTCTCATTTATTTATATGTGTTAGAAAAAATAGTAAATTTGTTTTCCTTATAAAGGCTATAATACTGAAAAGACATTTACATGTCAGAATTTGATACAGGTGATATTTTTGCGCATTTGTTTGTTTCTGCAGGATTTTGCAAACACCATTCCTGGACATGGCGGGATAATGGACAGATTTGATTGTCAGTATTTGATGGCAACGTTTGTGCATGTGTACATCACAAGTTTTATAAGGTACTTTTATATTAAAAACAAACCCCAAAACTCATCATTATATTATTCTTTTGAGTTCTCAATTCTTGAATTGATGGTAGTTTATATTGTCAAGTTAAATGGAATTGTAGCTCTAAGTAGCAGGATCCAATCTTCATTGTTTTGAATACATTTGAGCAACTCAGAGGTAGTATACACCATGTTTGTTAGCAGGACCCAATTAAAAGACCCAGTTAATGTGACTCGTGCTAGGTTCAAGATACAAACATCACATTTCTTAACTGTGGGCCTTGCACCGAATGCTGTGAAGGAAGATGAGAGTTCATTCTGCCCAGTTATTGCCTGAGTGTCTGTGACATGTCACAGAGTGCTCTAGGTACAAATATAGCACAGAATAAAGCAAAGCAACCCCTCACTCCCACCCCCATCCTCAGAAGTTCTTGCTAAGCTATCAGAGTATCTGAAGTGAGTGCTTCTCAGTTTCAGGAGGTCCCATTTATTAATTGTTGATCTCAGTGTCTGTAATACTGGTGTTATGTTCAGGAAGCAGTCTCCTGTATCAATTCATTCAAGGGTACTTCCCACTTTCTCTTCTAAGAGGTTCAGTGTGGCTGGATTTATGTTGAGGTCTTTGATCCTTTTGGACTTAAGTTTTGTGCATGACGATAGACATGGATCTATCTTCAGTCTTCTACATGCCAATATCCAGTTATGCCAGCACCATTTGTTGAAGATGCTTTCTTTTTTCCATTGTATAATTTTAGCTTCTTTGTAAAAAATCAGCTGTTCATAGGAATATGGGTTAATACTAGGGTTTTCAATTTGATTCCATTGGTCTACCTGTCTATTTTTGTGCCAATAACGAACTGTTTTCAGGACTATAGCTCTCTAACAGAGCTTGTAGTCAGGGATGGTGATGCCTCTAGAAGTTCCTTTATTGTACAGGGTTGTTTTGGCTATCCTGGGTCTTTTGTTTTTCCATGTAAAGTAGAGTATTAGTTTTTCAAGGTCTGTGAAGAATTGTGCTGGTATTTTGATTGGGATTGCATTGAATCTGTAGATTGCTTTTGACAAGAATGCCATTTTCACTATGTTATTCCTACCTATCCAAGAGGATGGAAGATCTTTCCATTTTCTGGTATCCTCTTTAATTTCTTTCTATAAAGACTCAAAGTTCTTGTTATGCAGGTCTTTCACTTGTTTGGTTAGTATTACCCCAAGATACTTTATGTTGTTTGTGGCTATTGTAAAGGATAATGTTTCTCTGACTTCTTTCTCAGCCCATTTATTTGTCTGTATATAGTACAGCTACTGATTTTTTTCTTTGAGTTAATCTTGTATCCTGCCACTTTGCTGAAGGTGTTTATCAGCTATAGGAGTTCCCTGATAAGAGTTTTTCGGGTCACTTATGTTAACTATTGTATCATCTGCAAATAGTGAAGGTTTGACTTCTTCCTTTCCAATTTGTATCCCCTTGATCTCCTTTTGTTGTCTTATTGCTCTAGCTAGAACTTCAAGTACAATATTGAAAAGGTATGGAGAGATTGGACAGCTTTGCCTTGTTCCTGATTGTAGAGGAATCACATTGAGTTTCTGCATTTAGTTTTATTTTGGCTCTTGGTTTGCTGTATATGGATTTTATTATGTTTAGGTATGTTCCTGTTATCCCTGATCTATCTAAGACCTTTATCATGAAGGAGTGTTGAATTTTGTCAAAGGCTTTTTCAGCATCTAGTGAGATGATCACGTGGTGTTTCTTTTTCAGTTTGTTTATTTGGTGGATTACATTGATAGATTTTCATATGTTGAACCATCCCTGCATCCCTGGGATGAAGCCTACTTGATCATAGTGGATGATTTTTCTGATGTGTTCTTGGATTGGATTTGCCAGTATTTTATTGAGTATTTTTGCATCAATATTCATGAGGGATATTGGTCTGTTGTTCTCTTTCTTAGTTATGTCTTTGTGTGGTTTGGGTACCAAGGTAATTGTAGCCTCGTAAAAGTAGTTTGGCAATGACCCTTTTGCTTCTATTGCATGGAATACTTTGAGGAGAATTTGTATAAGCTGATCTTTGAATTTCTGGCAGAATTCTGCACTTGAGACCATATGGCCCTGGGCTTTTTATGGTTGGGAGACTTTTGATGACTGTTTCTATTTCCTTAGGGGCTATAGGTTTATTTAAATTGCTTATCTGATCTTGATTTAATTTTGGCAGGTGATATCTATCCAGAACGTTGTCCATTTCCTTTAAATTTTCGAATTTTTTAGAGTACAGGTTTTCAAAGTATGACCTGATGATTCTCTGGATTACCTCAGTGTCCCTTGTTATATCCCCCTCTTTATTTCTATTTTGTTAATTTTCATGTCCTCTCTCTGCCATTGGGTAGTTTGAATAAAGGTTCGTCTGTCTTGTTGATTTTCTCGAAGAACCAACTGTTTGTCACATTGATTCTTTTTATTGTTTTCCTAGTTTCTACTTTATTTTATATTTCAGCCTCAATTTAATCATTTCCTGTTTGCCTTTTTTCTTCTAGAGCTTTCAGCTGTGCTGTTAATTCTTTAGTGTGACTATTCTCCAGTTACTTCATGTGGGCACTTAGTGCTATGGACTTCCCTCTTATTACTGCTTTCAAAGTGTCCCATAAGTTTGGGTGTGTTGTGTCTTCATTTTCATTGCATTCTAAGAAGTCTTTAATTTCTTTTGCTATTTCTTCCTTGACCCAGGAATGATGCAATTGGACATTGTTCAATTTCCATGAGTTTGTAGGATTTCTGTATTTTGTGTTGTTGTTTAATTCTTACTTTAAAGCATGGTGGTCTGATAAGAAACAGGGAGTTATTCCATTTTTTTGGTACCTGCTAAGGTTTGCTATGTTGCTGAGTATGTGGTCCATTTTAGAGAAGGTTCCATGTGGAGCTGAGAAGAAGGTATATTCTTTTGTGTTTGGATGGAATGTTCTGTAGATGTCTGTTAAATCCAATTGTTTAAAACTTCTGTTAGTTTGTTTGTTTCTTTGTTAAGTTTCTGTATTGTGGTCCTGTGAGAATGGTGTGTCGAAGTCTCCACTATAAGTGTGTGAGGTTTTCCTAGCTTTTGAAGCTAAAGTCTGGGTTGTTTAAGATTGCTTACTCCCTCTTTAGCAGTACTTGTTTCTCATCCTGTATATTCCAGTGTGCTGGTTTTTACCAGTCAATGCCAAATATTTTTTAATTTCCTATATCACTGTCTCTTGACACTTGGGTTATTTAGAAGTATATTGATTGATTTCCAAACAAATCAAGACTTTCTTGTTCTTTCTTTATCGGTATTTACCCTAGTTTCAGTGAAGTTAAACCTTGCTTCGTGGCCCAGCACATCATCTTTTCTGGTACATGTACATAAGCAAGTGTCCACCTTGCAATTTTTAGATGTAATATTGTGTTGGTTGCAGTGCTGCTAAGGGCTGAGTACTGTCGTTTGAGTTGGGAGTGCTTGCTCTACCCAACTAGACCTCTGTGGGGGTCTCCTGCCATGATGACATGTCATTGCTTTCTCTTCTTCTGTAGGAACATGTAATTTAAAATCACCCCCTTCGAGGTTGTATTGAAATACAGAGACATAGCACTGGTGTTTCTCTGGAGTCCCTCACTTGGTCACTGTATCACCTTCCTTTCCCGCATGTCTGGCTGCCTGCTCCACAGCACGTTAGGAGGCTGCAGCAGCGACTTGCAGTTGGTTAGGGCTAGCATGCTATTCCTCTGTCCTTTCATAGCATTCCCTCATGCTTTGTCTTTTTTGTATGGCATTTCCTTGTTGATAGTTTGGCATTAGTAATTCATGGTTAAGTCCAAAAAATAAAACCAAAAAGCAAATATTAAAAGCTTTATTTTTCAGAAGGTGACAGGTTTTTAAGGCATTGATTTGCACTGTTTGTTTAAAAAAGAATTCATCTCGTGCTTTCTCAGCAGTAAAGTCATGCTGAGCCATGTGCCTGCCCTCTGAAAGCAGATCCTTGTCCTATTTGGAAGGCACAGATGTCCTGGATGCAGCTCCCAGGACACACCTGCTGACATCACTTTCCATTTAGCTGAACTTGCTGGGATGACTCCTTTCTCTGTGGTGGCTGCTTCAGGTTATGGCCCTGGAATGTAACAAGACAAGCTGGACTGTAATTTGAGTGGACTTTGGTTATGAGGGGCACATGGCCACAGGTTTCTTCCAGTTTTTCTTGAGACATGAAGTTGACCCATGGGATGGCTGCTCTGTGCTGTTATCCAGCTATGGTTTTAAGTCAAAGATTTTTCAGAATAAATTGTGCCTCTGTCCATCCTCAATGTAATAATTCTATAGAAGACATTTCCTTGTCCCTAGGATTTCCATTTCTTACAATTCTGTTTTTAAAAACTGTGTTATAAATAATTTGCTTACCTGTCTTTAATGTGTGTCTCAGAATTCCGGGCAGTCCTACATACTTTGCTGGGGGATGTTCCAGTTAGATTCCACCATTGTTCATACTTGTAACCCCCCTGCAAGGGGAAGATTTAATAACAATTGTACACACATATTTTAAGATTATAGGTCTGTGGGCTTTGTTTTTTTGAGATACAGTCTTACTCTGTAGACCAGACTGATCTGGAACTCACTATATAGTCCACCTTGGCTTCCAACTCATGATAATCCTTCTGCCTCAGCAGGTCCAATACTGAGCTTACAGGTGTAAGCTACTATGTCTGTCTTGTTTCACAGACCATTGTTTTAGAAGTGTACATATAGGATGTATACATGTGAGCTCTCCAGGCCAGGTGGCAGGAAATTGCATCCGATGGTTGCAGGAGGGTTAACAGAAGCTAGGGGGTGAGGGAAGGACCGCTGCCTGAAGTTCCTCTGAGCTCCTTGTCACCCAGCTGGATTGCACATGAAAGGCTGGAGCAGGAGTCTTGGAAGAATGAGGCCAAGGAGAGGGGAGTGGTGGGTTGGGTCGGGGGTGGGGGGAGTGGGGGGTGGGCAGAGTCAAAAAGAGGTGGTGGGTGGGATCAAAGAGAAGAGGAGTGGTGGGCCAGGTCAAAGAGAGAGAGGAGTGGTGGGCTGGGTCAGGAGAGAGGGGTGGTGGGTCAGGTCAAAGAGAGAGAGGGGTGGTGGGTCAGGTCAAAGAGAGAGAGGGGTGGTGGGTCAGGTCAAAAAGAGAGAGGGGATGGTGGGTGGGGTCATGGCCAAGAGGACTGCTGTGGTTGATGAGCAAGAGGCCAGGGCTGTCCTTGGCCTCTGCTCAAATTGCAGAGTACCTCTCCATGTTGTGTGCTTCTTGGTGTGTCCCTGGGACTTTGAAGAAGGCATGGACACCATGATGCATCCTGAGTAGGAACTTTGGTGCAGGACTTCAGTGTTTTGTGTCTCAGATGAATGATCACAGTCCCCTGAGGGTGTTTCTTCAACAAAGCACATTTACATGGTCTAGAAGTCTCTATGAAGCTAGAAATTTTAAATTTCTTTCTGCGGCCCTCTTTACGATTTGGCTTGTGTCTCCTGGCCTGTGGATCTCTGGTCTATGCCCACCCTCCTGCAAATCCAGGCACAGTCGTTCTAGCTCTTTTCTGTCTCGGACACGCAGGTTGGGCACTCACAGGGATCTTGTGGAGAGCTGTTTCAGTTCTGTAGTGGTGGTTGCTTAGCAGTAAAGAGTGGGTTATCAGGAGTTCACTTAGGCCCCGTGCAAAAAGTGTGACCATGTCTTCTCTGCTTCCTCATCAGGGGTCCGAATCCCAGCAAAGTCCTCCAGCAGCTGTTGGTGCTTCAACCCGAACAGCAGTTAAATATCTACAAAACCCTGAAGACTCATCTCATTGAGAAAGGAATCCTGCAGCCCACCTTGAAGATGTAGCTGCCCTGAAAGAATGGACTGCCAAAGAGGAGCTCTCAGAACAGCTCCCAAGTCTTCCACTGAGCTGGCATGGGGCTAAAAATATGATAGATGCAGGGTTAGCAGATATGAATGTTTCTTTCTCTGAAATTACTGTGAATATTTAACAAACACATGATCTGAGTAATGAGTGTATAGCAGCCGCCCACCTGGGAAAGATCCTATACTTTTCTAAGATGTATTTTCCGACGTTAACATCTCTGCCCTCACTTGCTAGGTTCCATGATTTAGAAGACTTGTGTTTTAGAGAGTCAAACACTATAAACTGAGACCCTCTTAGGGTTGTCCCTGGCAGTGTGACCTTTTGCACAAACCTTGACCTTTGCACTGGGAACTGCCTCTCCGTAGCCCGTTGCTTGCTGCAGGCACTTGGGAAGCCAGGTCTCCGGGGCTTCCTCTTCTTATAGACTCAAGTATTTCTGAAGGGCTGAGTTAGATTAAAAATAAGAAAGAAAAAGCACGATTGTCCACTTTTTCTGTTTTTTTTTATTATTTTTCTTTTTGTTTGTTCATGGTACAGGGGATGGAACCCAGGGTCTCGCATACACCAGGCATGCTCCACTCCTGGGTTCCCTTCTGGCAGGACTGCCTAACTGTCAGAGACACAGTATAGTCTCCTGAGTGGAAATGTCCCGATTTTAAGTAGTTTCAAAATTCGGAGCCTAGAGGCTGAAACTTGTGCCGTTATCCATTTGTTTAAAAGCAGGTGTCAGAATCCACTTCTGATGAAACTTTTTGAAAACATAATCAGCTTCCCGAGAGACGCAGAAGTGGTCCTCAGAGGCTGCAGGAACAGCCACCCGGTGGCTTGATGGTGGCTTCTACTTTTCTTTGTTCCCTGTGAACTGATTGCCCGGATTCCCAGGAAGCCATGCAGGGGCGTGGCTGAGGTGGAGCCCTGGCAGGGTGCCTGAGGTGAGGCTCCACATGGTAAGCCAGGACCTGCCCCCAGCTCTCTGTACACCTCACCCGAGACAGAAGAGAGTTCTGCCCAGAGAGCCAGGCCCTGGCCAACCCCCTGCTGTTAACTGTTCTTCCCATCACATCACAAAGACCAAGAATAAACATCAAGCAGAAGTAATAGCCATTAAGAAGAAAAGCACATGAATGCCACTCCTTCCTCAGGTGGCCTGGACATTGTGACCAGACCAGAGGAACCCTCTTAGCCCTGAACATAAACTCCTGTTGCTGTGTGCACTCGACAGCCATATGTAACATAGAAAATGTTGTTGGTCACACTCAGAAATCACCTAGGTCTCCCATGTCAGTGTTCAGAGGGGAGAAATAGATACCTGTAAAGGATATTTTGGTAATGAAAAGAGTAAATATTTTGTCTAAATTAGAAATGAGTTTCAATTATCACACATTTCCTTCCTGCTATAGACATGCTGGGCTCTGAGGATAAGCCTCAGCCATCATGTGTGTTAGCCTCAGGGAGCACAGCAGACAGAGACCCTCAGTCCTGAGCATGTGTGGTCTCTGCTAAGGTGACTCCTGACCTAGGGCTGCATTGGGCCCACGCCATGTCCTGCTATGCATGAAACCTACTGAAAGCACTGCCACAGGTTATTTTCAGTCGGGCCACCTGTGAGTTAATTCAAGTATCCCCCGCTTTTGTTTGTCCCCCACTCTCTGCTCCAGTTGTTGACAATAAAGAGTCACAGACATGAAAACAACACAGTGAAACCTTGTGACAGGAACATGCCCTGGAAACATGGCCATTGGCACAAGGAAGAGCTGCTTGGGGATAGTAGAGACTCCCCTGACCCACCTCGTTACCATGGGATTGGAGAGTGTTGTGAGACAGGATTATGACAGCATTACTTATTACATATTAAAAACCAATATTCTCCTAAACAAAGTATGAAACTAGTAGGACTATTAGGGCTACAGTAAAAGCTTTTCTCAAATAGACTTTTAGATTTGGGTGTACATGATGCCATATGAAAAATAAGTACTGAATTTTAACAAAGCTCTGAAGATCAACATTTCTAGCATACTTTTATAGCATGCATATGAAAATGGACCATATCTTACCAAACAATCAGCAGAAGAGCTAGACTCCAATCAGCATTACATTTGCTCCAGAAAAGCCTTCAGCTAATGTAGTGATGTGGGGGACAAATGAGGACTGGGAACTTCTTCAAGTGCAGTGATGACCACACTGGGAATCTGCTGCTGCTTGGTACCCATCACTGGGATGCTGATGTCTCCTATTCCCCTTATGGTGGCACATGCACAGTCACTATCTGAGAGCAAAGACCATCCCATTTCATTTACCCTTCTCATTTGCACTTTGGTTTGAACAAAGGTAATGACACCTAGTTCAATGAAAAGGAAATGGTAGCATCACTGTATATACTCTGTACATGGGTAAAAGTTTATGATATGTGTCAATCAGTTCTCTGACTCTTTTTACTGAAACTGAGATAGAAAAATAGTAATAAAAATCGATGGTATTTTGACTTTGCTGTGGCACTTTCTCATTGGAGAAGCATCCCACAAGCACTGGGTTCCTAACACATGAGCTGCCTGCCCCATTCTCACTTGGGTTTGGACAGCCCCACCCTTTGTCCCAGACGGTCATTTTATATACTTGTAAGGTGTGCTTCATTGCCCCTTGCTGGTTAGACAACATGAAGGGACCCTGATTTGTATTGAACGAGTGTAGCCCATTGGTAATTGTGCCTGCCCATATCCGGTGGGAAAGGGCAGGCTGGCAGGACTGAGCCAAAACCCAACTGGTGCTTTGGCTGTGTCTGCTCTGGTGGGATTAAATGCTTTTTGAGTGGTAGATAGCCTCCCCCTTCACTTGAGCAAAACCTGGAATGCTCCCAGTAATCTCACTCAGACCAGTGCATCCTTCATGAAGCAACAACACCGGAACGTACAGTTCTCTGTCCTGCTCTGACAGATGCAGGGATGGACGGTGGCGACAAGTGAACCCCAGGTTCATGGGAGATGGGGTGCCAGCTGAGCTCCTTTGAGAGTCTCCTTCCCTTTTTGAACCCCATGGAGAAAGGGCCTATGTACTTTGGAGACTCTGAAGTTGCAAGGAAAAGCAGGTCTAGACAATTTCCCCTAACCCAGTAGCCACTCTGACAGCCTGGTGTCTTCATGTACAGATGTGTTGTACTTTGTGGAATCCTTAACACATCCGGGGTCGTTTAGTGAAGATTAGTTGACAGGCACATTTTGTGACAACAGCACAGTGTTCTCCAAAAGGATCAGGGAGAATCAGTCCAGTTTCCTAAAGGGCATAAGGGGTATGGTTGATAAAGGGCCTTGTCCATGGAGAAAGTTCCCAAGACAGACATGCTGTCCGAGTAACTGGGAGAATGAAAGGCCACTTTGTCCTCTTTAGTGGGAGACGAGGGATCCACATCTCTCTCCTTCCAAACCCACGAGGTGTGGGCCTTGGCAGTTCATAAACTCCGAGTTTTTCTACTCTGGGTCCTACTTGAGTTTAGTGGATTCCAATGGTTTTTAGCCTTCAGATGAGGCCCAGAAGAGTGCTAAGTGTGTGGAATAGTATGAAAAAAAACCCTGTAAACACATTTTTCATCAGTTTGATAAATCCAAAGTTCTGAAGGAATGAGAACCAGAAATTTCTGCTAGTCCAGGTAAGATGGACATATTTCATTGGTAAGCCTTTTCCCCCCAGAAACTTTGTTGAAATATAATTTACACACCAGGCTGGACCTGATAATGCATGTATGTTATTTCAGCACTAGGGAGATAGAGGCAAGAAAATCAAGGGTTCAAGGTCAGACTCAGCTATGTGGTGACTTCCAGAACAGCTTGAGTCTCTGTGAGAACTTGCCTCAGAATAACAACAGCAGTGATTTATGTACCAAAATGTGTTTTACCACCAGTAAACGTAGTTGGAAACCATTTCCATGTTCTTCCCAAAAGTTCCTGGTGTCTGTTTGCAGTTAATGCCCAGCTATGCTGATCCTAATCTGCTAGCCTTTATCATTTGCCTTCTGTGGACATTACGTATTAATGGAATCATGGGTGTGCTGTAATATTTTTACATGTATTACTACTTTCCTTTTCATAAATACTGAATTTGGGCAATCTGTTTGCCAGTTGATAGGCACTTGTATTATTTCCAACATGGGCAGGAACTAAAAGAAAACTATGAACATGCTCTTCTCCAGCCTCTGAATTGGCTGGGGTAGGGGAGATAAGGTGTTGATTGCTGTTTCTCACAACTTTGTATGTGGGGGGCGGGGTGAAGGGAAGGAGTGAAAATTAGATATGGTTAAATTGTCCCTTTTGCCATGACTTTCAGTGAACTGTGATTTCATCACAGCAATAGTAACCCTAAGACAGCGCCCCGAGTCATAATTTCTGAAGGGTGGATGCCATCTTCTCAGTAGAATGCTCATGAAACAGTATTTGACAGGAATGTTGCTGTGGTGCTCACATAGCTAAGTCCACGTTCTGCCCTCCAAACCTTCCAGGCCAGCTGGAGAGGCATGTAGCAGATGCTCTGTTGGCAGTCTGCTGAGGAAGGGCTCCTAGCCTTGGCTGCATCGGGGTGATGGACATGAAGAGCAGGGTAACCGGGAAAGCCCAGGTAGGAGCAGAGACTCTGGTACGTTCTGCAGCTGCTGGGATAGCCTGTCACTGTCACCTTTTTTCTTAGCAGATACCTTCTTTATACTGGAAAGTGGCCTGTCCCCAGGTCACAACTGTGTTGTAATAGGAACTTAGTGGCATAGAGAAGTACGGTTTGGGGTGCTGGTCCCTGCGAAGAAAGCCCACTGAACACCCGCTGAGGGCTTGGGAAGAGGGGTCACATAGCTAATATGTGAGCCAGGAGTTTTCACTCTTTCAGCCACCCAAGAAAATTGAAACTGTCCACTAAAAGTAGTGTCTGAGTCTTTACCATGGTTATCCATGAGAGCAAACGGTGGAGATGCTGGTAGACAGGTAAGTCAGACAAGGTGCATCACTTACACAGTGATGCTGGTACATTGCTGGTAGACAGGTAAGTCAGACAAGGTGCATCACTTACACAGTGATGCTGGTACATTGCTGGTAGACAGGTAAGTCAGACAAGGTGTATCACTTACACAGTGATGCTGGTACATTGCTGGTAGACAGGTAAGTCAGACAAGGTGCATCACTTACACAGTGATGCTGGTACATTGCTGGTAGACAGGTAAGTCAGACAAGGTGTATCACTTACACAGTGATGCTGGTACATTGCTGGTAGACAGGTAAGTCAGACAAGGTGCATCCCTTACACAGTGATGCTGGTACATTGCTGGTAGACAGGTAAGTCAGACAAGGTGCATCCCTTACACAGTGGCCCTCTACTGTCCATGGATGACCAACAACAACCATCTGTCTATACAAACACGCACACAGAGACACAGATACTCAGTTTTGGCATTTGAGACTCGGTCTATAGCCCAGGTTGTCTGGTTAGTCAGTCTGTAGTCCAGGCTAGTCTCAAACTCGTCTCAGCCCAGCCTCAGTTTCCTGGATGTTAGGATTACAGGTGTGAGCAGCCATGCTTTCTTTCTGTGGTGCCCGTATTATGGGGTCTGTAAATGGGCACCAGCACTGAGGACTAGTCCGGAGAGCTGCTAACTTGCCCCCAGTGCTGACCTGTAACAGGTGCAGACAGTGCGGTCTGTCTGCTGGACAGGGTGGTCAGGGCTGCCCTGGAATGTTTCACTCTCCCGTTTGAGCAGGGAGGTGGCGAGGGGCTTTCTTTTCTGGCTTTGGGCAAAGATGCTTCTCACTGAGAAAATGGGTGTGCTGCTCAAGGGCCCCTCCAGGACTAAGGGACAGTGACAGTTTCAAACACAGGTTTTCAGGCCTGGGACCTACATACCGGGAGGCTCTAACCCAACAGCACATGCTCTAAGACGTCTATGAAAACTACATTCAAGCTGAAGGCAAGGCTCCTTTAGCGGCTGCCCGCCAGGCGTGCTTGTAGGAGTCCTGCACAGTGGTGGACGGGGTGAAGTGGCCGTGGGGAGGTCCAGTAGAGAGCTTCTATAGAGCGTGGCAATGGGAAGGTGCACGGGGCTAGGGCAACCGCTGGGACCAAGGACACTCACTGCAGTCAGGAGTGCTGGAATACTGAGAGCTTCAGGAACGTTCTACTGGGGCAGGCAGAAGGGCTGGTAGGAACAAAGCTGTGGGATGGAGAGTTGGGGATACAGATGCCGCTCAGGGTTGTCATCGGCATGGTGACTTGGTATGGCGTTGTTGCCGCTCTGTGGAGCTATCAGGAAGCAAGCAAACAGCACCCATAGCACCCAGTTCTTACACTGTTCCCAAACAGCCCGCCTCCGCAGGTGGAAAGTGAGTGCCAGAGCCACACCTGGATGGGTGAAGATGAAAGTCACTGTGCCAATAGAGGCCAGCAGGTTAGAAAGCATGTTGTCTGAGAGCCACACCTGGACGGATGAAGATGAAAGTCACTGTGCCAATAGAGGCCAGCAGGTTAGAAAGCATGTTGTCTGAGAGCCACACCTGGATGGGTGAAGATGAAAGTCACTGTGCCAATAGAGGCCAGCAGGTTAGAAAGCATGTTGTCTGAGAGCCACACCTGGATGGGTGAAGATGAAAGTCACTGTGCCAATAGAGGCCAGCAGGTTAGAAAGCATGTTGTCTGAGAGGGGGACGACCCGGGAACGCACGAGAAGGCTTTGTATCATGACTGTTTAAAACAGTGCCAATTCTACAGAGGGCCAGAATTAGAATGACATGAAAATGAAGACTACAGAGCCCAAAAAAATCACACTGGTGGAGACTATTTCACCGAATTTTAACAGTAGGGCATGGGAAAGACCCTGCAAGTTTAATTGGAGTTGCTATGGAAAGGCCAGGCTCTCACAGGGACATTCTATAAGAGGGTTTTTGTCTTCCTTGCTGATGGCTGAATGTGTATCACCCTGAAGACAGGGACTGCTACAGTTGACGGGATACAGCATCTTCAATGTGTGGATTTGAATTTGAACTAGAAGCATGTTCAGTAATATGGCAGACCCGGGCAGCAAAGTCAGACGTGATAGACTGATTTGTAGGTGTACAGTCACAGTCTGCTTGGGTTGACCTTTGCTCCAGGAGTATTTCCAGAATCAGTTTGCAGAGGAGCGGTTTCCTGTTATGAGCAGTTTTGTGGGGTGGGGTATTACATTTTGATACTGGGGCGGAACTTGTGCCTAAGCCCATACTCTGTCACCACACTCCATATTCCTAGCTAGAAGCTGCATTGAAGTTGGTAGTAAAAGGCCACAAACAAATTGTTTTTATTGGAATAGCTGTCCTTTTCCCTGGGAGGAACCTTGTGGTTGTCTCTGCCTCTGAGCAGGAAGCATGGGAGATGATGGTCAGGGTTGAAGTTCGAGTGAAGTTCTTGATAAGGCTGGGTGTGATTCTGTACAGATGGCATGGCAGTCATGCCAAGTCTACTTTCTCTGCGGTCATCGAAAGGACCACTGGGAAAGGTGTAGGCTCTGAGTGGAGGCTGTGGCTGGAAGAGGGAGGAAGCTTGTTCTTAGGCACCACACTTCTGGAACCCTGATTCCTCTGAACAAGGGAGGCTGTGGGCTTTGACTGCCAGGAGCTCTTTGCACTTCACCCCATAGAACAGATGAACAATCAACTCCCTGTTGATTTGCCTTCGGGTGTCATATTCCAGTACATCATTTCTTGAAAGAAAAGGGCCCCCAAAGGAAGTGGCACTATCAGGAGGCCTTGTTGAAGTAGGTGTGGTCTTGTTGGAGAAAGTGTGTCACTGTGGAGGTGGGCTTTGAGGTCACATATATGATCAAGGTACCACCCAGTATCTCAGACCACTTCCTGTTACCTGCAAGATGTAGGACTCTCAGCTACTTCTCCAGCACCATGTCTGCCTACATGCTGCCATGGTAATGAAATGGACCTCTGAATTGTAAGCCGCCACCTCAAATGTTTTCCTTTAAAGAGAGCTGCCCTAGTCATGACATCTCTTCACAGCAATAGAAACCCTAAGGCAATTTCTAAATTAATGTTAATGCATTGAGGACATACACACCAGTTTTGCTCTTTAACTACCAAACACCCATACTTTACAGCACTTCTTCAAGGAGGTGTCCTAATAAAATTTCCTAAGAAACTCAGATACAGGGAGGTTAAGTCATTCACTCAAGTGATAGAACAGAAACAGCTCTTGGCCTGAGCAGCATACTTGTGAGAGCTGTATATAGCATTAAAATGGTAGCTCTAACAGTTTTATACAGTCAAAATTTTAGTCTTGCCTAAGATAATAATGTAGTTTTTAAAAGTCCTCATTAGATACCCCAATAATTCTGAAGTGTGTTATTCATATTGCTTCAAGTTGTAGAGGGGAATTCCAATAACTGGTTGTAGCTGCCAATGCCTAGGCCCATGTGGTGGGGTCTGGGTGCTACATTTGGCAGGTGTTGGTGGGATCTGTGTGGCAACCAAACAAGACTGTATGCATGCCATCACACTGTAGGCAACACTTCCCGCATCTTTTCCTTGTGTTAGTTCTCAGGTCTTCCGTCCTTGAGTCCCGAAACCTTTTTGGTGGGTTAGCATGAAGCCTGGTCTCATATTAAAATCAGATTTGCTCTCATCATGACGATATTTGCTCTGCAGTGCAGGAGTGCTGAAGAAAACTGAGATCATGGTGGCACAAGCCATTAGTGAGCATGTCTTCAGCACCAAGCACTGGCAACAAAAAACAGGCACCAGCTTTGCTAAAGAATGGGCTTGGAGTCAGGTGTTGGTGGCGCTCCCCTTGATCCCGGTACTTGGGAGGCAGAGGCAGGTGGATCTCTTGAGTTCAAGGCTAGCCAGGTATATGGCGCAAGTTCCAGGACAGTCAGGGAACAGAGAAACCCTGTCTCAAACAAACCAAACCAAACAAGAATGGCCTTGGTGAAACAGTAACAATGAAGACTTTTGCTCAGTTCTGGCTTTCAGTAGTCACACTGACACACTGCCACTCCTCTGGAGAAGCTCTTGGGGTTGAGCCGAAGAGTGACTAGCCCCTTTTCTTGCAGAGCACTGATTTTACTCACAGAACAAGCAACACTCTGGCTCGGTGGCAGACACGTCTGGGTTGACCAAAAATGAGCCTGTCACTTCCAAGAGAACCATAGACAGTATTGATTGCTAATGATAAAAGTTTAGGTTTGAAGGAAAAATTAGAATTTTGGGAAAATAAGTTTCTACTGCCACAGAACTTGGAATTTCCTACAGTGCTGGTAATATTTTGGTTCGATACACGATAATGTGCTGTGGGGACATCACAGAATGGAGTATGTGAGCTCCTGGAAGATCTTCTGAGTCTTCAGCAACAGCCCATAGCTCACTATGACTTCGGCCACTAGCATTTTTGTAGCGCATGGGGTTTTATGGGTATGGAAAGGGAAAAGACACAAGACAGATTTTATAAGAGGTTGCTACAGAGACCAATTCTTGGTAAAACACAGTTTTCAAGAAATTTAAAGCCCGGGGTGGTGGTACTCAGATCACAGCACTTGGAAGACCAAGGCAGGAGGATTGCTGAATCTAGAGGTCGGATTGTACTACATATCGAGACCCTATGTAAAACAAGAAAGCAGGGGCTGGGGCTAGGCTCAGTTGTAAAGTCTGCCATGCAACCAGGAGAACTGGAATTGGGATTTCCAGAAACACCCAACATCAGCCAAGGTGGCACATAACCATGGCACGGGAGAGGTAGGGAGACATAGCAGAGCTTGGTGGCCAGGTTTGGTGAGCACTTGTCTCAAAAGATAAAGTGCTGGTGAGATAGTTCAGTAGCTAAAGGTGGTTGATGCCTGGAAATCTGAACCAAACAGACTCCTGGGTTGTCCTCTGACTTCCACATGTATGGGTCATGATATACATAAACGAGTGCATGTGAACACACATGCAATAAATAAGATTAAAACAAATTTTTTTTGAGACAGGGTTTCTCTGTATTGCTTTGGAGGTTGTCCTGGAACTTGCTCTGTAGACCAGGCTGGTCTGGGAATTCACAGAGATCCCCACTGCACCTGGGAATGCTGTTGATAATAATATACTATGTCTGGGAGGCTCAACTGGAAGGAACAGCTGCTCACAGTGGCTGCAGGACTTCAGAAGATGGGTGGGATGGGACACACACACACACACAGTTGCTTTTCGATGGATAGAAAACAACACGTAAAAAAACAAGCAAAATCATGCAAATAGGTCTCTTTTGATAGGCCAATTCAAATTTGAAAGCATGTCCCGTCCGCCCCCCCCCCCCCAGAAACTACTGGCCTCCCTTCTCTGCCACCCCCACAGTCACCAGTCTGGGATTCTAGCCAGCATGGTTGGGAAGGCAAGGATGTAGAAAGCTGGAACTTGAACTGTGACCCTAACAACCAATCTCCCCAATTTAAGCAGAGGGGAAAGAAATAGGCACAGCCAGGAAAACATGAGTGTAGGTGAATTGGAAACATTTTTCTACTCTGAAGAACTTAATTTAAAACAACTTATTTTTTTGTGGTAAATAGGTATTTATTTGAAATGAAAAAAATACTTAAGTTCCTGGACTATTGCGTTTCATCATGGATTGTAACTGTCTACCTTTCTGCATCAGACAGAGATACAATGAACACTCAGAATCACAGATTGCACACTAGATAAGAGGTCTTCAGGCCTTTTACATAACCACCAGAGAAACAGATATTGGATTCTGCAATATAGTACAAAAGTCCACAATCAATCCAGTCTTAGCCAGTATCTTCAATTTACTTCTGTGGCTGTACAAATAATTGGCCATTACTAGGGCTTACAAGTTAATAACAGGACAAAAATATACATTGCACTGACACAAAAAGTCAGCTGTGTTAATGGTCATGCAACAAGTAACCAAACTTGCTGAAATTAAAAATACTTCCTAAAAACAGTTTTTTTAACAGCATAAATATTTTATACACAGTTTGTTTACCAAAACAAAATGTATTTAAATGATACAAAGCAAAAATAAGTTTCTACCACCTTTGTACATAAGAAAGTGCAAAATAACTTATCTAGAGTGTTTTGCTATTCTCCAGAGGGCTGGCTGCTACGGGCAGCTACTTCTCGTCTTCAAAAGCATGACGTTACACTTGCACACTACACACGGATGTGTCAGAGTACATGGATGAGTAGGGATGTAAGGATGAATGAATGGATGGATGGATGAATGGGTAGAAGGACCAATAGAGATCAGGCTGGAGCCCTGTGAGGTACTCAGAAAAAGAATACAGACCACAGGAAGGTGGACACACATAATGTGGCTAAGCAGATTGGCACAGAATGCAGAGGGAAAACCAGAGAAGCAATGAACCAATGGACATCAGGCAGTAGTGCCCTGTGTGAGTGACTTTGTGATTTCTGCAGAAGTGAAAAGAAAACAAAAACCAAAACCGATGGAACAAAAAAGTTGCCCACAGCACCAGCTGCCAGAGGAAATACCATCGTGAGTGGTTTGGAAGTTGTGTTTGACAGTATAAGAGCGTTCATCCCATACAATTTTGGGTTAGACAGAGGAACAAGCTTCAAGTGGCTACACACACGTTCCTATATTCAAGTCTTGAAAACACCTCTGCCATTGGGTAGGGGTAAATGTGGGTCATGGGCCAAAGGAGGCGCTTCTTGTAGAAGTGTAGTAACACCACTACAAAGCGTCCAGAGGCAGACAGGGCCAGCCCACCACCACGCAGAAGCACAGGTTCTGCAACAAAGGGACACCAGCGTCCTTCTAAAGTCATGGCGGTGAACATGACACAGAAAGGAAAGCAAAGCAAAAGCAACAGCTTTTCTTCAAGTGGAGAGAGTTAATGCCAACAATCCTTTTTCACGTGTATATTTGAGCATTTAAAAATGGAAGTGTTGGAGTCAATTTGATATGTATCATAGATAGACTGTAGGCTGAAACCTGTAAAGGAAGGTTTAAATTTAGGGAGCGTAAGGCACTAAAGCAGCCTTCACGGTGTCTCCTGGAGACCTTCTGGTCAGGGAGAACAGACTTGTTCTGAAGCTGCTTTCAGCCCATCAGGTACAAGGTCACTGTTGTACCAAATGCCTATTTCTGGACACATGTGCATATATGTGCATTTTAGTGCATAAGTGTGCCTGTCACCAGGGCTAAAGATGGAGAGTTAGGGAAGCCAGAGCCACTGTCCTTCATATGGTAGGGACCTCCCTCTGTGAGGGTGTCAAGGCTGGTCCTTCTTCTTGGGCCATTAGTGATTCTATGTTGTTCAAATCACAGGGCTTTTTAAGAGTTATTCATATTATTAGCACTAAAGTTATCTGAAAATGTTAAAATCTAGATTAATTGTTTATTTGATTTCATATATATATATTTATATTTATGTACATAACACACATATTTAAAAAATCCCACCACCAAAGCCATTTTTCTATAAACTTATCTCTTAGCTTCCTCCAGCTTTAATCCTTCTGGATTTGTGTGTTCTGTATCCAACTAGTAGAACAAATTAAATAACTAAATATTAAAATACTGTAATTATATTCATAGCAAAACCAAAAAAATAGACATCGATACAGTATAAATCTCACTGTTCTCAGGTAGATGGCATTAAATGGGAAAGGTTCATTCTAAGCACTTATGACATGACCCATTTTCACAAGGTTTAAATGTTAATTCTGTATGCTTTTAAACCCTTTTTTGAAAATAAGCTGTAGTAGAACAGTGTCTCTGAAGACAGACACTTGTGTTCTATGCAGAGAAGCTAATCTGGGGTTACATGCAAATGCATTTCCATTAATTGAGGCAGGGCTGTGTCCTGCCTGGCATTGGTCACCTGGTCCCCTTCAGGCCATCGATACTGAGGTGTGCCGGGACCACACAGCCTACGCACAGCTCAGTTTAAGGGGCCTGCTCGGTATGCAGCCAGAAGGAGCCGTTCAGGTATGTGCAGGTTACCTTATGATCAGACTTCTTTCCTCCCCCACTAGCTCCTAAAGCAGGGCTACATCATTTTGGTTACTAGCCTATTTTAAGTGGAGATACTGTGGGCAACTTGAAAGAAATGGTATCAGGCACACAGGCTTGGTTTGAACAAGGAAAAAAATATTACAGATAATGTCTTTGAGGATTAAAAAAAACCCATATTTATAATTGAGAGATGTTGGACAAACCTTAAATAGTTCATTGAGTTAGTGGCTTAGTTTGAAGTCTCATGTTACAGGCAATTAGGTCCTTATTTAGAAAAAAGGCCTTTATACCTATTTACAATATACACAGCTGCTTGCCAAGAAGTCAGATTCACAACCATTTCCTAGAAGCCTTTTTTTTTTTAAAGTTTTTGTTGATTTTTCCAAACAAGGATGGATAGCTCTATAAAAATGAGATGCAGGAAAGAGAGTTGGGGTGCGCGGAGTTTGCTCTTGGAGATGGCTACACTATGGGGACCTGGGCTCCGAGACACCCCGGGAACCACCTTGCCTTCTTCTTGTGCTGTTCACTGCATAGCGCCTGCCAGTCACTGGCCTGGAACCCGTGATCCAACGATCCCTTTGAACTCAGCACTTCACTCAGAGTGAAGAGGCGTGCAAGTGGAGCTGCTTCAGTGCCTTCCGAGCTGCGGCAGGACCCGAGGAGCTCCCCGGGCCGAACGTGGTCTCCCTCAGTCTCGGCAGTTTCGAGGCCCATCTTCCATCCCTCTCTCATGCTGTAAGCTGTAGTAACAGTTCTGACAGACTCGCACGGGGGATGAGATTTTCAAGCGCTTGATTTCTGACTGAAATCGACTGCACCTAAAGAAAGGGAAAGTAAGTTAGTTACAGATCCCTACCACCAGCCACCACTGGGTGAGGACACAAGGGATGTGAAACCGGATCAGAAAGCAGGCAGTCTGGTGTCAAAGGCAGCAGGACACCAGGACAGTGTCCAAGGCCATCACTATCCTACGTTCAGGTCAGGACAACTTTTATCCATTTAAGTTTCAATATATGGCGGCCCTGAATGTGCGGCGTCTCTGTCTTTCTCTGTATGGCCTGTTGCGCTTATCACATTTCAGTCGCATCACTTTAAGGACAACTAATACTGTGTGTGTATACACACTCCAGAAATTCACACCATTCTTACATCTTACTTAGCATGTGTGCGTGCATGTAGCATTTGTGGAAGTCAGAAGACAACCTCGGGGAGTTTGTTCTCATCTTCCATTGTGTGGGTCCCTAGATATGAACTCAGGTCATGGGGCTCCTCTACAGCCATTTTTCAAATGTGCAGCATCTTTGAATCCACTCAACCCATTGCTGGACACCGAGGCTGGCTCTCTCGGCTTCTTGACTACAGCCACGATGAACATGGCTATCTATGCAGGTACTCTCGTATACTGATTTTCATTCTTTGGATGTACACTCAAGGACAGCTGGGCCACATGGCAGCTCTGATCTTAGTTTTCCACACAGACTAGACTAATTTACATCTCAGCAGTCCAGAAGAGCCTCTTGTCCTTCCGTCCTCAGGAGCGTCTGTTACTGTTTTATTGGTGACAGCTAGTCAGACTAGGGTCAGATGGAATCTGTCTTTTTTTTTTTTTGTATTTATTTGGTGCCTAATGACACCGAGTATTGTTTTTTATACTTAATGGTTATCTGTGAAGTATCTATTCGGATCACTTACCCAATTTTTAATCTAGATGACCTAGTTTTTGTTGATGCATAATAGATATGAACCCTGTGTGAACAGCTAGCACACTCTGTCCCGTCCTATAGGCAGCCTCTTCATTTGCTTATCACATCCTCATCTGGGTAGGATCTTTGTAGTTTGATCAGATCCCATTTGTCACCTTTTGCTTTTGGTGCTTTGGAGTCTAATCTAGAAAACTGCCTAAACCAGTATTTTTCTTTTTAGTTTTTCTGAGATAGAAAGATTTCTCTATGTAGCCTTGGCTGTCCTGGAACTCACTCTGTAAACCAGGCTGGCCTTCAACTCAGAGATCCGCCTGCCTCTGCCTCCCTAGTGCTGGGGATTACAGCATCGCTCCTGTGTTTTCCTTCGGCACATTGAGAGCTTCTGGTCATGTACCAAAGTGTTCCATCCGTTGAGCGGACATCCACACAAGGTAACAGACAGGGTCAAGCCTTTGTCTCCTGTACATGGTTACCTTGTTATTCAAACCCAAGGTTGAAAAGGCTGTTATCTTCAGTGTGTTTCTGGCAATGCACTGGTTTACCTATGCGTCTGCAAATTAGCCTGCCAGCCTACCAACCGATCTGCTTTTATCCCAGCACCATGCCGCCATGGTTATTAAGACTCTGACTTCTTTTTGTTTCCATATTAATTTTAGGTTGTTTTTCCTAGTTCTGCAAAGAATGTCATTGGTATTCTGAAGGGGACTGCAATGAATCTCAGCTTACTTTGGGTAGCACAGACATCTTGACAATAGTCATTCTTCTAGTTTGTGAACATGGGTGGCCTTCCAGCCTTTTACTGTCTTCTTCCATTTCATCCTTCAGTGTTTCATAATTTTGTCTCGTGTGTGTGTGTGTGTGTGTGTGTGTACACGTGCGCGCACGCATGCATACAGGGCAAAGGCCAACCTCAGGCATTGTTCCTTAGGAACCATCACAAGGTTTCTGAAGACCACTGACCAGGCAAGGCTGGCTGGTTCCCCAATGCCTGCAGCACCATGCCCAGCTTCTCATATGGGCCCTGGGGTCCAAGCCAGGCCCTCAGGTGGCGAGCATTCATCCTGTGCGCTGTCTCCTCAGCCAGTCTTCATTTCCCAAGTGGTTTATTCCCAGGTACTTAAGCCTGTGTACATTTTACAGTGCCTGGGGTTGCTGTCAACCCTTTGACTGCTTCCATCCGCTTCCGTGTATCTGGAGCTGGTTATTTCAGAGCCGTGCACTGAAGAAGGGCCACATTTGTTTCTCATCATTTCTGTGTTCTTATATTGAGATCTGGACATCTCATGGAGTTGTACTGGTTAGTTTTAATTATCAACTTGACACACAAGTCACCGTGGAAAAGCAAGTCTCAGTGGAAGGACTACCTCCATCCAGTTGGCTCGTGGACATGGCTGTGGGGCATTTTTTGATTGCTAACTGATAGAGGAGGGTCAAGCCCACTGTGGACGGTGCCACCTCTGGGCAAGCAGTCCTGGATTGTATAGAAAGCTTGAAGTGTAAGCCACCCAAACCCTGTTTGACCCAAGTTGCTTTGGTCATGGTATTTATCACAGCAACAGGAAAAGCAAACTGGGACAGAGGTGACTGCCTCTCCCACTTTTCTGAAGTGGCCTATGACCGTCTCAGAGTATCTGCCGTGCAGTGTTCAGTTTATGTCCAGATTAGTACTACAGTGCAATCTCCTTGTGGCTTTTGGCTTCTCTGGCTGCCGTTAGTGAGGCTGGGCCCAGGACCTTCTGGAGGGAGGCTGGAGGGAAGCCCTGCCTCGTGGACTTGTGTGATGGGCACACTCTAGCACGTATAGAGTAGATGGCAGAATGTGGGTGAGTGGTGACAGCTAAAATGTGCGGGGGGGGGGTGGGTCTCATCAGGCTCCGCTGCCGACATTACCACTTGTAAGGATCTGTCACCAGCTGCACCAGTGCAGGCGAGCATCTGGGGACTCTCCTCTGACTAAAGGTATGGGCCTGGTTGTTTCAGAGGAAGAGCGGGGGGTGAAGTCACAACACTCCCCTCGTGGCAGTACACGAGCAGATAATGTATGTTTCTATGATTTATGGCAGGGGCCATTTCTGCCCATATAGAATGGAACTGTGGAGTCCCTGCCCCACCCTGTGCATGTCTGGGGATGACCCGGAAGCTTCCCTCTTCCTGATTCTGCAATGCCTGCTGGAGTGGTGAGAGTGGAATGTTAGTATTGTCCGCAATGTTTCTCTCTAGGCACCCAGACTGTGTGTCCCAGGGCCCTAGCCACAGCTGGGACTGTGTACTGTTGGATTTCTGGAAGATCCTCTGTGCATGGGAACAATGGAACCACAGAGTTTTGGGAACTCTGTGGGAGGGTGGGAGTCAGTATGTACAACAGCCTTCCTTCTGTCCAGGTTCCTATTTTAAAGCAGTCACAACTGGCCATACTCTTGAGGACAAGCTCCACCATCCCTGATGGACCTACCCTTCATCCCCGCAGGCCAACACCTACTCTAGAGTGTAGCCCTCTTAGCACTCTGTGTCAGAGTTACTCTTCTGACCCATGTCTGGTTCCTGAGGCAGCTACCCAGGAGCCAATGTGACTGAGTATTGTGGGGTATCAAAAGTGGGTCTTTTTACAAGTTGCCTCCTTGTGGTTCAGTGGGAGATGAAGTGATCCGGCCCTAGGCAGAGCTCAGGTTTCTTGGCTAGCTAAGCTATAAGCCTGTGTGGGCTGAGGCTCTTCCCAGGACAGGACCTCCAGTGTCTGCCGCCTTGCTGCCATTCTCCTTTGTCTTTACTAGGAAGGAGGCAGACTTTGCCCCTGGCACCATAGCGGGGCAGGACAAGGAGAGGTATGCTGGGGTATTTCCTCCTAGGATGTCTCTGTCTCAAATCTCAAGGTTTTACATGGCTTCTGTTTTTCTTCTGTTGATTTCCAGTGTTCACTCACAACCACTCAACTTGGTATGCAGCTCTACCCATGATGCTTTGGGTCTTTGTGGAGAAGCAAGCAAATGCTGCATGGTTCTAACTGCCCCTGTGCTGTGTGAGCACTGCTTATCTAAAGGGCACTCTGGCTACCACACAAGCTTTGTCCTTGAACATTTTTCTTGTCTCCTTGATCATCATCATCATTATCCTTGTTGGTTTTTTGAGACAGGGTTCTCTGTGCAGCCCTGGCTGTTCTGCAACTCGCTCTGTAGACCAGGCTGGCCTTTAACTTAGAGATCCATCTGCCTCTGCCTCCTGAGTGCTGGGATCAAAGGTGTGTGCCACCATATCCAGTTGATCATTTTTATTCTTAGGTACTGGAGTGTTGCAAGTAGACTGCACCCCAGTTCTGCAATCATTTCTTAAAAGCACTTCCTTTGGCTTTTCTTGTTAAGAGCAGTGCTCTTATTTCTATTATCTCGAGAGAAATGCTCCCACAGGCTACTCAAGATGTGTTCGTGGTCTTGAAGAAGTACCTGGGTTTCTTTTGAGAGCATACAGTGGGAAATGACGCCAGGCATGACATTACATCGCTTTCAGCTTGGACTCTCACAAAACGGAGGTGCAGATTCATACTGTTTACCTGAGTGTCAGAAAATCAACCTAGTGCCTAAGAGGGTCCTGACTGGCCAGGGACTGTATGCAAATGCCTAGGAGAGAGGCGTGTCTCAGAAGCAGAGGGCGGGAAGGCTGTGTGTGCCAGGCTGCTCCTTCCTTCTCAGCCACATTTAGCACCAGCAGTTAGTCAATGCTCTCAACAGCCTTCCCTGCACATATGAAAGTAATGGATACTTTAAAGAATTACCTATACTTAATACTTTGAATACTACAAAGAACAGTTATGTGGCAGTACTGAGCATCACACTGGGGTGCTCCGCCCCTAATTACAAGATCAAATCACAGTGCGACACGACAGGATCCTCTGCCTTTCCTCCTAAGAGTTCTGGTCAGAAATGCTGGCACTGACGTTCCTGCTAATTCACCTTGCAATCCACCTCTAAGAACAGAGGTTCAAGAAAAAACAGTAATTAGAACACCAAAAAACCAGCTGCCCCTTGTCTCCACACTTGCTATCGCTTGGCTTTCTCAACAGCTCCAAAGGCAAGCTGCCTTTATCCACCGTCCACCCACAGAGAACAAGCTAAAGGGCTTCAGCAGCTCATCTGAGGTAACAGTGAACATTCGCTCAGTCAGTGGAAACGCCACCTCCTCACTAGGCACTGCATGTTGCCTATGAAATCTTAGAACCCGCCTTAGAAAATGGTTACACAGGTGTTTTCTGTGGAAGCATTTACAGTGAGGCATCAGAATGGAATGTCCAGGGGATCTCTTCTGTGTGTGCAGGCAAGGGAGGCCTGCATGTGTGATCAGGTGATGGCAAGCTCATGTTTTCTGGGCCAAGAGAGACTCCTGCCTTATCATAACCTAATATATACTCCAAATAGGTTAAATATTAAATATAAAAGTAAAACTTGAAAAGTTTCCTGTGTGATCGAACTCAGGATACCAAAATCCTAACACACATACACAAACCGCAAGTATAGTTAAGTGCAAACAAAATTGGAGCCTGTGCACCAGACAGTGCAAATGCAAAGTTAAAACAGGCCCCAGAGACTTGCAGGAAATATGTGCACGACACACTGAAGACTGAAGCCCAGAGTAGACAAAGCACTCAAGGGGAGAGGAAAGAGTGAGAAAGTGAAGGCAAGAGAGACAAACTACAGCGAAAACAGGCACCTGAGAGGAAGTCTGGGTGCTAATAGGCACCCGAGGAGAAGCCCGATGTCTCTAGCATTGCAAGTTAAGACAAATACATTTCCATAACCATCAGATTGGCAAAACGACAAAGGCTTGGCAATACCAATCATGACTGAGAATACGGAAGGTTTTTGTGTCCTGCTAGAGGCCAGGGGATGTAGCACTACTGTCGCAGGTCATTCAGCAAGACCCAGTGAAGACCCAGGTTAAGTCTGTGTACTGTGGGGTGTTCTCGTCTGTCTCCTGGGCAGGAAGTGACGCTTAGAAGACAACATACTACCTTATTTATAACACCAAAAATCCTTAGGAGGTGAGTATAGGAAATAAATTCCTACAAAATCCTGAGGTAAAATACCTAGCACACGGCTAAAGTAAACATATCGGAATTAATGGTTATCGGTGAATGGATTAGAAAACGGAGTACAACTTTACAGAAAAGTGCAAACAGTGCATGGTGTAAAGCTGAGAAAAAAAAAAAGCCAATACTCTGTGTACAGTGACAAGTGCTGAGGAGAATAAGGCCTCATGGAGGGGAATGTGCCATCACTGAGGGTGGGACAGACTGGACGTCTATGTGTAGTAAGGATGAGCACCTATCCCGTGTGCCTCTACACCAACCATCATGATGACACGCACATAGCTGTGTGCCTTCACAACAATCACGATGACACACACATATCCCTTGTGCCTCTACAACCACCATGATGCTGTAATCGGCATAACTCAGAAAACTCACTTCTGACAGAAGAGCTGTCCACAGTTCCTGCAATGGTGCCGTCTCTCTGTGAGGGAGAAGCGAACAGAGCAGCCTGAGCAGCTGTCGCCACCTTCATCCTTCACCCAGTGGTCAGCAGCGGAGCGGCCGGGTTGGTCACTCACAGACCAGCTAAACACTCGGCCCCGACTGTCACCGACGAGGATTCTGCTGTGGTCCCTGTGGGAAACATGACAAGGCCTGTGGTCCAGGGCTCCCAGTGTTCAAAGGAAGACCCGATTCTCACAAAGGAAGTTAGTTAAAATAGACAAAAAAAAAAAAAAAAAAACCCAAGTCTGGATTTATTTTCCCGTTTCACTTTCTTTGAATCAAATCTCGCTGTGGTTTTAGAGAACACAGGTAGCATTTTGGTTTATTTGTTGAAAATTAAAATCCACAGTGTCAAGTTTCAGGCCAGAAGAATCAGACCAACTACATTTGGATAACACATGCCTCAAGGATCAGATTGGAATATGAGTCCCTAGCTATGCAAATGACCCAGAAAGAGAGATGGGCTCCAAGAAGCCTGGCCCTTACTTGGAGACACCCAATGCGGTGACTTCAGCTGGGTGTGCATTGTCCTTTCGATCAAAGGCTGTGTGCATAGTTAGTTTGCTTCTGAACACCAGCTGCCGCTCCCACCGGTACCCTGGAACGGAGAAGTGAAGACAGAGACAAGCTAAACCTGGGGAGCTGCGTGAATGAAGGTAGACTTTTGGACTGTGGTTTCTTGTTTAAAACATGCCCAGCTTGACCTATAGAACTGTCAGAGGCCTTTGTCTGTGGCCCAGGCCACAGAGTTGATCAAGGATAGGGCCCCATGGGGGTTGGACTGCACAGCCCAAACACACAACCTGTCACACTGCTCACAGTCAGGGAGAAGACACCAGACCCCAAGTTACCAGGTTTCAATCGGCTGTAATTCCGTGCTTCGATGGGGTTGGGGTGGGAGTGGGCGAGGGGGCCCTGTAGATGTGCTCTAGTCTGGCCCTCAGAATAGTTCACAAATATGAAGCCATCTTTCTCGTCGAGGCTGAGCTGGTCCGACCAGCGCCTGGAGTCATCGGAGCCGCTGTCAGTACACCATGTGGCTGTGGCTCTGCAGGAGGCTGCCCGGGGCCTGTGGCTGGTGCTGCTGGGCTGGCTGGGCGGTTCCTTAGAATCCTGGCTGATGCTGGGCTCCTCCGTTTCAGAATCAGTGCTGTCTTCATCTTGGGCTTGCTGCCCTGGGTAAAGCATGAGGGAGATGAGAGATGGCAGACACATCAGTTAGGCACCTGTGGTCCCCGGTTCTGTTTTCTTCTATTAGATGGAGGCACAATCATAACTGACCTAACACTGTAAGCCAAGTATTTCTAGTAAAGCTACACATCATAAGAAAGCATAGGATCTGTCTCAGAATTCCATTTTATAGACCACGTCTGAGAAAAATCCTTAGCTTGGTATTTCATCCTTTATAGTAGAACCCAGGCCACGCTCCCCACCCTGAACACAGTCTGGCTCCTCTGGCTCTCCCCCTAACCCACTCTTCCTCACCCAGGTTCATCTCTGTGACCTTGTCTTCCCAGCGTCTCCGAGAACTGGTGCTACCCGTCTTTGAGGACACAACTACTGTGTCTAAAATGTTACTTGATTCCTTCTACGCATATTCCCTCCCCCTCCAACTCCTCCCTGCCACACCTCTTGGTGCTCGACATTCTTCTCTGTAACCCTGCACTCTTGCAAACAGTGGAGGAAGGACAGAAGCATGGGGCCTTCACTGCGGCAGTCGGTAACCACGTGACTTCTAAGACGAGTAAGCGTCTTATGAAAGTTTTCGTCTTTCTTTTCCTTTGTCACGTTACATTTCCTCACACCAATTACAGACCTCCTCAGTGACATCTCCCAAAGAGAAGACCCCCGGGAAAAAGTGTGCACAGGCAGATGTGAGAAACTGACAGCAAGCATGTAAGTGCGGCACACTATACACACCTACTTCATACCAGCAACACACGCTAATGACGCATCTCAGACTCAGCATCATGGCCTAAGCTGCTGAGGTTGCTCCGAGCCCCTGGGAGCTCCTAGCTTGCCTTCCTCCAGACTCATCCCTGGTACACTGGTCAGTCAGTCCTCTGTGTACTGCTTTGCCTTTCTGCCAAACTGCCACAGCAGAATACACATGGACCACAACACACGTTGGGTGTCTCTTCACCCCACGTAGTACCCTTCCTCAATCTCATTTACTTATCTCCTCTTCTGCTGCTATTCGCTAACGAGAAAAGTGACTCACTCCTCACTGGACCCTGCCACCCAAAGCCCCCAAACGGTTACTGAACCAAATTCCCGAATCTTATGTCCTCCCCACCAACACTTCACACAATCTCTTGAGGCTACAATTGAGCCTGCGGGAATTTACATTATCAATATAATCCAAGAATTAAAATGTCCTGATGATGGGACTTTTTTTTTCTGGCACAGAAAGCAGACACGTTGTGCCCTTCTGATAATGTGTCTTTTCCCATAGAAGCCCCATATCACCAAAGTCATTCAATTCTCAGTGTGCAGAAGCCAAACCACACAGAGGTGACATGAAGGCTATCAACGTGAAAACTGACTCTTTCCAGCAAGTCATTAGTGCTAGACCAGGAAGAGAAGTGTCTGTGGAGACCAGAAGCACAGGGCAGGATGCTGCTGGCTCTGTCTCAAGTCCTTCAGAAATAACAGCTGATAGTCTGCAGTTGGAATTAGTCCCCACATGGGCAGGAGCAGGCAGTCTGAGGACAATTTAACAGCCTGGCACCCACATGTTTCTGTCCACACTGCACCCTACAAGCTGGGCACAGCTGCTGTAGAACTGAGTTGAGGAGCTGCCTGGTGGACCAAATACTGTGTCCCCAGAGCTGAGACTCAGGCCTCCAGCACTTTGGGGGACCCACTCCTGTATGTAGCTTGTAATGTAGATGCCATCTAGGACTGCATCACTCGGAGGGCGCTGGTGAACTACAGCCAACCTGGTACACGTGACCATGGGAACGAGAGCAGAGACGGTGCTGAGCGCAGTGCCCAGCCTCGTCCATTAAAGCTGTTTGGTGAGTTTTCCCCGGTGGCTTAGGTGGCTGTTGGAGCATTAATACCTATCTGTGCTTCAGGACAGCCGTCTTGCATTTCCAGCTCTTCCACAGGCTCAGGAGCTGGTGTTTCAGGAACCTGAAGAAATTCCATCCTCCAGAACTGCAATAAAATCATGTGGAAACAGTGAATGCCACTCCAGAGACAGACCAGAGACAGTGAACATTACTTCATCAAGTTTCGCTCTGAGGGGTAGGTGCGTGGTGCAGTGCTGCCTCTCAGTAGGTTTTTCTGAGCCTGTGAGGCTGCTTGTCTCACATGGTAGCTTAGCTGTCCCTCACTAGAGGGAACGGACCACTGTGGTCAGGAAGTTTAAATCGTGGTCAGTGTGGAGGCTGAGTGAGGATGGGCCTCAGAGGCCTGTATCTTTCAGGGTTTGGCTCCCAGGTGGTGGACTATTTAAGGAAGGGTTAGGAGGTGTGATCTTGTGGTGGAGGCGTTTCACTGGGGGTGACCTTTCATTTGAGGTTTCAAAAGCTCACACTAGGCCCAGGCACTCCCTCCCTCCCCCTTTGAGAGTAAGGTGTAAACCCCCAGCTACTGCACTTGCTGCCATGCTCCCTGCCATGGTCATGGACTCGCCCTCTGAAACTGTGAGCCCCAATTAAATGCTTTCTTTGATAAGTTGCCTTGGTCATGGTGTCTTTCCACAGCAACAGAATGGTAATGGTGCCTAAGACAGTAACTGTATAAGTAAACTTCTGTTACCTGCAAACCCCCCCCCAGTCTTGTATATGTGAATACAAACCCCACCTCCAGGCACATTTGTCTGTGGCAATTTTGGTAGTGCTTTAAAGATTTAGCAGCAGAAGCTGTAGCCTCATGAATGTAGACAGAGGTATGTGTCCCCCACCCACCTGAGGCACGGCATGTGGCCATGGCATGTGGCTTGGGCATGGCTGTCAGCTTCCTTGTTTCTAACCCTGTGCCTATAAGTAAAGAGGGTGGTGACCAGTCACCCTGCTTTGACAAAGGGCACAATTGAGAGAAATAGGCCTAGAGGGGTTAAAAAAATAGAGCCACAGAGAAAAGGAAAATCTCCTGAGAGATAGAGCTTAGTACACAAACTGTCTCTCGTTTAATGCTAACCCACAGAGAGAGCAGCAAACACGTGCACTGCATCAAGGTTTCTGGGGAAATCACGTAGGCTCCAGCCTGAGCATGGATGTAAGGCCTCAAGTCGTGTGTGCTGTGTACATGTACAAGGGAACAGTGTGGATGCTTTCCTGAGGTCACTTACCCGGACCACTCCATCTGAGTGTCCTGTCACGATGACATTCTGAGTGTCCCATTCGTTCATCTCGGACACGCAGCAGCAGATGATCTGCTGACTCCTGCCTGTGAATGTGTTCACACTCACAATGGGGTTGCCATTGATGCTCCACACATGGATGTATGTGCCGGCACAGGACACAATGTCCCCCTGGGAAGAGGGGGAGTTTGTTAGTCTCTTCGCCCTGAGCTTCTATCCCCCGTCTAGCTCTCAAACCTTCCAGTCCTGAAGACTAGTGGCTGGACGGTTTCTGAGGTAACCTAGAATTCAGTGCTTGCTGATATAAATGTCAACAGAAGCTTCCTCAAAAATTCAAAGGGGAGTCCTTGCTGGAACCAGGGATCACTAATGGTGGTGAGAGGTAATGGATTTGAACACCAAGACCAGAGAGCAGAGGGAAAATTATGAGCTCAGGTGTGCTGAATTGCTCTTCAGCAACAGAGAAGGCAGATGGATACTACGGATTACTGTAATATCTACTGTAAAATCTGTATTTACAGCAAGTGAGAGAGCCAGACAAAACTAATGGCTTCTACTGAGAGGAGGAAGTACACTTCATTAGAGAAGCTGGGCAGTGTCGTGGATGGAAGGGAAGCTGGTGGAAGGTGTATGTCAGAGAGAGAAACCTTTCAAAAGGCACTAAGACATTACCAAACCATCTCTAAGAGATTATGAGTGTTTTGCTTGCATGAATGTCTGTGCATCATGGGTGCCTACCTGGTGTTCACATAAACCAGAGAAGGGCGTTAGATTCCCCTAGGACTGGAGTTCTAGACAGTTATGAGCCATGCTGTGCATGCTAGGAATTGAACCCTGGTCATATAGAAGAACAGCCAGTGCTTTTAACTTTAACCTCTGAGGCAGCTCCACTAAGACATCTTAACAAGCAAACAGGATGAAAACAAACCCGAATGCCTCTGTGGTTTAAAACACTGCCTGTAATCCAGTGGGTGCCCATTGGCTTACACAACAGACTAGAAACACAACTCTGGTTATTCAGGAACAAGCCAAGACCAATGTGTTACGAATAATGGCATAAGCACCTCATTAAGCGCCCAGGGTTTTAGAAAGCTTTTTAGGTGCAGTGCTCATATTAAACCCGCAAAGTCAAACTTAAATTTCACCAGGACACACCCTGCACATTCCTGACTCTGAGCACACCTACTCCTATCAACAAGACACTCTGTGTTATTCATTAGAACTGAATTTCTTTGAGTGACTCCAGGATATTTGACTAAAGCACAATACTTAGTGTTATTGTTTGGGTGTAAATGTATCCCGCAGTTTCATGAATACTGTATGACAGCCGCTGGTGGTATTTATTGAACTCTGGAGGCAGGAGGCATATCTGTGAAGGTAGATCACTGCAGGGCAGGACTTTGAGGATTACAGCCTGGTCCTACTCTCAGCCTGATACGGCCCGAGTTTTCCAGTTGTCACATACTTCAGTAGTAACAACTGCCTTATACTCTCATAGCCCGTAGACTAGAATGCTTTAGATGCCATAGTCCACTTACATACCATAAGCCAAAATAAACCCTTTCTCTTTTGCTTTTGTCAGGTATTTAGTTATAATGCTGAGAACATTAAGTAACACAATAGTATCATCTGGTAGAAACTAAAGCTGTAAGAGTCCTTCCGAATTGAAGGCTGTGTGAATGACAGTAAGAACCTCACACTGTGTTAAGAAGGAAGCCCAGGGCAGGGTCAGGGTAAGATGTGTGTTAATATGTGGAGTTATGAGGTTAACAGGTGGGTTGCTGTTAATTCCAGGATTGATCTGCAGATGGACAATCATCTACACTGGATGCCTCACAAAGAGGCCTCAGCTTTTGTAAACCAATGTCTGAGTCCCTTTGTGTATCATCCCAGCTCAGCAATAGATCTCCTTCTGGTCTACCTCAGGAGGCCTTGGTCTGCCAGGAGACTCCAAGCCAATGTATTCATTTTATTCTGATTCGTTTATTTATATATGAAACACTAACTTTTTAAAAAGCTAGCATCTTCTGGTAGCTCTAAAATCTGTTTTAGAAGTAACCTGATAATTATTTTTCTTTTATTTATGAACCCAGGGGTTAACACATTTTTCCTGTTGTAAGTAAGCAATTTGGGTACATTTCATTAAAAATTTCAACAAAACTCTTATACTTTTAACAAGTCCCATTATTTCCTCATAATTAAGAGACATATACTCTAGAATGTTGTTTTCACCAACTCTTGTTCTCTTAAAAATGCACAGCAGTGAAAGGAATTTTTAGGATAAAATGTTGTCTGGGTTATGAAATTTAATATTCATTTGCTTCTCAAGCAACTTATATACTAAGAAGAATTCAGTGGCTTTTGCAATGTGAAAATTCATCAACTTGGAAAACAGATTTGGTCTGGCCAGTATGTTCGCTAAACACAGTACTTACTGTTAACTCATTAATACAAAGAGCAGAAACGGGAGCTCGGTGGCCGCGGAGCTGGGTTAGAAACGATAGCTTGTTTAAATCCCAAATGATGCAGGTTCGGTCTCGGGACCCGCTGACGACTATGTGATAGGCCAGTGAAGCTGTGGCACAGGTAACAGTATCGGTGTGGCCGAGTAAAGCCTATGAAAGAGAAAGCGCAATCAGGCAGTCACAATGGGGGATCAGCTAGCTGTACCAAGCTTCGAGATGTATCAGCAGCACAGGCTCATTATCAGGGCTGATGCCCACAGCATCTTCTCTAGACTCCTCTCCATCTTCCCGTTCTCCGTAGGAAGGAAATGGTGGCCCCGATCTTTGAAGGAAGAGGGAATGTCCTGCTGCAACTGGCTTGGATTTCTTTTCACTCTTCCTATGTGATCATGTACCAATATGGATTCAAAGAAAAGACCTTAAGCTGAGTTTCTATTCTTTTACCATAAACTCTTATTTAGATGAGCACCTACGATTTTAAAAAGTGCATGAACCACGTGCAAAAATTACATTACTCAAAAGTGAAGAAATTAAAATTGCATGGTTGTGGTCTGTGGCCCTAACAGATAAAGGGAGAGTGGTCCCGACATGCTTGAGGCTCAAAGTTCTGTCTGAGCCCTCAACACAGTAGGTACTGAACAAATGAGAGTTTATTAATAAACTGCTTTTCAAATTATATTCTAAAATCACAGATTCATTCTCCTATTTTAAAAACACCTGTGATAAACACTCACAGATTAAGTACTCTGTGGGCAAAGGAGTCTAAGCATAAGCCTCGTGCCCCAAATTTAATCCTTAGAATCCACGGAAAATTGTAAGTTGAGAATGGACTCCACAAAATAGCTTAATTACAAAAAAAAAAAAGAAAAACTTTTGCATTAGTGAAAACTAATAATAGATTCAGATAATGATTAAGCAATTAAAATTATACCACTGGGGTTTGCTGAACATGTGAATGAATCTGACAAAACTAAGACTTGGTGGTCCAGCCGAGTGGAGCCACTGTGGGACAGCAGTAATATCAAATATACTTGACTTACAAAAATCTAGTGTACATTTGTTCCAGAACATTCGTTCTTTGATAGGCTGAAATATACCCCTCAAAGATAGCTTCCTTCAGATTTTAAGAGGTGCTTTTTGAGAAACAGCATATTTTGACTACTGAAAAGTATTTCTGGCAGTTAACATGTTTTGGGTCAGGTGTGGTGGCATATACATGCAATTCCAACACCCAGGCGGTTGGGGATCAAGAGTCTACAGATCTACAGACAGCCTGGACTACGCAGTTGGAAGCGGTCTTCAGCAAGAAACCAACATACAGCCACACAACACTGCCCGCCCGCAACCGTGGTCTGCTTTTGTCTGCCATGTCTGGGATGGCTCTGGCTTCGGGAGGTCTTTTGCAGTTTCTGGAGCCAGGCTGCTGAGCGAGAATGCGCCCGCCCTCTCCCAGGCTGCACGGTTACCTGCTTGAGCGTCAGGGGCTTGGCCTTTTCTTTGGAGGTGCCCATCTCCCACACACACACCGCTGTGCTTGTTCCGCCCGTGATCACCAGCTTGGGGTTGGGGCAGATGGCACAGAGAATCTGACCCCACTCAGACAAACATTCATAGACCGTCACTGCCTGTGGAAACAAAGCAGATGTGAGACACATGCTCCCGAGGGCTGAGGACTTCAGCCACACAGGACGGGGAGAGCCAAGTTCCCAGGGAAGGTCCCTGGAGGCAGCCCGGGTGCGTCCTGTCTCCCACCCTGGGCTGGGATCGGTTACAGTGACCAGAGTTCAGTTAAGAGTGACAGTTCCCCTCAAGTTCTACCCCAACTGCCCAAGAGCATCTAGACTACAGAGGCTGCCAAGCGTCAAAATTGAGAGACTGTGTTCATAACAGTCTGATTTCGATCCATTTGGGGCAAATGATGTTCAACCTGTGTGGTGGAAGCAAGGTGAAAGGGCATGTTGGTTACAGCCAGTGAGAGCACACAAAGGAAGCCACGCCTTTTAAAGGGACACACCGCACACAGGGAACAGTGCCCAGTGTGAGCAGAGGCTAAGCAGTCTGTCAGGGTGGGCGGGTTCATCAGAGGGCAACATCCACTGACACATCACCCATGGCAGCAGCTTTTGTGCTGTGGGATGGGGCTGCTTTAGGGTACTAATAACATGGCAAGTGGCCAGATTGTGACTTGACAAAACAGAGGCTGTTCAGGCTGCCGAAATTGTGGTGAGCGATTTGCTGGCTGGGATCTCCTATAAGAATTCTGGGAGCGGGAGGGAAGTGTTAACACCCACCTGACAAATTTTCAAGAAACACTTGTTCTGCAGGCATCGTGACTGCTCCAGCAGCTCTCTCCTTGTGTCTGGAGTTGCCTTTGGAGGAGCTGCTGGCAGAGCCTAGCCTGGCTTCTCCCCAGCTGTTAAGCTGCATTGTCCAGGCCCTGAAGGGAAGGCTCAGGAAGGGAAGCAGAGCATACCTTGTCTGACTCGTAGGTCCCTAGTCTGCAGCTGAGGTCTGCATAGCCCCAGGCAAAGGTCTTGTTCCACGCTGGTGGGATCAGAACTTTGTTCTGCTCCACTGCGAGAATTCCCTTGTCTGTGCAGACGATCTGCCCCACGGGCTCCTTGAGTTCTGTAAGGAAATGACTGCATTAAGACAGATGGGGACTGTGGACTTCAGTCTCACACACCAGGATCTCGGTCTCACACACCAAGCGACACTGATCAGATGATGGCAAAAGATCTCAACCCCAGACCCTGGTGCCCCACATCTTACCTTTCACAGGTGTCAGGGAAGGCCTCAGGTTGTCTAGGTGATGGAAGAAGATCTTGTCACTCGTGACTCCCGGTGGGATGGAGATCCCCATGTTGTCACCGTTGAGTCGACTCCTTACTCGCTTTGGTGGGTGAGGTTTTTTAAACAACTAAAGAGGATGACACACTTTGGAGGATGGATGTACCCAGCCCTTTGGAACGCCAAGCACCATGGGCTTTCTTGGCGTCACGGCTTTACATGCATTATACTACATTGCCAGAGCTGGGGTCATCGTACCCAGCACAAAGCTGAATTAACTTTCTGAAAAAAATATCATCTACTCAAACTGCACATTGACTGACAATTATTTACACTGGAGTTTAAAAGTTAAGCCAGTCTCCATAACCTGATCCACTCGGTTCCTGAAGGCAGGCAGTGTTAATGGGATGTATTACTGTTCTGCATGGCTATCCTACATGTGACTTAGCATGTTATGCCCTGCACAGCTGTCCCTAATGTGACTTAGTGATGCCGCTAGGGTATTTTGGAGGTGCTCATGATTTTCTGCATATTTATGAATCCCTCTTGTATTTGAGGAAAGAATTAAAAGAGGTTAAGAGGACTGCAAGTGCTGGCACACAGTGACCAGGGGCAGGGTTACAGCATCAAGGTACTTGGTGTTGTCAGGGTCACTTTTATTTTTCCAGTGAAACCAATTTTTAAAAGAAGCCGGGCGGTGGTGGCGCACGCCTTTAATCCCAGCACTCGGGAGGAAGAGGCAGGCGGATCTCTGTGAGTTCGAGGCCAGGCTGGACCGACAGCCTCCAAAACAATACAGAGAAACCCTGTCTCGTAAAACCAAAAAAGAAGAAAGAAACCCTTGGCCTTTTTGGTTCACTATTTCTACAAGATCCTAATATTAAAAGTCCACTTAAAGGGTTTTTGTGAAGTCTTTGAAACACTGATATTGTTATTTATGCTGGGAAACTAGTATCTGAGCTCTATGGTGAATTCACAGCCCCATTTTGGGAGCCCTTACTGGGATCACTAGAGAAAACAAAGCCTTGAGGCCCCTGTTTCCAGTTCAGATACATATAGGGACATGGGTCAGGGTTCTGTTATCATCAATATGGAAGTTGTAAAACAGAAATGCACATTACACAGCAGATCATGGCTAGACACTAAAGAACTTTACATGAAGACTCTGCTGGCTAGTTTTATGGTAACTGATCTCAGATTGGAGTCTTTTGGGAAGAATGAACTTCAGCTGAGAAAATGCCCTGACCAAATAGGCCTGTGAGAAACCCTGTGTGGTATTATCTTGATTAATGACTGATTAATTAGTCATGCACTCCAGGACCACCAACCCACTAGGCCCTGGGGTACATACGAAAGCAGACTGGACAAGCCATGGGGAGCAAGCCAGTAAGCAGCACTCCTCCACGGCCTCTGTGTGAGCCCCTGCCTGCAGGTTCCTGTCCTGACTTTCCTGGATGGTGAACTGTAGGTTCTAAGGTAAAACATCTCCGGCCCCACCCCAAGTTGCTTTGGTCCTGTGGTGTTTACCACAGCAACAGAAGTTCTAACAAAGACCAAGACGAAGGCTATAGCACGGGGCAAAATCACAGGTATACAACGTGACTACACCACCTAGGTGTGAAAGTATTAGCTCTTACTTAACGAGATGTCTTAGAAATAACTCTGGTGGCTTCTTATACCAAAGTAACACAGCAATCTTGCAATAAATAGTGCAAGGTCTTTAAAAAAGGTGTTAAAAAAATTGTGTGTGTGTGCAGTGCCTTCAGGTCAGAATAGGGAGTTAAGAGTCTTGGAGCTAGATTTATGATGGCCGTGAGCTACCCGATGGGATGCTGGAAACTAAACTGGAGTCCCATGTGAGAGAAGTAGGCATCAACTCTCTCCAGCACCTCCTGGTAGGTCTTGAACACAAAACATGAACTTGTACCTCGTTTGTGAATGGAAACTATTCAAACAACAACATTTCTACTTCTGTGGACTGTAAAATGGAAAGTAGGAATGAGCCGCCTACTGCACTTACTGGGCAAATGGTACAGCTGTGTTAATTACTACTGTGTGGTCATCACCTACAAAGCAAACAGGACCCACTAATGGCACAAACACCCATACCTGCTTAGGGATTTGACCGAAGTTATTAATGAACCCGATGGTGGCTGTCTCCTTCAGTGGGTCATTGATGTTGTAGATGTCCACTTGACCCTCATAAAAAAGGTGGTGGAAGACGTTGACAGCTTCTACTGCAGCTGGGCCCTGCTGCTTATAGCCAAAGATCAGGTCGATCCACTCGTGTAGGTGGGCACTTACATAGTCACACTCCAAAGCCTGTGGTTCCGAAACAGGCTGAGTCATTGTCAGGCTTTATTACTTGTTCCCAAAGTAAAAGAAACTTGGCTAGAGGTCAATGGAATTAAAACATTAAAGAATCACAAGAATAATACAAGTAACTTAAGGAATGTGTGTCACACTGCTCAGGGTCCTCTCTCCATGCTGTGGTCACTGACAAAGTGACACTCAACTTTCCCTTACCTCACGGTGGACTCTGATGAACTCTCTTGGGTCTCCCTTTGCCCAGGGCGGAAGGATAACATCTCCAAGCTTGGTGCCATTTTGTTTACAGCCTGTGGAATTGGACACATTAGGAATAAAGTGTAAGAATGAGTTTGGTGGTTAGCTTCCTACTAAAGAGACAGTAATCATATGTTAGATTTATTACCAGAGCTATAATACCTCCACCCACTTCCTAAGACTGCCTGTTGTGGCGTTTCTCAAAGGCTACTCCCTGAGCAAGCCTCAGAAAGACTGCCAATTGTTAAAAAACACAAGTGAAACTCAAGTGTCACTCAGCAGGGCTGACTTACAAAGCTAAACACAGTTTCTCCCCAGTAAGATGCCCGGGGCTCTGACACTGCACTTACTATCCTCAAAGAGCAACACAGTAGTTTCTAGAATACTGACAGCTGCAAATCCCTTTTCAATGGCATATGTTGTGAGAACTTCAGTATATGAATTTTCTCATCTTTTGACATGTGGGTGTGTGTATTTGTGTAGCTCTGGCTGCCCTTAAATGCACAGATATCCGCCTGCTTCTGCCTCTCAAGTGCTGGGATGAAAAGCGTGTGCCACCACACCCCACTGACAAAGAGGTATCCATAGAAAACAGATATTTGGCAGTGATGATTTTCATTAAAAAATAAAATCTGAAACAACAAATTTTGCAGCATTAAAAGAAAAACATTTGGAAAAATGAGAGCTTCTTGGCAGAAACAAAACATCATTTTGCAATTAATATTGATACTTGTTCCATGTAAACTCACGTTATATGAGATAATCTGCGCATATTAAATAATTTGAGCCCAGCACAGTGGTACACATCTATAATCCCAACATTCCAACACTTAGGAGGGAGGAGGTAGGGACCACAAATTGGAGGCTGGCCTAGGCAATATAGCAAGTTCTAGGCCACCCTAGGCTAGAAAATAAGATTCCCAACTTTAATTAAAAAACAAACAAAACTATCTGCTATGAGGTTTAAAAAACTTGGAATTATCATTTAGAAAAACAGGTACTTTTTGTTTTTAATGAAACAATTCTAAAAGTTATTTTAGTGTACAACTCCCATAGGTACAAATGAGAGTGGCACCGTGAAAAGCGACTGTGAACAATGAGCAAGTGTACTAACTTCACAGCAGTTGGCTAGACAAATGCTGTGTAGGTTTCATCAAGCAGTGCAGCTTTCCTGCCTCGGAGACGAAGCCAGGAAAAATACTTCCCGCAGAAACCATCACGTGTTCATCACTGGGACTTGAACATTTATAATGTGGTGGCTATAGAAACCTGATGGGGGATGTCCTTCTGTATGCTGTGAATACGTGTTTCTCCGATTGGCTGATGGATAAAGCTGATTCAGCCAACGGACAGGCAGGATTTAGCCAGGAGAGAAATCAAAACAGGAATAGAGAAAGGTAGTAGAAAGGTAGACATCATGTAGCTACTAGGAAGGTAGGATGCCTGGGCATTCACTGGTAAGCCAAGACTACGTGGAGATACACAGATTAATAGAAATGGCCAAATAATTTAGAGAAAGCTAGCCAATAAGAAACCTCAGCCATCGGTCAAACAGTTTATAATTAATATAAGGCTCTGTGTGTTTATTTGGGACCAAATGGCTAAGGAACCAGGCAGGACAGAAACTTCTGCCTACAGAAACCAGTTTACTGACCAATGCATTGATTGGGTTAGAAATCACCATGTGACTTAAGACAAAAAGTCAAATCATTATAGTAACTCCACACTTCACATGTTCCCTCTAAGCCTCTCAAATGATTCCCACCTCTGTGAGTGTATGTGTGTGTGTGTGTGTGTGTGTGTGTGTGTGTGTGTGTGTGTGTATGCGTGCATGCACACATGTGCATGCAGGTGCCTGCAGAAGCCAGAAGAGTCAGATCTCCAGGAGCTGGAATTGCATGGATGCTGGGAACTGACCGCAGGTGTGCTGCTTAACCATTGACACGGACAGAAAACAGGTTATTAAAAAAGGCAAACAGAAGAGGAGCTGGCTGGAATGTTCAAAAGTGGGAACAATGGATTTTTGATGTTTTCAAAGAAGCCCTCAGAAGCAGAGATCAGCAAATTGTGATCCATAAAACTGTAACTGAAGTCAAGCACTCTCTCCCTAACTGCCAGGGAACAGAAGAAACACTATACTATGCATGGAAATTTTCTCCTTTCAAGACATGCTGATTTGGTACTTTTCCCTCTGGAAAACAGGACACTCACAGGATAAAGAAACATGATTTAAATTATTTTTAAGTCATAGTTTTAAAAGAAACGAGCATACAAACTGATAATGCCTCAGATAACATAAGATTAATAAGATAATGAGATTGTATCTACCACCCTTGGCCATTAATAGGTTTTTAACAGCAGTGTTTTCTCAAATACATTTTTTTCCCACTTTTTGTTTCCGCTGAAACAATACGACCCCGACTATTGGATGCCGTCTGTGTCAGTGTTACATTTCTCCCAGACGCCAGTTGAACTGGATCTTTTGAGGCATGAAATTGCTTCCCTGGGTTTCATTTAGATGCACACTCAGAGTAGTCAGTTCAGCAGGGAGGATTACAGGGAGATTCTTGTCAGGCACTGCAGACAGTCTTTATAACAGTCCTAAGACGTGCCACTTGTACATACCTAGATCAAAGTTGTTGGAATTGAAGAGGAATTCTGGTAAATAAAAAAATTCTGGGATAAGTTCTTTCACATCTGCCATGTTGTGCTTTGATGCGGAGTACCAGGCCTCACGTACACTGTGGAACATCCGGTCTGCCAGGTCGAAGTGTCCGCCCTGTGGGCAGAAGGAGGAGGTACCTCTCCATCAGGGAACCACTGTGCCACAGAGTGTCAAGTTCAAGGGCGAAAACACCTCAAACACCTTTGTCTACGTCCCCCTTTCTTGCCATCCTACATTAAAAACACAGAGCTTTAAATAATCATAAAACCGATTTCTCTTTGGTGTATTCTTTACAAAGGATGCCCAGTGTATCTGTCATAATCAAAGTAAAATTCAAATAAGAAGATGTAAAAACTCTTTAAACATTAGTCTTTACAGAGACAACAAGACTAACTATAAGGGGCTAAGAATTTTCCCACAAATGACGCTCTCATGTAAGCCACATGAACGGTCAAGTCATGTCCCTATGCATGAATGGATGTTTGGCCAATTGTGCTTTTTACATTAGCTCACAGGGCAAAGGGTTCCAGACAGGATTCTCATTCATATTTGCCTTTGGTTGATTCCCTGACTTCCTTGTGCATGTTAACGTGCATCGAAGTTTTCGCAGCCATGCCATTGAGGAGAGAGTTATCAGAGGTTAATGGTTGATAAAACAAGTTAGAGGAGAGAGCGTTTTTACCCACACATACACACACCCTCCTGGACACATCAGCTTCACCTCTGCTTAGTGAACACAGGGCACCTATGACAGTTGTCATAGGAAAAGGCCACAGGACGCCCATGACCACCAACAGTAAGTAGCCAAGCCGAGGCCTGCCCTGCTCTGCGCCGTTTCTTACTCCATTCCTTACTCATGACTTTCTCACGTCCTCACTCCATTCTGGGTACCCTGGCCCACCTGGCTGTTCCCGCCTCCCATGCCAGGCACATGCTTGTCTTGGGCTCTGTGTAGATGCCACTGTGTGTCCAGGTGTTTGCAGGGCTCCTTAACTCCCCAAGCCACCCTGTTTAAGCTGCCTCCCCTCCCCCACCTTTCACTCTTCATCTGCATTTTTCCGATACAGTTGATCACACTCTAAAAACACTTCAAAACTTACTAAAAAACAATGTGCAGCTGAATCCTTAATTAAAACCCTAAAACTAAAAGAGCTTTGTCCTTATCCTCGGATGTCCTTCCAAACAGCCAGAGTGACTGCAGAGGGGCACTCAGCTGGCATGCGCTGAACCACCGAGAGCAGAGGGCACTCAGGAGGCATGCGCTGAACAACAGAGAGACTATGGAGGTGGCGATTATAACCAGGGGCACAGCATAGGGCCTTTTAAAATAAAACACTTGCTGAATTTAACTAGTTAAGACTAACCACCACCACCCTCCACCCAAACTGGAATATTTATGCTGCTTACTTTAACTATAGGATCTGGGCACTTGTTCATTCTAAATGAATTCTAGTTTATCAATTTAAGCCTAGCAGAATTTCAGTTCAGCTCTGAATGACCAACTTATCACTACTAAAGCTTCGTATTGTTCCTTATAAGGTGAGATTTCTTTCTTAAATGGCAATTTTAAATGAATGTAGACTTAATTAGGATGGTAAAAATTCAAAACGTGGGTTTTACCTGAAGTCGTAAGAATATCTGGGTGAAAGGCTCCATTCTCACAAGATACGAGGCCACAATCATTGCAGAAGAATAGTGGGTGCCGTAGTGGTAGGCTGGAGTCTCGCCTGCGCCAGACAGTTGGGGCATCATTAGAAACAGAAGAGGAGATGAGAAAAGGAAACATGGTGTTATCCAATCTGTGGTTTGGAAATGTTAGCCATTGTGATGGGCAACAGGGACACTGATGCTAGCTCCAGGTACCGACGGCAGGGACACTGCAACTCCACCACCCGACAGGTACAGATCTGGCGGCACCTACAACAAGCCTGCTGGGCTCTCCCCAGACAGAAGCGGTTCTGCCAACTTCCACCGAAGCCCAATCAATACTGGCTTAATGGCTGATTGTTTTCATTAGGCTGTGACTTTGAATTATATAGTTCTTTAAGTTGTTGTCTAAAATGCAATGCAATAGTATGTATCACTATTGTGTATCTTCCTGGGCAGATCAGGGGCGGGGGGGGAGAAAGAAAATGAGCACAGGCATACTAATAAGCTTAAATTCAAGAGGTTCCTCCCTTTGCTTTATGTATTTGGGGGAGAAAAACAAGTCACTAAATATAATAAATTGTACAGTTTACAAATATTATCAATTCATAATTTTAAATGAAGGGCTTTAAAAGTAGCTCCATGAAATTGAAGGAGACACAATAAGTGAATGTGTAGTTCCCAGATTGAATATTATTAGAGGCCAAGAAAGGAGAGCGTCCCTGCCAGGGCTCTGCAGACAGCTACAACATCTTATAGAGATGGTCACAAACTGGCATGAAGACTGAGCGTCTACTGTAATAATGGATATGCAGCTGTGCATATGTTACAACAGATGTGCAGGTGCACATATGTAACACATCAGCAGGTTGCAGGCGTGCCCACAGCTATCAATGCACTGAAAACTGTTTACTTTTGAGACCGAAACACGAAGCCAATGGCAGAAGGAGCGCCTCACCATTAGGATCCTCCCAGTCCTTATACCGCTTTTTGTACTGGGCCAGCCGCTCGTCCGTCTGCGCGCCCATTGGCTTAGCCAGGTTTCTGAATGTCTTGGGGTTAGTAAGATCGACCTCCTGAAACACAAAACAAAACCCAGTGCTAAGATACCAGGCAACCTTGTCTTCAGTGTGGATGCTGTGGCTGTAGTGGCAGTGACCCTTATCTGTGGACGGGACTTAGAAATAGCAGCTTGTGTGGTATTTACACATCTTACACTCAGAAACAGGCTTGCTAAGTGGCACTGCTCAGCAAGTGACTTGGAAAGTATGCATTTCACAGGGAGACACTTGGGATCCCGGCTGTAGGAAGGAGAGTAGCAGGGAGATGCTTCTAGTTCTTAACAAGGACATGGAAGGACACTGCAGGCACAAAGGTGACCATTCAGGGGTTACCTCCATCGCTCCTGTCAAGGCTCTCGTAACCACTAGAGGACAGAGTCTTTCTATGCCCCCTCTTAGTGCCTTCTAACTTTACCCCTGAGCACTTCCTTTGTGTTGGAAATAAATGAAAACACTCAGCCACCAGGGCATACACCCTAGTAAGTGACTTCCAAATACAATGGATTTTTTTCACTGACGAATTATTTTAAAAGTATATAACTAGCTGACCTAATTCACATATCCAAAAGAAAACCAAAACTTACCCTAAACCAAATTAGTTTTTAAGGTAGAAATTTGAAATACATATCTGTGATGTCTGTGAAAAGTTTAATATATGTCCTTCTTATAGGATATCAAGAGTATTACAATTTTGCCAAATAGTCTTGGGAACACTCAATGACTTGAGGTTTACCTCGGAGTCATAGTCTGCGAGGATCCAGGGGAAGACAGGGTACTGCATCAGGTCATTGTAGGATCTGCCGGCCAGTGTGTTCAAGTGCATCAAATACTGGAAGTTGCTGATTTCACCTCTCTTAGGAAAGACAAGAGACACATCTTAGAGCGATAAATTATTTTTGCTGTTTAAAAAATTTTATATGTAAAAATGGACATTAAAAAAAGATTTCATCCCCCCCCCAAAAAAAAGAACTTTCTCCTCTATGGCCTGCATTTAAAGATTGTAACTACAAGGCACTGAGTCGCATTAGTGTGTTTGCTTACCTCCCATCTCTGAGTCACAGACTTCTCTCCGACCAAAGTACTAAGTAATCCAGATCTAAACACAGAAGAAAGTCAATTACAGGTCCCGGTATGAAATCTGAACAGCTTTACAACTGACACATTTTGATCACTTGTCTACAAGCCCCTTCCAGCCCGCAGAATGGATCTGTTCACGTGGGCCACAAAGTCACTTTAGAGGACTGTGATCAGCACTTTGAAACAGGATATATGCGAACCAAATGAAACTCGGGAAGCAACTCTTTATCTCTAGCCCCTGAGCCATCTCTCCAACCCCACACATATACTCTCGGTGAAGTACACAATTATACAAGCAAGCATTCGATCAAATCTGAAATTTAAATAACGAATGCAGAAAGCTGGTGTCTATTCGGTCAAGCAAATCAGTCTAACAAGGGTAGAATCCAGATGGAGAATTTCTTGTGTATCAACTTGGTTTTGTATATCAAGAGCCTTAGAACTTACATACTTCATTTTATTATAGTCAGTCTGTCTATACAAACAAAGAGGAATTGCATTTTAGCGCTATTAGGAAAACGTGGAAACAGTAGCATCAAAAGACCAAGACTGCTTTATACACATGACAAAGAGGTGAGTGACTAAAGGTTATGTTTCCAAAGAGATTCTGAAGATGAGAGGTGTTCACATATAACACTAAATGAAAGAGTAAAAGCCTGTGTGTCGAGAATTTAAATTTTTTTCTATAACAACTGATGAAAAACATCAAAGGATTCACTCTAGATATAAGTCATCTTAATTTCACAATGAAATGATATTGAGCAAGCAACATGCTACATACCCTTGTTCTACACTGGTGTTCGGTCTTTGACCAGAGACAGACTCTGAGCTGTCAGTGAGCGATGGCACAACCGCCAGGAACCTAGAACATTTAAAATTGCAAATGAAGTCTTAGCAGGGACCTAATGGAGCCCTAGGAAACAAGGACAGCCAATCCTTCCAGCTTTCCTGCTCCTGACCCTCCCACAGGCAGTAAGTGGCAGGCAAAGATGCTGACTACAAGGCCCACGGCACCATCCGGCCTTGTACCTGTGCTGTCACATGAAGTGGGGAAGGGAAGGGGAGTCAACAAATGGAGGGCTAATGAGTGACTGCAACAAAACAATCCCCCGAACAAATGCTAAAACAGACTTCACAAACGAATGGACACAAAAGATACAACTTTTCTGTGCGACTGTTAGCCTTTCGCAGTTGCTCATGACATAAGTATGTCTTAAATCTCAAAAAAAAAAGAACGGTAGGGGAAATCCCGGGAAAGATGTGGACCTTGAACTTGACATGTGCAAAGACATTTCTGGGAGAAAGACAAGGGCATCTTCCCCCAGCACTCCACACTGTGAGTGTCACACAGCATCGTCTCTGCACTGCCAAGTCAGACAAGGAAGGGGAGGCTTTATCAGCCCTCTCACATGGCAAAGGAGATTTGGATCACCAGTCGTCTAGACACTGTATTTAAAGGACATGCCATTTCTATGCTCACACACATTACAGCAGTCTCCTGCTATCTACAGTTTTGGTTTCTGCCATTTAGTTATCTATGGCCAACTAAAGAACATAAAAAAAAAGTTCAAAAATATTAAATGGAAAATTCCCTAAATAAAAATTCATGTGTTTTAAAGAACTTCTATTACAACAAATGGCTATGGTTGTGAGTCTATTACTCTGCCCGATTCACAATATTTATCACAGATGTTCATATAGACTACAAAGAAGTAGATTTAGGATTTAGTACTCTCTGTAGGTTCCCAAGGATCATCTTGGCAGGTGCCCACCATGTCCAAGGGCGTCAGATGGTACTGTACTGCAATAGCATGTAGCACTGCCAGGAACGGAACTACAGTATCCATTGTATAAGGAGTCCTCGTGCCCCCTTCTATTCTCATGTGTCACATGAGCCCCATGAGTACGTGCTTTTTTAGATCTTCTCACCAATGATAAAACTGATAGAACTGATTGGTAGTTTTAACTGGCTATGCTACTTTCTCAACAATGAAGGCATTTAACTTCCCTTCTAGCGCAGCAAAGACTCTCAAGCAGATCTTGTTTCTAAAGCAAGGCAGTTCTGGAGCCCCGTGGGAAGGTAAAGAAGAAGGTGGAACCTTCTGAACCCAAAGTATTACTTTTCAACTTTATTTATCATTATCATGTATGTGGTGTGTGTACACATGTGGGTGCACGTGTACACACTTAGGTGCACATGCAACGGCGTATGTGTGGAGGCTAGAGGGGAACCCTGTGGAGTTGCTTCTCTTCTACATTTTGTGGGTCCTGGGGACTGAGCTCCTGTCACTGGGCTTTAGTACAGGGCTGTTCTCACTGAGTCAGCTCTCCAGTCCACCAAAGCATTGTTTTTTAAGTGATGTTTTTATTTTGTGATGAAATAGCCTTTGATAGTTCTCAGTGTACGTTACCAGAGGGAGAAAAGCTATTTTTAAGGGAACTGGTCTGGGTCTGAAGGCTAGTTGCGGGAATCACATTTCTAAGGCTGGGAATGAAAAGAATACTGCAAAGAGGCTGACTCACTGCCCTGGAATTTGGATCTTAAGCACCTAGCTGAACAGGTTGGCAATGGGCCCTCCCATTTCCTCCTACAACAGCATATAAGGAATTCCTCATGAGCCAGACCTTTGGTAGACTTTATTCCGAATTCCCTTTTGGAAAGCCAGGAGGTAATTCCGTCCATCCCCAGAGAAGACTTCTACAGCAATAGGCTTAAACAGAGAAAAAATAAACAATCAGACTGATCATAAGAAATGCACTGACTTTCCCTTTGTGAAGTTCTACAATGTTGATGAATTTCTTGACTTGAAAATACTCTAGACTCATGAATTCTCTGTATATTCAGCCATGGAAACAACCAAAGAATTTTATTTTTTACTTTGCTCAAAATTAAAGAAATCTTTAAAGACAGAATGATAAATAGTAACTTAAAATTTATGTTCCTACAATGATAAGGCTGTACTTTTTATATGAAAAGACAAAATGTGCACTTCAAGACTAGAGAGAGGAGAGAGAGAGACAGAGAGAGAGAGGAGGGAGGGAGGGAGGGAGGGAGGGAGGGAGGGAGGGAGAGAGAGAGAGAGAGAGAGAGAGAGAGAGAGAGAGAGAGAGAGAGAGAGAGGGAGAGAGGGAGAGAGGGAGAGAGGGAGAGAGGGAGAGAGAGAGGGCATAATGCAGGCAGCACCCAGAAATCAGACTGTGTTTAAGAAAGCCCAGATGCACCCTCAGGTGCTGTGACCCCTGGGGTCCTAGTCTCTAGGGAGCAATGTGGATGCTGCAGTTATCACAACCCCGAGCCGTTTGAAATGAAACATCATTTAGTGTGCTGCCAACTCACCTGCAGCAGGTACCGTCTCTTATGTACCTCCTTGATATCTTCATATGCGAAAAGGCTGCATGTCCTCTTGAGTTGACTGGGGCCCTGTCTGGCTCCCCGAGGGATAATTGGTTCATGCATGCTGTGAGAAGCCAAGAGAAAAGGCAGCAAACAAAACGCAACAGTGGGTAGATCAACTCACTGATCAATGAAGTACATGCCATTTCCAACATAACACCAGGAGGGGAGGCGACACACCAGAACTCTCAGCTAAAAATGTGACTAACAGAATAGTCTAGCATCTCCTGGCAAACAAGGAAGCCCCTTTGAAGATTACAATTTAAAAACTGATTTTTGTTTGGATCAGCCTTTTTATCAAACAGGCGGCACAGGGTCTAAGCCAATGACATACTTGGGGAATCCCCAAAACATTTCATTTCTTTACAAATCAGAATAAAAAGACTCAAAATATTTTAATATAGATCTATCATTATACCAGGAGTCACAAAACATGGCTTTCTTTTATTTTTCAAGAATCACAAAATGTAATTACAAAATTTTTTTTACATAGAAGAGGAGCTCGTGAAAGTCATAATGTGGCCATGGCTGGTGCAGAAAGTAATTATTTGCAGTATCCTCTGGGAATGTACAGAGACCCCTGCCTCGTTGACAGTAGTATCAGGTGCTCAGAATACTGAAGGAGACAAAAGCCCACGTGTGTTCTGACCACAAAGTGATCCATTACCCATGGTTACCCCATAACCGGGTGAAGAAAGGAAGATGCAAAAGAATACATGCAGTCAGCCCATGTGGGCTTTGGCTACCCAACTTCTAGAACATTCAAAGTACAAGGGTTGTTCTTTTGTTAAGAGTATTGTTCCTGAATGTTTCTACCACTGTGCGCATATGCCTAGCATGTACATGTATGTGGAGTATTTGCACGTCGTGTATGCTGGGGAACAGGCATGTGCGCACATGTCTAGGTGTGTACATGTGTGTGGTGTGTATGCATGTGTGTATCCCCTGGTGCACAGGCACAAGCGTAAGACTTGAGGAGGATGCCAGGTGCTATGTCACTCTCTGTGTCGTCCTTTGGAGCCAGGGTCTTTCGCTGAACCTGCAACATGGCTAGTGGCCACAAATTCCTAGCAATTTCCCTAGCTCAGTCCCCATAGCACTGAGATAACAGGTGGCTGTGTGGCTACGCTTGTGTTTTTAACGTGGGTGCTGGGGATCTGAACTCAGGCTCTCATGCTTGGGTGGCAAGCGCCTCTACTCTCGTAGCCATCTCTCCAGCCTCAGTATCAACAATTTCACAGGTCATCTTACACATTCAGAGTGAACTCATAAATATATATGTGCTGGTTAGTTTGTCAGCTTGCCACAACTGGAGTCACTGGGAAGACGGAATCTCAGTTGTGAAAACATGTCCATAAGACAGGTCTGTGTGAATGATTTAAGTGGGAGAGGCCAGCTCACTCTGGGCAGTGCTACCCGCTGGCAAGGTAGGTGGCCCTAGGGTGTATAAGAAAGCAAGTCCAGTGAGCCGTGGGGAGGGAGTCAGTAATAGTATTCTCACATGGTTCCTGCTTCAGCTCCTGCCCTGACTTCTCTCATTGAGGGATTTGGAGAGGGAAATGGCTGCTTTCTGGTTATGCTGTTTACCACAGCAAGAGAGCGACTAACTAAAACACTAGGTTAACAATGACTGTGTCTGGATCTAATGCTGATGATGAAAAGACATAAAATGGAATTGTCATTTGATGAACAAGCACCCTTCTCTTCAGTGGACATGACAGTATTGCTCTGAGGAGCACACGAACTGGGAGATAACCTTATTTAGGACACAGGCTTGGGATTAAAAAGAAATAAAGCAAACATATTTTCTGTCATCTAGAGGCAGCTTTTCCTGTCTCTTCATTCGTTTACTTACTTTGGAGGTAAAGTTTCAATGTCTCTTATTTCCCTGGTTGCTGTCATGGTGAATCCGTCAATCACATAAAAATGCTCCTTCCCAAAGAGCAGTAGCCCCTCGCTGGTGTCCAGGCCCTGGACTCTAGCACAGCGGTACATGTGTTGAATCTACAAAGAGAGCCACAGATACCCTTTCTTGTAACTTAAAAAAACAACTGGCTAATTTCTCACGTTTGTTACTGTTACAGTAAGCCCCAAGCTAAGCATATTAAACCCAAGTTCAGGCAAGCAAGGAAACAGCTTACTCTCAATTCCACTTGCAGATGCCTTTGGCAATAATAAGGAGCAAGCATTCACCTACATCATTCACCTAAGCTCACGCCCCACTCAGGACCCCATCTCCTATGCCAGGTGTCTGTGATGGGGTCAGCAAATGAGAAACCAGTTGGCTGAGGCTCCTGCTCTCATGGAGGGCACAGAGTAAGGTTTGGCAGAACAGAGGTTTGAAGTATGCACGTGGAAAGATTACAACAGGCAAGCCGACACACTGCAAAGGTTCTTTGGCGGGGTTTGTGAGTGGCAGGAAACGCCCAGGCTCGGCTGCTAAAGCATCTGTAGATTTGGTCAGGGGTCTCACTTTCTCGGAGTCTCTGCTTTCTGCTTTGTTTCTAACATACAGCTCGCTGTGAGACTTAAGTGAGAGAAAGCCTAGCGCCATGGTAGATTTGCCGGCTGTCTTCTCTTCCAGAGCTCACTCTCCTTCTCCATGATCCTCCCAGGAGCTACAATGGCAGACTGTGGCCTTCTCTCCCCACCAGGCTGTAAGACCTCCGGGGAAAGCCCCACTAGGTGGGCTCTCCTCGATACTGCAGCTCTCAGTGAGAGCACTGCTCCCTTCCAGTGGCTAACAAACATTCCTTCCTGCTTCAACGGATTTCAAGTCAAAGGGAAAAATCAGCAACTAAGAAACAAAAGTCAAGTGGATGTGAGCGTGAATGTAATTCCTGCACCATCCAGATGTGACGTGATTACAGGATAATGTACTCGGGCAAGTGAAAGTTTGAGAAATAAACAGAAAATACCACGTTGGTTACCAGAGATTAGGGAGTCAGGACTAGAACGGGAAAAATGCTTCCCCACGGGAGTGGAGGGTGACTACCTTGTTATGGTGAGGTGATGTATTTCTTAGCCTATGTCTATAGATAAGAGTACCACTTTGTATCCTAAAGACGTACACAACTATTGGTCAATTAAAAGAAAGTGTAAGGATGAAAGCATTAATACATTTTCTCAAATATCTAAATATTATATACGTCAATTTCATTGAACACCTGACTCATTTCCACAATAGAAGAAGGCTGGCGTTGGTGGTGCATTTAATCCCAGCACTAGGGAGGCAGAGACTGGTGCATCTCTGAGTTCAGGGACAGCCTGGTCTACATGGAGAATTCCAGGACAGCTAGAGCTATGCAGAGAAACCCTGCCTCAAAAAAACCAACCAAAAGCCGGGTGTTGGTGGTGCATGCCTTTAATCCCAGGACTTGGGAGGCAGAGGCAGGCGGATCTCTGTGAGTTCAAGGCCAGTTTGGTCTACAAGAACTAGTTCCAGGACAGCCTCCAAAGCCACAAAGAAACCCTGTCTTGAAAAACCAAACAGAACCAACCAAACAAAAAACAACAACAAAAAACCCAACCAACAAAAAAACAAATAAATAAAACAGTGAACTTTGTAATTTTTTGAAATGTATTCTCATGTATAGCAAGCTTCTCATCACTACTTCCAGAAGTAGGTATATCTCAGGGGCTGTATCAAGACTTGACCAAGAGGCAAAAATAAATAAACAAATAGACAAACCAATTTTCCTACCTTTCTTCCTATGGCTAATTGCTGCAGGAAGGTGTGTGTGTCTGTTGTGATTGGAACTGTATAAGGTAAAGGGATGTGGATAGGAAACAGTGCCTGAGTATAAACACACATCGGGAAGAGAAGACATAGGAGCAAATGATTACAACAGGCAAATATGCTGATACCTATAAACACCGAGGGAGGGGCATCTCATGAGGCTGAGCAGGCAGGTTTCCTAGTGTGGGCTACAGCCTACTGGACTACTGGACACACAGGAATTACTAGCCTAGACGTCACAGCAGGAAAGGGAAGCAGGGGTAGTTGTCAGAAGAAAACAGTATGAGCAAAGTTCAGAGCTAAAAGCACAGTGTGCACAATGAGTTGTGGCATGCAGGCTGCCACAGGCACGCAGGCTGCTGCAGACGCTCAGGGTGCAAGGCACCTTGAGGTGGGCAGGACCGAGGAGGCAGACAGAATAGGGAGGGATGCAGACAGCTTCCTGTGAGTGAGGGAGAAGAGGGTTAAAAACGAGGTAGAGGTGAGGGCACTGATCAGCCGGTGCAGTTTGTACTTGATGATGGAGTTATGGAGATGTGGAGGGAGAGATACATCAAGGCCGAGACTTCTAGATGGCTTGTCTGCACACTGATCAGGACTGTAGAGAGCTGTGGTCTCACAACAGCACAGAGGAAGAGTGAAGCACAGTCGAGTGCAGGGAGGCCGCAACCCTCATTCACCCTGGGCTCTCTCGCACCCTGTCTCACGCTGCTACTTAAGCGCACTCCACCCCGGAAGCACAGTACCTTCTCTCCTTCCTCCAGCAGGCGCAGCAAGGTGGCATTGTCTGTTTTCTCCTCCTCTTCTATGGAGCTGTTCTCAGCAATCTGGTCTTGTAGCTGCTCCTGGGTCTCCTCGTCTCCTCCATCAGGTGCAGACCGAGAGCGTTTCAGTGGGGGCTTCACCAGGCCTACAGAACAGAAACCAACATGGCCATTCGGGAACAGTTCAGTTTCAGAGTTGGCTATGGTTTGGGAACCTACTGCTAAAGGTTTGACCCTTGGGATGGTGCTGGGGGAGGGAGCAGAGTTTCTAGAGTGGGGCCTAGTGGGAAAAATTAGGTCATTAGGTGATGCACCCCGGAAGGGGAGACTTGGACCCCGCCCCTTCCTATCTGTTTTGTGACTGCCACAGGTGAGCAGCTTTGCTCTCCCATGTGGTACCCGGTCTCTTGCCACAGACCTCAAAACAGCAGTAGCAACTGGCCACGGGAGGAGACTCTGAAACCTCTACTCCCTCTGAGTTTGCCTGTCACGTATTGTGAGGGCGGCACAGGTTTACTCACACACAGTCCCTGTTGGAGAGCACAGACCGGCAGTTGTGTTCCAGGGTCAGCAGCAAGGGCTTTAGGGAATTAGACACTGAAGGACTCTGGGAAATCATTTGCCTTTTGTGGACCATGATTTTCTCCATTATTAAGTGGGGAGGCGGATTCTATCTAGCTTAGGTTTGTTGGAGGGGGAAATTTGATAATAAACGTAATCAAATTTCACGATCACACAGTTCTCAAGGAAGTCAGACGGTGGCAAGAACGTGTTGTTTACAGAAGAGGAGCACTGGGGAGGCACTGTGAGAGCCACTGTCACACACAGGGACGGCATCCTCCAATACTTTACAACTCAGAGATCCATGGGGGCGGTGCCAAGACTCAAAGTGGCAATGAGAGTCTTCATACATGCGTGAAATTAGTCAAACAATGGGTCATGAGGAACAGGAATAGAACTCTTTTTAGCAACACAGGAACAGATCATTAGTTTGTGAATTAAGTAAGAAAATGCTTTACTGCTTGTACTTTGATAATTTCATGAAAAAAATCATATTTAAAGACATAAAGATTAGTGCGATCCCCTAGAATATTAGATGTTCTCAGGACTGTAACATAAATCACACATTCAGTATCTTCATAGCCCTTAGCTGCACAGTCAAACGTGGCAGTATCCTTGCTACCAACGCTGCTCCAGCATTTGGGGAAGTATAAGTGACCTGCTGAAGGTCTTTTCCACTCAACATTAGGGACCAGCTGCTCTGTCAGAGTCTGAACAACCAGGAGAGATGAAGCCACTGAGAGCATCCATGAAGGGGGTAGACTTGTACCTGCATTAACTTTCAGGTTAATGAGTCCCAACCTCCAACTCTCTGCCTTGTATAACTTGTTGGATACAAGGAACTATACTGACATTTATGATTTGAGAGAATCCCAGAGATTAATCAAGCTGGAGACAAGTGGAAACCAGGTCACGTGACTAACTGCAGGCTAAGCTTGGCTTAGCCCTCCCTCCACAGCCTCACTGGTTAAGTGGAGGTCATCACAAGGTGTTTTAGTGGGAAAGGGGAAAAATGACACTATTAGGTGGTGTTTTTTATTGGCATGGACACAGCCTACTAGTTTTACTCCACTGGATGAGAGGCTTAGTTCTCTTTTTTTAAATTAATTTTAAGTGTTTGGTCTGCATGCATGTCTGTATATCTTGTGTGTATGTGATGCTCACAGGCCGGAAGAGAGTGCTGGATCCTCTAGAGGTGGAGTTATGGGTGGGTGTTGGCCACTGTGTGGGACCTCTGGAAGAGCAGCCAGAGTTCTCTCCAGCCCTGAAGCGTAGTTTTAATTTACTGACAATTTTAATACTAAGTTTTAATCTACTTGCTTTCAATGTTAACTATTTTACTTAAAAGTTCTTAATTTATACTTCAGGGCTTAGATTTAGAAAATGAAAACATTTTTGAGTTTGTAGTCAGACACTTTGAAAAAGTGGAAACAAAGGATTAATTTATGGGTCCTTTACATACTGGTTCCTCCTTTTGTTCTAGGAACGTGCCAATGGGATGAGGGGGAAAGAAGCTGTGGGTGGAGAGAGGGTTCAGATGGTGAGATGCCTGCTACACCAGCATGAAGACCCGAATGACCCACAGCACACGCATATAAAGCTGCGTATAATGCTGCACACTTGTAATCCTGGCACTGGTGTGCTGAGGCAGGAGCATTCCCAGGACTTGCTGGTCAGTCAGTCTAGCAGAATCAGTGAGGTACAGACCAGTGAGAGAGTGAGCTCAGAGAACAAGGTGGGTGGCGTCTAAGAGCTACACCTGTGGATGACCTGGGGTTCCCGTGTGCACGTGGACACATGTGCGTGTGCCGCACCTAACTGAGTACACGTGCACATTCACGCACCACACAAGATGAAATAGTCTCTGTCTTTGAGGAATTCCCAGGCCAGAGGAGGATGTGGGGCAGGACTCATTATGTCCAGCTCCTTCATGTGGTAGGGTGTGACCACAGACGCAGAAAGAGGTGGCCTCCAGGTCAATCAATACTAATCTCCAGAGGCTAAATTCAAGAAGACTCCGCAGGGAGTCTAATAGTTGTCTTAATTTTGTAATTATTTAATCGCTGAGAATCAGGTTCTCTGAGTGTTTTCCCAAAAACAATTAAAACTTACTAGTCAATGACTATGACTGACCTATATGTCTATAGAGAATAGCGACAGTCTCTTTAATCTCATTCATAAATCAGTCTTTAAATTGTGATGGTCAAGTATAGACGTGTTTATAGTTGGCCCTCCTGTTTGCAAATGCTTATATTTTCACACAAAGTCACATGGAAGGAATGGTCTAAAATGATTTTAGATCAAGATCGAAGAGGAGGCTGACCTTTGACCTTGGCAATGGTGTCTTCTCCATGCTCTGGTTCTTGCTGGGTGGCTTCTCCTTCTGAACTCTCTACAATAGTATCCTGAACAATGGCTGGGTTACCAGAGGCCAGGCGGATGTAGTACTCCTTACTGTCATAACTTATGGCTCTTCTGTACCGAGCAGGTTTCTAAGAAATAGCAAGAGAAAATGACTCAGAGTGATTTCCAACAAGTACAATACCAGCTTGTGAAGATTTGTCTGTGTTCCTATTGTTTCGGGGCTTTGCATAGAGCAGGCTAATAAATACTAAATACACAGACCTCTGGGTTAAGTTGCTCCATTAAGAGCTCCACAGCGGTCAAATGACATATATCGAACAATACTGGCAGTTTTGCTCTTCCCAAAAGAAAGAGACCAGAGCTGGTAAAGTCCCCAGTCAGTTCCGGACATGTTGACCTTTTGGGGCAGTGGAGGAGAGCATGGGATCAGGAAGGGCAGTGGGCTGCAACAGGGTTGTCCAGTCTGAGGAGACTGAAGGGTTCTCGCTCACTTGGGACAGTCTCGGCTTACTTCAGGGGCTTGCAGGGAGAGTAAGAACCATGCTGTGCCTTTCCGTGTCCTGGGTTTTACAGGACTCTGGACACTGCCCACACCTGCCCCTTCTACACCCTGACTCTGCACAGAAGACACATTCAACACTAGGTGGCGCTCTCTGGCTGGCCTGCAAGATGAACTGGTACCTCCTGTCTGGTAACACACAACTAAAGAACAGACAACTTAATTGTGAAGAAGAAATATATACCTAGAGACATAAGAAGAGATATTCTGCATACAATAGAACATTCATTTCACAGAATAATCTTTATTCTAAAATGAGTTTTCCAATCGACCTAACTTGTTTTCTTTCTTAAAATCATTTGCAAGGCTCCAGCTCCCTAAAAATGTATGTGAATGTAGATTGCTAAAATCAGAATCGGACTCAGGCTTTGGATTAAAGATTCCAAAAAAACAAGGAGGGATTAAAGATTCCAAAAAACAAGGAAACTGAAGCTGTTTCTTCTTCAGATAACATTTTATTTCTGCTTTGTTATAAGGAAGATTATTCAGTCTTTTAAAAAAAATCCTGGTTTTTTTTTTCGCATTATTCTTATAACTGATTTCCAACTAAAATGGAAAACAAGTGGCTGGCTGGGTGTGATATTTAGGCTGAAATGCTGGACGGATTTCTAGATGTGAGATACCTAACTGAAGCCATAACCCCCTTTTTCTAATGTTAGGTGTGAAGCTGGGGAGCTGAGCTCTGTAGGCAAACTGAGGAGAGCTATGTCGTGAGTGGAGATGGACCACATTACACAGCCCTGGAGAGTATCAAACGATGCCGAGTGATCTTACAGTAGCGAGTGGGAAGTCCAGCTGATGGGCAAATGAACAATGAAAATGCAGTGTCCTTTTTAAGTGAAAGGAAGACAACAAACAGTACCTTTACAGTTGTTCTGTATGAAACAAGACAATCATATTCAACTCAAAATTGCTTATACTTTTTTAAAACAGAAAATCAGTAGACAGCAAGGAGCAGGGGACTGGGCAGTAACCAGAGTATCACCAGCCAAAACTGCTTCTATTTTAAAAGATGATGGCATAGTTAGTGATGGGCAAGATAATGGGTTAATGCATGTAGGTTTGGTTACTGACTTTTTCCAAAATGTGTTGAGGTGTATTTCTGTATCTATATTGAAAGTACTGAATCTTTTTGGAAAAAAAATGAAAAATATCTGCCAATTAAAACAGTGATCATATAGTAAGTTTTAGATGAGTTTCCTCTGACTGGAAAGCAATTTAATAGGGATAGTCTTGTACTCTCAGCATTTAAAATGGTTACAGTATATTTTAAAAAGTTGTGGGTGCCCGGCTGCCCATTACTAACATGCCTCATAACTGGTTAGTCTCGCGTGAAGAGCCCCACCTGTTAGTGAGTAGCATAAAACCCCTGCAAAGAGAACACCTAGCAGCGGAGGGACGGGAGGATGTCCCCGCGTGAAGGACAGCACGTCTTCCACCCAGGGGACTCACAAGACCAGTCAGTCTTCAAAGTTAGTGCGCTACTGTCTACCGTGCACTGAGAACAAAGCTGCAAGTACTTTGCATTCTTTGTGGCAGTCAGGGCTTTACCTTCTGAGCAGTGACATCATCGGGTGCCTCGGGTTCTTTACTTGGGACCTCAGACTGAAAACAGGGCATCAAGTACAGACACATCAGGGGGAAAAAGCATACAGAGATATCAAAACCAAAACTTTCGTGAGGACCACAGACATACAGAAGATGTACTCAACTTAAGGGAACTAACATGATCTACTCGGCCACTCACACAACCGCCGAGCCTCTGCAGTATTTCCTCTATGACCAAAGATTGGGGGTTTAAGTAAAATTTAAACGTAACAGAAGCTTCGGTGCCCTGAATAGACAGACATGAAATCGCAACACAAAACTTCAGCAGTGCTGCAATCATGGATGAGTTTACAAGGTTTCAAAAGAAAAACACACAACATAGAAGCCAAGAAGAACAGAGCCTTGTACTGGGCTCTTCACTTTTACTCCCCCCAGACCTGTGTTGTGACATCTACAGGACTCCACACAGAAAACCAGGGCTGGATGGCTGACACCCGCCCTGCCACAGAAGCCCAAAGAGTCCCTTCACTGCCTGACACACAGAAGCTGGGAAAAGCCAGCAGGGGGCTGGATGGCACCATCAGCCCAGACAAAGGCTGCTCTGAAAAGGACTTCGGGAGAATCAGCAGCTGCCTGATGGGTGAGGAAATTCTGCTGAACACATGGTGCAGTTTCCATGCAGAAACAGCTGGCTACAGGGAGGAAACAGCTGGCAGGCCTCCTGAGTCCTGTTCTGAGGACTTCTGTCTGGACTTCCTGTGGTGATCATTTCCCACCATGTTCCTTTCCTAGGCAGAGCAGACCATGTGTGTGCGCGTGTGTGCGTGCGTGCGTGGGTGTGAACTCTGAAGGACTTGATATGATTTTAGGGAATCCTGTGCTGAGAGAAACTAGGCCAGGGCCCCAGACCAGAGGAACCATGTAAAAACACTGGAGTACTGCTACCTCAGGAGGGGTCTGGGTGCAATATGTGGTAGACATTTGCCAAAAATCACCAAAATGACCACAACAGAAAAAGCTTTTTCCATTTTCAGCTTTTGTGTTTTGAGACAGGGTCTCATTGCACAACCCTGGCTAGTTGGAAATTTGCTGCTCCAAAATCAAGATGATCCTTGGGCCTCTGCTTCCCAAACACTGAAGGACTGAGCTGCCACACCCAGCAATAAGAAAAACCACTTTAAAGGTAAAGGTTTGGTCTAAAATTCAACTGTGAGGAAGAAGGACCGAGGCATGTGACTCAGCGGTATGCAGACAGAACACAGGCCCTGGCCCGATCCTAACATTTGTGAATTTCAATGAACATAAGATTTAACCCGACAAAAAGTTATAAAAACATTGAACCCAAATTGATAATAAACAGAACTGTTTTAATGTGATCAATACTGAAATTAATAAAAGAACAAACACTACAGGATAGGTACATGATAAATACAACAACAGGAGCCAAGTACTATTCCCGAAGCAACCGATAATTGCTGCCTGGTCTACTGCAGAGTCCCAGCCGGAAGACGGGCCGTACACGTCACACCCGTGTGCAAGCACGTGCGACGTTAGATACGCGCTCTCAACTCCTGACTGTGTCCAGAAATGAATGGCAAACACCAACAGTATGCCAACAAACTGGTATCACTGCAATCTCCTTTTACATAGGAAAACTATACTAAATTAATATTATAATTATGGTCATACAGAAATCTAGTTTTTCATTCAAAATTTATAGAAATTAATCTTATGCTTTTTAATATCTCTAAAACATGGTGGTGATGGAATTTCCCAAATGAGCTGTTTAGGTTTGAGTCCTAGAAGATCCACACAATCCATCAGTCCGTCCGTCCGTCCATCCATCCATCCATCCATCCATCCATCCATCCATCCATCCATCCATCCATCCACACAAACATTTATACTTTGCTCATCTTCACACACATTAAACCAACTCCCTCATACCCATCCTCCCAAATTACTGGTTCCCTGATAGTACAAAAACTTCAAACTTAAGAAAATTCTCCTCAGTGTTTACTGTAGCTCAGCATTTAACTACCAGATGTTCAGCAACAGAGATGAAGCCCCCTAGCAAACGATTTATGTGTAGAATAACGCAAGGGTGACTATGGAGTCCAACATGGTCTTGAACTCCTGGGCCTCCTACCTATGCCTCTCAGGTGGTAAGGTTAGTCCTGGACCACCATACTAGAATGGAAGCTTTGTCATGTGATCTGACTAAAGGCCTGGCCTGTCTATACTCACGCTGCACCGCACTATTTAACAGCTCTAACCTTTCATACATTAATCGGTTCCGTGTGAGAAGCCAGGGTGACACTAACTGGACTTGAGAGGGCTCTCGTGAGACTCAAGTGGATGAAGCTGCAGTAGACTTGCTCTGAGGAGCATCTAACTGCCTGCTCTGCAGACGACACACTCAACAGGCTGCACACTCCTCATCATAAAAGTGGACACGAAATGCCTTTCAAATTTGTCAGATTTTAAATTACTAAAACTAAAGTAGAAATTATTCATGTGGCAAATTTCACCACATCTCAGGTTACCTTTTGTCTTGAACATAATGTGGGCACCATGTAACCCAAACTCTGTGTTCTGTAACTGTCACTCACTCCTTCATGCTATGCAAGTCAGTAAGCGGCTCTGCTCCATGGCCTCGGCATCAGCTCCTGCCTCCAGGTTTCTGGGCTGTGTGAGTTCCTGTCTGACTTCCTCCAGTGAGGACTGTGTTGTGGAAATGAGAGCCAAGTAAAACCTTTCCTCCCCAGCTAGCTTTCAGGTCAGGTCATGGTGTTTAATCGCAGCAACAGAGACCCTAACTAAGACACGTATGAATAGTTTTGTTTTCCCAATACTGAAGTTTTCATGAACTTGAATAAACTAATAAGACCGTTCAAGACAAAAGTATAAATACAGTAAAGAATACTGTAGTTGTGGGAAAAAATAAAACCCACTAGTATATGCCTCACTGAAAACAAGATCCTGAGCTGGCTCCGTGTTGGGAAAGCATGTTTACTTTACAGCCCAGACTCTTTATTAATTTGTTAGACAATTTCCTCCGACATGTATTCTGACTGCCCTCTCCCTACACCCTCTTCGCCATCCTTCATCTTGCCTGACCTTTCCCCAGCTAAATGAGCGCTCACTTAAGCATAGTATATAAAGCTCACTTTAACCCTGAAGGAATTATGGAGGAAATAAGCAAGCTTAAAGATCACTGCTCTGCTTTCACAGAAGCAGGTGCTAGAAAAGTCTGCAAAACGGGAAGGGTCACTGTGTTCGCAGGGTGTCCACATTTGAAGGGACAGAGCTTTATGGCGTTCTTTATGGGACTAACAACTTCAATAATTCGGATGATTAGTAGAGTCTAGGCACTTTATTCTCTTAAAAAATACTGTAAGCTGGCAAATTTTGACCAAACGTATGATAAGTTCAAATTTTATCACTTTTGTGACGAGCACAGGAAACCCTCAGCAATCCTGAAACAGAACACATTACCATTGCCTGTAGTTCCTCTGCATGTACCAGGTCTGCAAACTGTAGTCAGTGTCCCACTACAGCCTGACAACCACACTCCCTCTGCTGGTGAGCTTGGTTGCCTTAGATGCCACACTGAGGGGAACTGTGAGCAACCTCCCTCTCTCTCTGTAGCTCCCTTAGTTCACTCATCACGTGTCCAAACCCACTCAGGTGTTAACACATGACAGCATTCCCTTGCTACAATCCCATGTGTGCTCCACTTTATTTGTGGATGAACACTGATGCTGACGCCAAGGCCTGCATTCTAGGCAGCTCAAGGGAAGGTGAGAGCTGCTGGGTGCTAACCCTGGGGCAGACAACGCTCTCTTAACTTACTCCACTGCCATAATCCTAACAGTCATATGACGTAGCACGCACTTTCCAATTTTAAACACATAAATGGTTCTGTGACACGTGATGTGTGCTTTACACCCCTGACGGTGACACCACTGGTTTTTCAGACACAGTCCTCCAGGTACAGTTTACCTAACAGGAACCTGACTGGTAAGGGAAACGGATGTGAGGGACTGGAAGAGCCGCCACCAAGGCTGCCGCCTACTCACCGCCACACTTGTCTCCTGCTCCGTTTCCGGCACATAAGGGTAGTGGGTATAGAACATGTCATTGCGCACCATTTTCTTCCTCATCCTGCAGGGCCCCTCTGTCATCTCTAGCATCCACTTGTCCAGATGGGAGCCAATGGGGGGACCCCACAGTCCTCGCTCCCGCAACAGCTCACACTCGATCTGGCACCATTCCTCAGTCACATACTTGAGCGCGTTCTGCTGACGCTGCCGAAAGAGAGGCCAGGTTAGTTTTTCAATGATAAAAAAACACACACAACTTGAAATGAAGTTATAATTGGGAGACAAATTCAATCCAAGACATTTCAGGAAATATAAATCAAATTTCATTTGTAGCTCAAGGAAAGAAAGTTAATGGTTTTCTAGAAGTGGGGTTTGCTGTGGCCTAAGAACAAGACCTTTAAAACAGCACACATCACAGCCAAGCATGCCAGACACCCCACTACTGGCGTTGCGGACGCTCACCTCTTGATATTCCTTATACTGTGTGTCCACCAGGTCACGCACAACAGCGATATGTGTAAACATCCACTGGGAGATCTCCTAGCAAACCACGAGAAAAGAGCCTTAATTTTTCTGAATTTTCTGGGGGAGAAATGAGCTAACTGCACCTGAAATTAGTGCAGAATAGTGAGTTAAAATTTGGCCAACTAACTCTGAGAGACCAGTGTGGCCATGACTTCCTGCAGCTGAGGAAGGCAAAGCACACTATAGTTTGACACTTCCCAGCGTCCAGCTCCCTTCTCTTTTCCACAGGGATGAGTTCTCAGGCCATTCCCAAGTCCCCTTCTTGCACACTGGACTCCAGCTCAGTGTTCGCTTCCCAGAAGCCCTATTAGGCACAACATACGACTGTACACACCAACTCCTTCAGCCCTTTCCCACCGCCACTGGGTTGTGAAGGAGCAGGATGAAAGTTAATGGGGGAGGTATGTTGAAGACACTGCAATCTGTCACCTCTCTCTCCTCTACAGCAGAAAGTAGAGAGGTTCTACATCAAAACGTCTGCTTGCATATGTTAGCAGTATTACAGAAAACACCGAAACTAGACCTGGAGCTATAAATCCTAAAGGACCGAGACATGGCGCTAACCCTTGTACCTGGGTGGAAGGACTGTGTTTATGAAGGCCGCTTTCCTTTCGATTCCTTCTTGACCCTGTCAGTTTGGAGAGACCGAAGCCGCTGCTGACCCGGGACAGTTTGGATTGTGTGCTAGGCACCAAGGCTTCTCCTCGACTTATGCATTTCTTTTCATGGGCTGTAATTTAAAATAGGGCAGCTGTACAATGAATTCATCATGTGTTCACTAGTCTTTGACTATTTCACATTATGGTTACAGGTCACAAATTATCTTCCCGTTATCCACGATTCCCTTCCTGGAGCCGCAGCTCTCAGTGGTCAAGCACAGTCTGAAAATATGACTGCAACAAGAAATTAGATTTGGCAAGTCAGATCGCATTCACATAATGTGAATGTGTCCACCACAGTACCAGGCCATCTCTGTCCCACTTCACTAGCTGGTATTCTCAGCCTGTCACTGATCCCATGTAAATGAAACTATAGAGGTGTAGATTTGGAAACCGTGCTCCCTGCACCGTTCCTGTGCCTGTGAACAGATCTGGAGAGGAATCACCAACACGTGAAGAACTGACACAATTACTAAACGCTATCATCACAGAGTTCCTTTAGGTATCACAGACTTCTTACTGCTGATCCTGTTTAAGGACAGATGCTGGAGAATTAGTGTGGAGCTGAATTTTTATTTGGCTATAATGTCACTCCCTTCTAATATGAAGATTTATTCAAATTAGAGTGTGTCTCTATGTTAATGACTCACAATCTATTATCTCAAAACATTGAGATACTGCTGTTGAGAATATTTTAGAAGACAAAATGTTTTAGATTTTAAGAAAGCTACAAAGTATAAACACTACACACTGTGTACCACTGAGGGTCCATGGCAATACACCCTAATATAGCACATTAACATCACACAACAAAACGGATGAATGCTTGTACCTAACATGATAATAACAGCTACCAAGGCACTTTTAATAAGAAATCCATGCTTTAAGGGCTTCTAAAATTTCAGAGTTAAGGATCAAAGGCTGTGGACACAGACACACAGCTGATAGTGACATCTGTCAGCAGGGTGCTACTCTCTAACTCACACGTGGACAGTGAGAGCCTTGGCTGTGCAAAGTGCACCCAGGGCAGAAGCCAGAGTCGAAGGGCCTTCTTACCCAAGTGATTCTGCCAGCATTTCAAACCAGCCTCTTCAATAAGTGGCCGTGCGGTGGCTATGTCCACGTGGCCCCTCTCGTTGACGGGCAGGCTGACTCTGAAAAGCTCCTCCAGGACTTGTTTCTTACTGTGGATCAGCTCGGTCCAGACTCTGTTGACAGCTTTGATGAGAAGCTGGCGCCCTTGAAAATTGAAAGGAAGAAAAGGATCCAGAGAGAACACAAAGCCATTTCTTTTGTTCACACTTAACATCTAGGAATTTGAACTACTGTATTTGATTGATTGCAAAACAAAATTTTACAACTAGATTGTATTAGGTTCAATGAAAAGTTACTTAACTTAGTTAAGTTTTGCATATGTGGAAAACATTTAAAAAATCTTTACATCCATGTGAAAGTGGTGTACTGTTCATTTATAAAATTGAAAATCACAAGTATTTATCTACCAGCTTTCAGATAAGAATTGATATCTCAGACTGTCCTTCACCCCCAACGAACCCAGGGCCCTACCTCTGCTACTCAAGTACTCTGCCAAGGCTACATCCTCAGGCCCTTAAAAACATTTTTTACTTCATTTTCTTCCTATAAATTAATTTTAAGTTAGAGTACAAAACAAGAAGGATCATCATGGCATCTTCATACATACATGCACTCTGTATTCATGGCTTCCCATGTTTCCGCTCTCTTGCTGGCACCCTTCCTCCCCCCCTCAGTCACCCCACCCCGCCCTGCCCGTTGATGCTGTCACGTTGTGTGCGCCCAACCACACGCTCTCCACCATACTCGCTCTCTTATGATCTGTCCCTATTCTCTCATGGTGACCCCTTCAACTCTCATGACCTCTGTTTGCCTACCTCTCATAAACATGTGCAGTAATTCAGATCTAGATTCCACATGAGAATACACAGGTAGCATTTCTTTCTGAGTCCGACTTATTTCACTTAACAATGATTTTTCATTGTCATCTTTTGGCACTTTCTGTCGTGCCTATGGACACATTTCCTCTTCTAGGCTGGTTCTATTTCCTGGTTCTATCTTGTGTAGCAGAACAGCACAGGCATAAATATGGATGTGCAAATGTCTCTAAGTTAGCTGACTTAGATCTTTGGGAATACACCCAGGAGAGGTACAGCTATATCATAAGGTACTCACTTTTTATATTCTTTTGAGACATGGCTTCACTATGCAGCTTTGGGTACTGGCCTTGAACTTTCAGACACCTGCCTGCTTCTGCCTCCTGAGTGCTGGTGTTAAAGGTGTGCACAACCACAGCTGGCTTCTTTTTTAAGTCTTGCTTTTTTTTTTTTTTTTTTTATGAACCTCCACTCACTCTCACGGTGGCTGCATCAGTTTATAGTCTCACCAACAGCGGCTCAGCGGCTCGCCCATCCATCCTTAGTAAGCCCCAGAATCCCTCTGAGGGCTTGTGATAGACAGTCAATTGTCAGCCCTGGAGATTCTGACTCAATTGATGAGAGGAGCTGACAATCTATGGTCTTATGAGTTCCAAGAGAGACTGACGATGATGCTGGTCTATAGAGCACACTGAGGAACAAAGTTTCTAGACTTCAATTCTAGAGGGGTGAACCTCAGTTTTGGGGATCAAGACATTTTAGAAGACAGAAGTACCAATTGCTCAAATAAATGCATGAAGGGGGGAATTTGAGTTCTGGCCTTTCCCAGGATAAGACCACACATAATACAACCCCATGGCATTGCTGAGAGATACACACTATGTAGTGATCTCAGCTTGGACCTGGAAGACCTGAAGTAAGAAATCAATCTGCACGAAGGCCTCAATATATATGTTTGCAGAACTGGGAAAGATGAGGTTCTAAAAGAGAGAGGGAAATGGGGACCTGAGGCAGGAGGATCACTGCCATCTATCTCAGCTAGGTTGAGGTACATTGTGAGTTCAAGGTCAGCCTACATGTGGAATGAAACCCTATCTCAAAGATAAATACATAAGCAAATAGATTAAATGGTACCACTGACAACCTGTCTCAGAAGACATCTGTCTCTAATGAGGATGTGCCAACCCAAGCATCAGGCAGTCTTCTTTCTAGAAAATGCCAAGTTAGTATCTGCAGCACAAATGCCACCAAGTTTCACAAGAAAGTTGAAGCATTGTTGGATTCACTGTTTTACTCATCTTGGCGTTTGAAGATGGTCTTTGTGCAGGTTGGTAAATGGGCAGGTTGCCTGTGTTAGTAGTTTTGAAACCACTGTTGCTGTGTCTAAAAACTGGAAATGAACAGCCACACATCCATAGCCAGTACGAGGAGGTTACCTTCACTGATATCCTGGCTGTAGCCACCGTCTGGTTCAATGTCTGAGGGAATCATGATGTGCCACGTGGTCATGCGTGCTTCTGCCTCCAGGCCAAACCCTTCCACGTTGCTGAAACGTTCAAGCCAGAGTTAACTACTTGCAGGAATAATTATAGCTGAAAGCGGTAATGACTATGAATTACTCTGCGGACATGGGTAAGCACTGGCCCCATCCATCATATCGTCAATCCTGGCAGACAGACATTCAGCAAAAAGAGGACTCCAAGTTTAACGGAGAGGTGCCACTTTTAAGGGGTGAGATGCACTTAGGGACACATAGAATTCAAGCTTTTAGGGATCAAGACTGTCATGTAACAGTTCCGACTTTAGATCAGCGTTAACAGTTTTATCTTACAGTTACACAAAGATTGCTTCTCTAAAACATCCTTGCATACCAGGGTACTCTCCAGGCTGTAGCTTTCCCTCTGTTTCATTTGCAGCTGCCCTGAAGTGCCAAGCACTGCCCCCACCCCCAGGAGATAGCAGCATACATGGCTCTTCCTTCTACAGCAATAGATGCCCAGCACAAAAAGAACCCAATGGTACTTTTGTAGGCATTTTGTCTCATACTGCTTTGGAAATTTTGTTTTTTTTTATTTTACTGGTCTTTTGCTTGTATATTAAGGTTTGTAGTTTTGTGCTTAATGGGTTTTGTCTATGCATGTGCATGCCTGTGTGTTTCTCTCTGTTTTCTTTTTATTCTGTTTCTTTTTGTTGTTGTTGTTAGCCTGTTTGTTTTCCAGAGAGGGAGGGAGGGATGGAGGGAGAGAGAGTGAGAGAGAGAGAAAGAGAGAGAGAGAGAGACAGAGACAGAGAGACAGAGAGGAAAAAAGGGGTGGTAGTTGGGTTGGTAGTGAGAATCTGGGAGGAGTCTGGAGGAAAAACCATGTACAATCTACTGTATGAAAACAATTTGTTTTCAACAAAAAAGAAAATTTCTCTTTACAATTACATGAATTACATATGGTGATCATTAACAAATTAGATGTAAAAGTAAATGAAAAAAAAAACCGCATTATCTCTGCTGAAGGCAACACTTCCCTGTACCCTTTTCATAGAGCAGTAAATAAAACTAACTAAAAGGCAAATGGGGCTGTCATTATCACAAAGGACACAAGAAGTTCGGATGGGATGCTATCAAAGACAACAGGGCAAACAGAACCTGAGAAACTTACCTTCCAACATGTAGATTAATCAGGCAGTGAGCAAGACAGCTAATGAATTCTTGGTCATGGTTGCCAGGTCCCAGGATCAAGTTCCGGTTTACAGTAAGGACCCTGAGTGAATCAAGGAGAGCTACTTGCTGAGGGACAGTTTTGTGTGCCCGCGAGAACTGGTACAAGATGGTCCTATTGAGGCAGTGATAAACCGCATCCAGTGACAATCCCTGTGATCTTCTCTTGGACTAAAGAAACGAAAGATATGTTTTCAGTAACAGGACAAAAATGTAAAACCCACTGTCATTCACTAGCATAGTCAGACCGGCTGTTATGTAACAGGTGTCACGCTAAGTCCTTGGAGTGCTTAACTCAAGAATATGTAGTTCTTGCTTTTCTGGATTCAGAACCCACGAGACACATACATGCAATTTAAGAATGAAGAGAGTCCTGTACAAACACCCCCTAGCCAGGAGAGTCTGTGCCTGTGCTGCAGAGTTGACGGCACACTGATATCACCTGGGAAGCGGCTTCTGCCAAGCTACCTTTGTAGGATGAATGATCTCTATGGCACAGCAACTGAGGAAACGCCAGGACTGCTGGTGAGAGCTGTCCTGGTGCTCTGGCTTCATCCCTCACTTGAGAGCTGTCTCTTTAGCTTAACCACAAATGCACATCTTCAGAGGGAACGGTACACTCTACCATATACCGGCAGAACATGGTACAGGGATAGATAGCGTTGCAGTTTGGCATAGAGATCAAGATTTTTCCCCCTTTCATTTACTTTTTACATCTTTTAATTTGTTCATAATCACTGCATGTCATTCATGTAACTGCAAAAGGAAATTTGCCTTTTTAATTAAATTTTTTTTCTTCATACTATAGATTCTGATCTTCGTTTCTCCTCCCAATTACTCCTGGATTCTCCCCACTATATACCCTTTCTGTCTTTCTCTTTAGAAAACTAGTAGGCAAACAAACAAAAACCAAGCTAGAATAAAAAGAAAACAGGAAAAAACACAAATACATATACCACCACACAAAAACCATAAAAACACAAACCCGGGTACCATTATATACTTGAACCACTTTTCCACATTGTAAAGTAAGTAAGATGTGTGCCAAGTCTGACCAATGCTCTTTGGTTGAGCATGCATGGGGGAAGTTACATCCTCAAAGGGACATGGATGCCAGTAAACCATGGAGACTCAGCTTACGAGGGACCATTTCCTCAGGATGGATGCTCATGCCCCGTAGTCTTCACACAATGACACTAAAAAGCTTATCACGTTGTATCAACTTAAGGTGTGTGAAGTGCCCGGATTGGAAAGGGTCAGCAGGAGAAGGATCACAGTTTGAAACCCAGGCTCCTTTGCAAGGAGAGTGCTGGCAACATGTATTTCTCAATTCACTTTTACAAAGTTTGGGGGTATCAAATGTTAATATTCATTATCTTATTAGTTATATCCACTTCCAATAATTTTGACATCATAGGAAAAAATTTGTCAAAGAAATTCATGTACTCTACAGCTAATAGAAATGGTGAATTACCTGTGCAATGAGCTGAATTATAAAATCTATAAGGAGTTTAGATTCCTTGTTGAACATGCCTTGCCAAAGCTTGTCCACCACACGCTGTGTGAAATAAAACACATTGTTCACCAGCACCTGGTAGCTTCCTCCGCTGGTAATGGGCAGAGATGCATCTTCCCCTAAATCCAAGCAGGAAAAAAAACACCTAAGAAAATTGATATTTACCAGCAAAAGAACTCAGAGACACCAGGCTAAGGCAAGATGACTGTGCCCACAGTTCTTACGAAATATGACCACACGCTTTCACATTTAAGAAAATGATGTGCACAGCCAGAAATCAGGATAAACACTGGAAAGACTACATTCACCAGCTCACAAACTTTGTGGGCTGGAAGTTCCTGTGAAGAAATTTATACCTAAAGACAGTCTTCGAGAAACAAACATTTCTTCAGCACAACTGAAGGATGGATTATATGTGAATAATGAATGGGGGAGGAAAGGCCTTCCAAACGAAACTGTTCGTGGAGCACTTCCAACAGCAACGGAGTGACATGGGCATAAGATTCCGAAAACTGTGATCAGCAGTGCAGTCTCCCTAACTAGGTGACCCCTCTGTCCCCAGTGGGCTGCTATGAACACGAAGCCTCAGACTATTCGCCCTCCTCATCCCCCTACATGGTGGAGACTCCATAGATCCGTGGTTACTCCTACCACTAAGGAGGCTCTCATCCTCTGTCTTTATGTGGTACAGATGATCTCAGTGGATAAGAACAGGCATGAAAGCACAACTTGATGCTTAGTTTTGAAAATTCAGCTACATGTTAAGACAATGTTTAAGATGTCATGGCAAATTACTTTGCAAAAAAAATACTAGTTTACCAGAACAGTATTTCATATGATCACATCAGAATAATATAGGAAGTTATTAAAACTTTTCTATTTTTCTTTCCGTGTAGGGTCTCACTAGGTAGCCTGGGCTCTCCTTGAACTTGTCATCCTCCTGACGTAGCTTTTGGAGTTGTGCCCGGAGGACAGATAGGCAACACTGTTCCTGGATTTAAACCAAAACATTTCCTTCTTAGAAATTTCATGGTGTTTGACACATAAATGATGTCTCTATTGTTAATGTCTGTCTCAAGGGTTACATTTGTATTGGAACTCAGTACATATACATTGAGGGAATATAGTCTTGTGCATTTTGACTTTATGACCTGAAAAATGGCATGCACATGTCTGAGACTCCACTATCCAACAGACACACATAATACACATGTGTGTGGCTCCTGAATAATAACATTCACAGCAGATTTATCTGGAGTTGTCTCTAGTTGGAAACTTGCATATATCTACCAACAATAATATGAATAAGCACATGTCTGTGTGACACAACACTATATAGTGATGACAATGTACATGACTACGTCATCTCAGACGTTAAAAAATGTTAATTATGTGAGGTCAGACTAAATAGAAAGAAGGAAGAAGATATGCTTGGAGACTAGAGAGAGTAAAGTGGTAGATAATATATACACTTAAAGAAAAAACCACAGAATTACCCAATAACACATCAGCTGCCAGCAAATGGTCCATCACGCTATCCAGAATGTGCGTCTGGAATTCTTTCTGCTGAGTTCGTGTAGATCTCTCAGGGGAGGCCTACATATCAAAACAACACACAGGAATCAGAGGGGGCACAACCACACAAAGATGGCTCCAAGCTAAAGTGTCTCATCACTTATCAGGACTAAATTTTATTAAAAAAAAAAACAAAACAAAAATGTTTCTAGTTCCAGAAGGACTTATGGTGACTCAGTCATTATAGAAATTTAGTCTTCTGACTCTTCAAAGTGATGATGAAATTTACAATCGATAGTGGCCCTAGTTGCCTAGTTCAAACGGTCTTGTTGGGACTCACATCAGCCTAACTATGAAATAACCTAAGGTTTAAAGAATGCAGGCATGGCTGTATCTTTTAAAATAACTCAGTAGAGTATTCATGAATGCTTTGGTATATATATTTATGTTATTTAACTGGCAAATGCCACTTTGAAATAGATAAATCCCCATTTTAGAGACAAAGCGTGACTTGGTTTTTGTCAACTTGACACAAACCTTGAGTCATTTTAGAAGAGATACTCTTGATGGGGAAAATGCTCTGACCAGGCCCTGACAGGCTCTGACCTGTGAGCAAGCGTGTGGATCTTTTTCTTGATTAGTGACTGACTTGGGCAGGCCTAGCTCACGGTGAATCATGCCATCCCTTGACAGGTGGCCCTGGTTGTATAAGAAAGCAGGCTGAGCAAGCCACAGGAGCAGGTAAGATGGTCAGAAACCACGCTGGGTCTGTGCTTTCCTATCTGTCTACAAATACAAATCAATAAGGTTTTGACAGTTGGAATTGTTCACTGTGTCAAAGACATGGCATTTCAGGATGACAAAAGGAGCCCTGATGCCTGGCTATTTGCCAGGCCCTGTACTTGAAGTTCGGTACCTTGATTGCCTCCTTACCAACCAACAGAAACAGCTGTCAGAGTATAGTTAAACACTGTCTGAAGTTTTTGCCTCAGCGTCACACTCAAACCGTTCTGTATGAACAGAGAGTCCCAGCATCACACTCAAACCATTGGATATGAACAGGGAACCTGGGCATCATGTCACACGCAAACCATTTTATATGAACAGAGTCTCAGCGTCACACTCAAACCCTTCATATGGATGGGAATCTCTTAGTTTTAGAGATTGCTAAAGAAAATAAACCCACATGTTCCTTTGGCAGCAATAATCAAGAAAGCACATTCTCCTTTGACAAAACTAATACTGATCGAGAGTGGTCCACAGTGGCCAGATTAAATGTTAGTGGGTTTAAGACCCTCCCTTCACTCGGGGAAGCGGGAAAGACAGCTCTGCTCTTGAATCCCTCCAGGGACAGACTTCATAACCAGAAGATCAATCATGATTTTTAAGGAAGGCATGGAAAACAATAATATTAAGTAACCTGCTTTTGTAAATACATGTGTAAGTGTGTAAAATTACTTTCATTTACATGTATGTTTACGTAGGTCATGTGCAGTGCCTGAGCTATCTCTCCATCTCTGTTTCTTAAAAATAAGCTTCCACCTTTCTGGTCAAGTTGGTGTCATGTCTCCCTGCTGGGTAGGGATGTAGTTAAGAGTTACTACACAGCACACCAGGGACTCTGCCACCTGTTACAGGAGATAAAGACACATGAAAGCTACCTGCCTGTAGCTTTAAAGAGTTAACGTCTACCTGGGGCTTCAATCTGACACTGCTGTTCCCAGGCTACAATTCTAACACTCAGCGCTCTAGTCCAACTCCACACACCTACGATGAGAACCATACTTGAGGCTGACATAGGTAGATGAAGCACTTCCTGCTTACAAAGGAAACAGAAGTCGGTCAGGTATTCATGTCTAAGTACTTAGCCGTCAGTGTTCTTGAGAGCTTAAGGAATGCTCTCATTGGCAGGCACACTTGACCATTCCCTCAACTGTGTTAATCTTTGAGCCACTTAATTCTCTTTCCTGCACATTTCTGTTGAATACCATCTTGGGATTTCAGTTTTTGGCTCCTAGATTTTCACTCTAGAAACGAAAGTACTCACTGTCTCTGTTCTTAAGCTGTTTTGTTTGCTCATCACTGAGCTCTATCACAGGCTCTGCTATAGAGCTCCAACACTGACCTCCACCACTGAACTTCACCAGGCTCGATCAAGGAGCTCTCACCAAACTCTATCACCACAGAGCTCTATCACTGGTCTCCACCACCGGGCTTTATCACCAAGCTCCAGATCTGGTTTTATGAACTCCTCAAGGTTTCCAGAGGGATAAGCTATCAGGCAAGATTTTAATCATGTGGTTTACTATTGATACATTATTCTGTCTGCCAATCTTTAGCACTTGTGGTCTTGGTTAAGATGCTCCTAAATTTTATAAGTGACTTCTTTTAGTTGGTCAAACAGAGATGTTTTCACCGGAATGAGAAAAACACCTTCCATGGTTTTGAGGTTAAAAAGTTAACTGCAGTAGCCACTAGAGGGAGCAAAGAAATCTGTTTTGTCAGCTCAGAGCACATAACATGTTCTCATGTCTGAGGAGAGCAGTCCCCACAATCTTAACCTTGCACAGCAAGGACTCTTTGGCATCACTTACAAGCACTGAACAGAAGAAACGGGCAAGGGATGAGTCACTTAGATTCTCTCTCTCTCTGATCTGTTTTCCTTAGTCACATTAGTAGATAACTATTTTGTTTTGGTCATTTGATACTGTTGTTTAGAATAAAATCCACAGCCTTGTACAGTCTACCACAAAGCGACACGCCCAGCTCTAGATAAACATCTGAAAGTGGTTTTTAGGGATGGTTTACATCTACAGCCAGAAGTGAAACCACTCAATGTGCACAGCCTCATTTCTCCTGTCACTCACCACGAGAAGGGACAGCCAGAAGCCTGCTGCCTCTGGGAAAGGTCATTGAGTATGTGTTGGGTGTCTTCCCTGAGCAATACACCATAGGAAGCTGCACAGGACAGGGTGACAGTGTGACTGACGTTCAGAGATGAGGAAACCGGCCAGTTAGTGTTTGAATACACACACCAGTGCCTAGGAGCTGAATCTAGTCTGTGTCTATTTCGCAGATAAAATTCTACGGGAGCGTAACCCTACTCATTGCATCCCATCTTTTCTCTAGTTCCGTTCATGGTACAATGACATGGATGACGAAATGTGACACCAACACAAGATAAGTACTATTTGGCACTTACTGGAAAAGTTTGCCATAGGAAAAAAGGTGACAGAGGACTGAAGTAGAAACATGCTTCAGAGAAGGAAAAAAGGTGGAACAAAGTGACATGATCCAACGTACATGTGGCATTAAAAACTACCTACCCTCACATGCTTTGCATATATTTGCATAGAACTTAATTGGTTATTAATGTCCTCATTATACAGGCAATGCCAGCAAAGGATTTGTACACTTCGTTGTCTTTACCTCCAACAAAATATCAATTAGTGGCGTCTGCTTGCTAGCAGGTGTGAGGCAGAGGTTGTCGATCATTAAGACTCGCATGAAGTCAAAAACGAACTTTTTGGCTGGGTGATTGGTCAAGTATGTCTTGGTGCCCACATTGCAGTACTCTGATTGGCTCCTGTTCATCCCCGTGTCTGCGGCGAAAGCTTTAAACTCTTCTGCTGGAGATCCCACCTCATCATCCAGATCCGTCACCTGACGGTAGAAATCAAGTACATCATAGTAGTTGATGCTAACACCTCACTTGTATGTCTGCTAAAACAACGAGACAAATCTGTGACAGCAGTGGCAGCAGCAGTGACACTGGAATCAGGGCTTCTTCCCCTGAGCATTTGCTTCCCATTAAGCTAGCCATCTCATGACCAGACTCTTCTATCTTGGCTTTCAAGGCAGTAATCTGGCACAATGCCATGCTACTCAACACTTCTGACAGACCATTAGAGATGTGTCTGCTTCGTGAGGGCATAAACACTTCAGATAAATGTGATAACACAGGGATAACTGCACTTGCAGATCTGAAGCAATCTACTGAAAATCCAAATGTGACAGGTCAGAGAAGAATCTATAATGGCGATCCTCACGCTGATCTTTTTATTTTTTTATTTTGCAGGTGAACAAAATCCAAATAAACAAAATAGCAACAAGTTGCAGCCAAGCCAGAGAAAAAGTGCTGTAGACAAATCCCAGATGTTGGAAGGAGATGGTAGGGAAATGTTACAAGTTCACATATGCGTATACATTAACACACACAGACACACAGACACACACACACACACACACACACACACACACACACACACACACACACACACACTATTTAAACCAAACTAAGAACTCTAAAACATTAATGCAGCCAGAGTGTTAAGGTTACTGGTCATCCCAGTCTTCTCTCTCTACAAGCCTGGAATGAACACTTCACATTTATATAATGAGAAAAACTAGTATGAAGAAGGAAGTTGACTTCAGACCCCTGCAATACATGATAGGAACAAGAATTATGAACTATCTCTTTGGGCTTATTTGAAAGGACAGAAGTATTTGTACAATGTCTGATTATAGACTAATATTTTCATGTTAAGTTAGTACAAAATAAAAAGGAAGGAAAGTTGGGCAGAAGAATCACAATTTTCACTCTATTTTAACACAATTTTAACTCTCTAAATCACTTGTTAAAAATTGAATCCAGCAAACATCTACTGTCTAAAATAAAAAAGGAAACACTTTTGTTTGGCTCGAGTCCTGTTACCTACAAAGAGCAATTTCCAAGCACACAGCTATAGCTCACAGAAAGACATGCAACAGTAGCTGCTTGGCTAGGGGCCCGGCAATGGACTCACACGAGCACAGTTTGGGAAAAGCAGGAGGGCTATGTGGGGAGGTTGACAGTAGACAGTGACAGAGCCATGGTAGAAAAGGTGACAAACAGGTGAGCTGGTCGGGAGGTCAGCAGTTGAGGAGATTGAACATCTGCTTTTCTCTAGAGCTGACAGATTCCAGCCTGACCATGCCCCACCCCCCACCCCCACTTGCTTACCATCTCGGAGTAAGGGCGGATGTTGAAGGGAAAGACGGTGGCTGCTAAGGCACACAGGAAATCAGGGCTCATCCACATGGAGGCAAGGTCTGGGACGTTGTGATACAAGTATCTGAAAAACTGCATCAGGGTCACTGGGTACTCTCGGAGCCACGACCCCTCTTCTTCTGATTGCCATGGCTAACACAGGACAGACAAGAACAACCGTGTTAGAGACTGGTACTTCTAAAGGTCCTTCAGCGGGCTTGGTGCCAACATCTGCAAGCTTGGGTCTTGAGAAGTAGAGGGAGAAAGATCATCCTCAGCTACACAGAAAGCTTAAGGTTAACCTGGGCTACATGAGATCTTGTCTCAAATTAAAGAGTGGGGGGACTCACTATTTATTACTCTTCTCACACTGTACATATCGATGATCCAAGCCTTATAAATCATACATGAGCAAAGATGTATCTGCAAACATGTAAACAAATCTCATATCCAGAAGGACCTGTCAGCCAGCCCTCCCACAGCTCAGCTAAGAACAGTTGTTGTCAACATGAATACGGCTTGCATCACAGTAGCTGTTGGCCTTCACCATCCCTGAGCATCCTGTTAGAAAGTCGGGAGTAAGACAAAGATGCAGAAGTCATTTTCTCCCTATGAGCCTACTACTGCAGCACAGTATAATACATGGAAGCACCAGACGACAAACATACGCTGGCCAGTAAAGGAAATGTGCATACAAGCATTTGAAAAATATGTATTTCCTGAGACCTGCCCTGAGACTGGCTTCTTCCTTAACACAGAATTTTACGTTTGTTTATGGAACAGCATGAAAGGAAAACTCCAAGGCATCCCAAGGTAATGCATTTCATGCAGTGTTTTGTTCTGAGATGAGAACCGTCAGACACATATAAGTCAAGGAGTCTAGGTAACACACAATTCTAAGTTGTGCAAATGAACTACATCACCATTCACACTTTGCCTGTAAGACAGACAGGAGCAGATTTCATCATCATTCTTCTAATTGCTATTCTTCTCTAAGTTGAATAGACCAGAATAAATATAAAAGAAAATTTGTTCTGTTAATGTTTTAACATCCAAATGAATCACTTTAGAATCTCAATGTGTAATCATATCATATACATATATGATTATATATGTGTATCTATTACAATGTACCTTATGCTGATAATTAGTTGATACTTATATACCCTTTTAAGTATTTTGTGTATATATTACTTCATGAAATCCTCACAAGAACCCTATGGGGTACACTCTGTTATCACCAGATGTTTAAATTTAGGAAACAGCAGCAGACATAAGTTAGCACATCTGGAATATCAGGAGTGGGATCCTTGTTTCTAGAGTCTGTGGTTTCCAGTCTCTCGAAGTTCTGGGGATCAAACCCCTCCTCACAGTTGGCAGGCAAATAGTCTATCACTGGGCCACACCACTAGCCTCTAATCTGTGGTCTTAACTACACTGTCTGCCCTTACAGTAGAGGCAAGAAAATAGGGTGAGTCCTAGAGCCATAGGGAAACAGACAGCTACAGTAAATAACAAGCTTTCTCTGTAAGGGAGCTAGCAATGTGCATGGGCTGGGAGTCAGCATCGCACACAGGCTGTGCGATAGAACCAGCATTTCACACGGGATGTGGGAGCCAGCATCACACATGGGCTGTGTGTGAGAACCAGCCCTCTGACCCTCTGGAACTCACTGAATTCAGCATGCTTCGCAGCATCCCCAGCAGTAAGAACGCAGATTCTGTACACACATTGTGGATGGAAGAGACCACTGTTCCACTGGAGGCGGGGACTCCAAAGATAAACGTCCAGATGGAATCCAAGTCAAACTGCAGATGAAATGAGCAACAGTCAGCCACCAGTCATTTCTTCCCCTAGGTAAGCCTTAGAAATTCTAATACTCTAAACTTTCTTTGAAACTTTATTTTAACTGAGTATTGACCAACAGATCACTAGTAACTTTCCATTCTATACATCAAAACTTGGAAAATATTATATGTAGTTTCATCTGGTTCCATCCTGACACATTCAACATCACTCTGTTCCTTTTTTCTAGACAAAATATGGTCCCAACCCCCACCTGGTAATTAACAAAAAGAAAAAATGATAAATGTCTTAAGATGTTTACAAGATCACAATGAACTCACTCCCCAGACTCAGCAATGATTCAAACTTATGTTACTTATGAGTAAGATTTGACAAAATAAGTGGATGATGAGATTTACTGAGAGCAATTTTTCATAACACTCATGAGTATAGTGACACGTGACTCAAAAGGAGGGGGAAACCAAATTCTACTAAGCATAAATCTTTACCACTTAAGAAATTTCATGAAAAGATTTGGTCAAATAACCAAAGCTGGATTTCAAGGCTAAAGTAAGTATTTATGGAACCACAGATTGATGTCTGGTATCTCTCCTTGGTTACTCTCTATCTTTAATTTTTATGTTTTGACACAAAGTCTCCTCATTGAACCTGAATCTTATTAATCTGGCTAGAGAGGGTCAATGAGCTCCGGGGTTACCCATCCCCCCTACTTAAGGGCTAGGGTCACAAGGATGTGCAGTCATGGTGGTTTCTAACTCGGGTGCTGGGGATCACAGACTCAAGCCATCTCCCCAGGCCCTCCCATCACTTATAATTATCTGTAATGAAATCATATTTCTAGGTAAAGATGGATTATTCCAAACAATCCTTTAAATCATCATTAACGTCACCTGAAGCCCTCATGCACAGATAACTGTACAGAACAGCCAGAAAGAAAAAAAAGTATAACAGTGACAGAGGATGTCTTTTTGGGAAAATTACCTAGCAAATTTCCAGGGTTTTTAAATCCCAAACTAAACTTCAAATGTCAGAATTAAAGAGTGTATAGGTCTTACATGACACCTTACTAGGTAATTCCTACCTTGCAGCCCTGCTTACATCGGCTGCTGGTGACAGGCACACTGACCTGCAGGTTCTCAGGCAGCTCACTCACAGGCTGTTGCAGAAACAAGGCCATGAGCAGGAAATAGAGGGCAGGGACATTTGTGTGCTTAGGAAGGAAAGACTGGAGAACCAGAAAGCCGGGGAAATGGCAGGCCTCCCGGTTAATCTCCCTGACCGACGATCTCCCACCGGCACTCCTGCCCACGTTGAATCCTAAGAGAAAAAGAGTGAGGGAGAGTTAGGAAATGTCCTGGTGCCACATTAACAAAGAAAGCAGCAACACTGTGGTTGTGACACCTGGGCCTGCGCTCACACAAGTGAAGCCAGCTAGCTGCCAGTGGCTGACCCCATTTTTGGTCCAGCTTCACTTCACATCTGCCCAGTTGGATACAGGGCTGACAGAGAGCCGGGACAACCATGTAAAGTCTACAGAGAAACAAGCGCTAGTCATTGCAAGAGGGACTTCAAAAGAGCTCTCATGTCCCTGCTCATGTTTCCAAAAGAATTTAGTGAAACTGAGTAGTCAAATAGAAGATGCTACATTTTAAAATATACTTGGTAAAATATAATTAATACACTTCACTTACCCTAAAAGAAAATCACCATACACTTAACCTTAAGTTATATATGGATTCAGATTCAAGACTAACTGAAGAAAAGATGTCTTCCTCTCACAATACAATCTATGCTGTGTCAGAAGATACCCAGGCGAGAAGAAGGCAGATCTACGCCCACAGCGGCTATGGTTTCCACGAGCTGAGTGGGTTACTCATCATCCTCTGAAACTTTGCCAGGAGACAGCCAGGAGAACATGCATGCATCTATTAGTTCTGTCTCTACAGGAATCCTCGGTTATACATGAGTTTCTAGATACAACCCAAGCACAGTCCTTTGCCACCCCATTTCTAGTAGAGAGCTCAGTATAGAGTGAATATTAGCCAAGATTTCAATAGAAATCTTCGTTCCTATTAAAATTACAAATGGAGATTCACATTTTCCCAGTTTTGTCCAAAGACGAAGAACAATTAACAAAATTTAACAAAATAAGAGACTAATTTATGTCTAGGTTGCTTCTAAATATATGTACCCTAACCAGTCCATTGTCTAAAATATGCTCTAATGTAGAAAAAATTGTATAGCAATTGACCACGCTCTTGTATACATCATCTCACACTTCTGAATCACAGTGATCACGCAACTCAGATCCTTCCATGCATGTCTGAGTCAATAGGGCTTATATCTGATACCTTGCGACTGTGTGATTGATGTCAGCCCTAGGTTTTTGCCTTTTAAGTCTGTGTGGTACGGGTGATACATTTCCACAACAGCCAGTCACTGTGCAAACCAAACAAGCTATTACATGGCCAGTGTAGTGACTGACACAGTGAGCATGGCATGGACACTATCCTTCCTATTAGCCGATTCTACTGCAACTTGCTAATTATTGAGTTCAAGGTCAAAGAAGGTTGCATGTAACAATAAAGCACAACCAGTTCCCTGGGTTTTCACACTTTAGAATTCTATCTGTGGCTTTAGTTTGAATTCGGAAGATTGTTTCTTTTTATTGTTACTAAAGTTCACAACTCCTAATGGCTATGATATAAACTGGTATGCACACGCTTATACAGCATTTAAAGACAGAACAGTAGCTTATTTTAAAGCCCTGAACAGAAGTCTCGTACCTAGCACAGTTCCTATCTTATTAGTCAGCACAGAATCTGTCTGCTCCAGCCAGCCTCCGCCACTGAGCCCTTCTTTAAACTTGATGAGGATCGACTGGTTACTCAGCAGGACAACAAGAATCCTCATGGCGGCCGTGACTGTGGTGGGATGCAAGTGTTCTTCCATGAACATCATGATCCAGTCAAAACCCAGTGTCCTGACCAGCTCCTCACAAGCCCTGTTCAAAGACAGACAGGTTCAAAGAAAGGGAATTAGCTTCAGGAACTTGGATTTCAAATTAGAAAACTCTGAGCCTCATTTTTGAGATACCATCAGTTCCAGGGTTAACAACATAAAGGATTGTCAGATCTCCTTTATTTTTTGAGAAAGGTTATCACTATATATACAGTCCTAGATGTCCTCAAACTCACAGAAACCCACTGCCTCTGCCTCCCGAGTGCTGGGATTAAAGGTGTGTGCCACCACACCTGGATAGGACTATCAATTCTAAAAAGGTCTCACTTACTGCAAGTTAATGCTTGTCTTTTCTTTTGATGTATGAACTAGTTTTAGCAAGATGTCTAGAAGTCTGTTCCTCAAAAGTATAAGATTAGCAGACACAAGACCTCCAAACTCCTCTTCTGCTCCTAAAAGGAGAGAAACACATTAAATATCCCAGAGATAGAGGATAAAATACTCAATCCATTTCCTTGAAATGATGAAAACAAAATCTTTTAGGACACATTTTCTTTACAAGTGATTTCCACTATAGCAGTCAAGAAAACGAATCAGATAATTTCTATTTAGAACCATGACAATTGTTCATTTATACCCCCAACATTATCAAAAGTAGTGACTTCAGACTTTATCCCTCTTTTATAGTTTAATATCTTCCTCTCTTCCTCAATAGGAGGAAGGCAATAAGTAAGGTTGTAGGAATTAAAACAATTATTCCCACAGACCCTCAGTTTCCCAGGCAGGTCCTTTGCTTCCTATGGAGGTAAATACCATAGTGTGACCCGAAGCTCCCGAACACGTGAGGCCCACGTTAAAAATTTGATACACTTGATGAACTTCCTGATTATGTAGACTTGAAATGTTGCAGATCCAGTCTCCAGTGGCCTTAGAAAAGACTAGGCTTGCTCTCTACTTCTGGGTATGACCTGATGTCTCTGTGCTATCCAGCTACTGTGAAGAGAACATCAAAATGACATCTGATCTGATCCAAGATGTCTTCCTGCTCTGCTAGATGCTGCTACCCAATGTCTCCACCAGCAAACTTACTTTTGTTCTGTAACTATATATATTAAAAAAAAACTTCATGAAGCCATTCTACGTTGAAACATGTTATTTGGGACAATCTAAACCTAGGCCTCTCGTTACTGGCTCAAAAATAAACTTTCTTTTTGTCTCTTTGAGATGAGAGCCATGTTTTATGTTGAGACTAGTTTTTTAAAGTTTGAAAATAGGAATCACTAGTTTATTCAACAAATACAATATATCAAGCAAAGTTAGAATTGGATAGCTCAGGACAGAGGCAAAGTCTACATAAAAGCACAGAACTGGACAAAGGCCGAGAATGACAGGCTCAGAGGCTATCGATGGGATGTCCCAGACGCCGAGGCCGTGGGCATCATTAGTCCACAGCACCAGGCATATGGCACCACAGGAAAGGAGTATGGCTGGTCACCACCACACTTCCATTTCCAATAGCATTGAGGCCCAGCCTGAACTCAGTGTGGTTGTATGCTTCCACATGCTTGGACCACGGACTATGCTAAACTTTAGACTATATTTTAAAATGTGGATTTAGCTGGGTGTAGTTGCACACATCTTTAAACTAGCACTCTAGATACAGAGGCAGGCAGATCTCTGTGAGTTCAAGGCCAGTCTCATCTGCATAGTGAGTTCCAGGCCACTCAGGGTTACATTGTAGGGGGAAAAAAGTGAATTTAGTTGGGTACAGTGATACATGGCTAATTCCAGCACTCAGGAAGGCAGAGGTGCCATGGTATATGAACAGGTTAGGCCACCCACAGATATGAAGTGAGAGACCCTGACCTGCCTCCCCCCCCCCCACACACACAAAGGGAATTCATTGCTTTATTCATTATGAAACTTTAAGTTCACAAAGGGGTACTTAAGACCTCCTCTTCCAAGTGCCAAGCACCAGCAGCTTAATGTACTAGCAGAAGCAAATCTCAGACCTAAGCGCTGTAAGAATAACTTCTTATAACTGGACAACATACGCAGAAAATTAACCCAGAAGCTGTCTACAATTCATAAGTGATTGCAAAGGAAAATTAGTTTTCTCCAACAGTCTCAAAGGGGAAATAAACCATATTTAAGGGCAGGCCCTATACCCAGCAGTAGATGACCAATGTAAAACGAACTCAATGGTAATGGTGTCTTTGGAGGTTTTTGTCTCACAATGCTTTGTCTGGGGATTTGCTGAGGATTTGTTTTTCCCTTACAGCTCTCTTGCTCACATATTGTGGTTTCTGATTTTGTTTATGGGTTTTCTGTGCATGTGAATGTGTGTGTGTCAGCATCTGAATGTTTCATATGCTTTTTCTCAGGATCTTTCTATTCTGTTTGTTTGTTTGCCCATTCTGGTTTGTTTTTACTTTATCTTATTATTATTCTTGTACTTTTTAGAGGTTTGAGTGTACTCTAATGAAACAGAAAGAAAGGGTGTAGATTTGGATGTGTGGGGAAGTGTAGAGGCTCTGAGAGTAGCTGGTGTTGGGGAAATGATGGACAGAATATACTGTATGAAAAATAACAATTTTCAATAGAAAACTAACGTGAAAACTTTATGTTGGTTTGGGCTACCTTGACTCGGATACAGTCATGATCTTAGGTAATTTCCTTTCACTTAAGCTGTGTGAGTGGCAGTTTCTTTCCTCCAACACTGAGGTGGCAGTAACCACAGCACAGGGTTGCTGTGTGATTAGCCAGTGCTGTCCATCCATCTCATCGTAATTCTGTGAATTCTTGTCCACCAAAGGAAGACAAGGGTGGTTTCAAATGAACTCGCAATAAGGAATTGACAGGAGCTGTGTGCTCTAGTCCCGAGTCTGTCATTAGTAGGCCGTGTGTCCTGTAGCATTTTAGTTTCTCAATGTGTCCCCTGAAAGTTGAGGGGACACCACTTTCTCTTATCAGTCTCCTTCCGTATATGTTTGTAAGATGTAAGAATCATATATTCAATAGACTTCTTGATTGTGTAACAGGACAATAACATCAATAATCCTGAATATGAAGAGTGTCTCTCAGCATCTGCTGGTAAGAAGGTACTTCTCATTGACTGCTGAAGACTCCAGCAAAGAGACTATTAGTGTTGACACTAGGAATATGGACATAATTTCAAAGATGAAGTAATTTGAGTCACACTAGAAGAGGACTGTCATGAATCTAAACCCAGGAAAACTTCCCTATACTTTCACATGCTGGAGGCCACCCTCCACTTCTGCATACTGCATAGATCTAACATAAGATAGACATACCAGGAAAAGACTAAAAAAATTACATGAAGGGGAGTGTTACATACTACTTTCACACATAATTCAGTCTAATTGGTGTCATATGAGGCAGAGTAGTTAGCCAATCATTTTCTTTGGTCAACTCACCCACATCAGGTTTCTCTTCATTATTAATTTCCATAACCACAAATTTCTCACAAACTGCAAAGGTTGGCAAAGTAGAAGAAATGAACTGGCCAAACCTTTAAATAAAGCAGAAAATAAAAAGGTTTCATTTTTCTTTTCCCTACAACACCAAATACAAAGAAAGGAGAAAGAAATAAACATGCATTTCTGTTTTGACTTCTATGGCTCTTTAGGTAAGGGTACTCAGTTTGCTTCTTCTTGGACCATGCCTAATGACATCAATAAAGTATGAGAAGAATCTAGGTTTTCAGAAATACCAGCTCTTTACTGCACTGAGCCCAAACAAGCTGAAGAGCATGACTGGTTAAGTTCAGATGCTCTGTCTGATCTGTATGCATTCCCTGGGACCGGTGGGTGAAGAACTTGGGCTTTAGAAATGCAGGCTAGCTACATGTACATAGGACCATATGTATATGTATGTATACACACATACACACTGACTTTTTAACAATATGACCAGAGACAAATAGCTTAAGTTCTCTGAGCCCTTGTTCATTTACAAAGGAAGTAGGAAAGTTAAAACTTAAAAGTTAAAATTCAATGATCCATCTAAGTGATCATATGGCATGATAAATCTAAATAAACAAGGTACTTAAGATAAATGAACATCTGCGAAATAATTTTGAAGTTCCAGTTTTAAACGCCAAAGTTAAAAAAATAAACAACTTTCTGCAGACCCCATAAATAAAGGAGTTTCCCTTGTGTTAAAAAATTATTACCCATGGTGTGTGTGTATGTGTGTGTGTGTGTGTGTAGGTCAGAGAATGACAATGGCTTTCCTACCTTGTCATCACCTGCTTTAGTCATTTGAGGCATGGTCTCTACCTGAGCCTGGTGCTCCTGTGTGACAGCTGAGCAAGCAGCCAGCCCCAGTGACCTTCTGTGTCTGCTCCCAGAGGGATGGGGTTACAGTATACCTGGCTTGCTATGTGGGTGCTACCTCAGGTCATCATAGCTGCAAAGTCAGCACTCTTACCCACTGAGCCATCTTTCCAGTTACTCTAAACCAATCAATGCTCGAATCACAAAGACACTCAACAATAAAGTTTCATCAGTTTCTGAGTGACGGAGAACGAAGAGAAAAGAGGAAGCCTGTGTGCATGTGTGTGACATACACCCTGAGAATTAACAGGTTTTGTGGAGTAAGGATGGGTACTGAAAGCCTTTCTGTCTAGGTCCGCCAATGTTTTTGGCTGATTTTCACACCCCTTCCCATGCCTTACTTGCACGATACTGACATCACAGTTGTTATACGAGCATGGGGATCATAGGAATCAACTCCATTCAGCTCATTTCTCCTCAACCTCACTGGTGACAAACAGACAAATGTACCTGAGCAGATCGTTGCTGCTGGGGAAGCCTTGCAGCAGGAAGCTCAGCACGTTACTAATAGCAGCAATAGTTGGCTGGGACAAGGACATGTCTCGGAGAGTCAGGAGCAGCTTGGGAATTAGCTGAAATTCCCTCATTAACTTGGCATTCTTGGAGGCCTCACTGTAAGAGAAAGATGATTAATACATTGCAAGACCATCTCTTTCCTAACTGAACAGCCAACTACATGAGTATTAAGTAATACCTGGACTCTGTCAGGAGTTCAATAAAGTGTTCAAATAAAGAAAGATGAAGTTCATATGGTGCATGGAGCCAGACCTGTAACAGAATATGAAAAACGGTGTATTTGAGGTAGGTACAAAAACATCAAGTGCAGCACACAGAACATCTTTTAGTTATATAATTAACTATATAACTCTGGTTGCTCTTCAGAGGACACGGCTTTGGTTCCCAGCACCCACATTAGATGGTGCACAACTGCCTGTAACTACAGCTCAGGGACCTGAAACCCTGTTCTAGCCTCCTTGGGCCCTGCTCATAGGCACATATACAATTACATAAAAATAAAATCTTTAAAAAAGGGTAAAGAGTTGTGAATATACCTGAGCAAATGAAAATATTTTTTAAAACGCATTTTAAGAATAACTGATCATTTAAAGCGAAAATAATATGAAGTATTTTGGAGATTATAAAACAGAAAACAAGCACAAAAAACCAAAATGATAGGAAAGAAGAAATGGACATAGTGTAATATTCTTCAAAGGTAAACCACATTCTTTTAGATTCTAGAAAAATGTCAAAGAAAATGTTTGCATGCTATTGTGATTATTTTATTATACTTGTTTTTTAAAATAAATTTTATTTAAATTAGAAACAATCTTATTTTATATATCAATCCCAGTTCCCTCTCCCTCCCATCCTCCCATATCCCCCACAGACCCCCCCATCCTAAACCCTTCCACTCCCCAGTGAGGGTGAGGCCTTCTATGAGGGATCATCAAAATCTGTCAAGTCATTTAGGGCAGAACCTAGGCCCTCTCCTCTGTATCTAGGCTAAGAGAATTTCCCTCCATGGGAATGGGCTCCTGAAGTCCATTGTGTACTACAGATACATTCTGGTTCCACTGCCAGAGGCTCCATAGACTGCACAATGCTCCTAGCTGACACACATGTGCAGGGGGCCTGGTTTGGTCCTATGTTGGTCCCCTAGCTGTCAGACTGGGGTCTATGAGTTCCCACTTGTTCAGGTCAGTTGTTTCTGTGGGTTTTCCCAGCATAGTCTTGATCCCTTTGTTGGTCACTCTCCCCTCTCTGGAACTGGATTCCAGGAATTTAACTCTCTCTTGGCAATGAAAAAGAAATACATTCATCAACTTACAACAGTTAGGTGCATACTTACTTCAAAATCACAAAGCAGGTCCTGGAACGCAGTGGAATTGGGAATGATGGATGTCTCGTGGCCGCTGTCAACGGTCCCCACCAAGGAAAACGTCAGATGGAGGATGTGGCTGTTGAGAAGGGAGCGCTTCTTCTTCAGCAGCATTGCCAGTAACTGGAAGAATGCAACAGAACAGGCCTGCTGTAGACCACCACGTGGCTCACGCCACACACTGGATCTAGTCAGTGGGAAGTTCTTTGATGGCTTCATGACATAATGGCATTAGGGCCAGTGATTCTCACTGGGTGAAATGAGCCACTGGGGCTGTACCCGGAGACAGTCCACAGTCCCTTCCTGCTTCCTGGCTGTATGAGATGAGCAGTTCTCCTCAGGTACATACTCCCACACTGGTGTCCTATTTTACAATAGGCCCATAGTTACAGAGCAAGCAGATTGTGGACCAAACCTACACTACCACGAGCCAAAAGAAAGCATTCCTCCCCTCATGCCGTTTTCCTCAGGTATTCATCAAAGTGACAAAAACAACCACCTGACTAGCGGAGACTCAACTTTGCCTCAAACATTTATTTTAAATGTTTCACTTGAGTCCTATTTCTGCCCCACAGACCACACAGCTGAGAACGATGCATATTTTAAGCTGTGCCTGAACTGTCAGGACCAGCTCTGTATGCCCACTGTAGCGTGGCTTCCATACTTGAGTGAATGACGAAAGATGAAGGGAAGGAGCCATAAAGAAAATGGGAAGAGATCTGATGCGTCACCAACTCCGACTCCTCCAAGCAGGAGCTAATATGAACCAATTTCATTTCATTCCTTTGTGTGAAGAGAAAGGACATCTGAGCATCTGAGCAAGCAAACCAAGATCTGAATATGTTTAGTTTTCTATATCCATGGCTTTTAAACACACAGATTAAGTCAAACAGAGGTCAAAAACATCCTACTTAAAAACTCTGTCCAGACATTTCCTGTAATTATCCCTTAACCACCACAGTATATAGTAACTGTAGGCATAGGATTCATGTTGTATTAGGAGTAGCAAATATCTCTGATGATTTCAGCACAAGTAGGGATACCATGTTATACGCAAAAGTAACATGATGTGATGAGATCTATATGAGACTTGAGCAGAGACCTGAAACCTTTCCACAGGACAGTGATGGTCCAGCGCCTCATACGTATCAAAGCTGGCTGACACGACACAGTCTGCAGAACAAATGACACTGAGTAGAAGGAGGGACCCTGAGAAACCAAAACTAAACAAAGCTACATATACTTCTCCTCACTTGATGCATTACTTTTGATTCAAGTCAATGGCTTTCAAGTTCCCTTGGACAATACCATTCTTGCAGTTAAAAAATCATGAATGATGAAAATGAGATGATCTGGTGTGACGTGTAGCGAAGGCAAAGCCTTACGGTTGGTTACAAACCTGATAGCCCTTGATTCTTTCCATCTCCTTACTGGCTAGTGGGTTACTCTTGACCACACACACCAGGGCCTTGACTGCTGCATACAACCCTTCCACATCCGAGGCCATGGCCACTAGGCCTAGGATGGCGGCAGCTCCTCCAATGTACTGCAGAGTAGTGGCAACAGGCTTAGGGACAAATGTTCTTACTCCTGATTAAAAAGACAGAGAAAAAGGATTAAAATAAATTACCTATGGAAACAAGAAGTAAGTCAAATTATCTACTTTGCTTATAGTCACACATTTCATCACAAAAATAAGTCTGCAAAGAAAGAATTTGGGAGAAGGCATTAAGTGCTAATTTACATACTCCCAGAATGGCATGAGAAGAGAATACAGAATGGGTAACATCAATGAGTAAACGTCAGTTATCCATACACGGTAGTGGGTAAGAGCCAGACTAGAAACAGAGGTCATAGGAATGCATTGTAGCTAAGAAAGAGTGTGTACTCGTTTCTGCTGGGAATACACTTGGAGAAACTGAATGGAGTACAGGAATGACACTACTGTATTTGAAGCATTTATTAATGTTCTGGGTGAATGTTACTTGCCTGCTCTGTAGGACTGAAGTTTTTAAAATACCGAGGCTGGAGAGATGGCTAAGTGATTAAGAGTGCAGTCTATGTTTTTAAAGGATCTGAGTTCAATTCTCAGCACTCATGTTAGGTGGCTCACAACCTCCTGTAATACCAGTCCCAGGGAATCCAATGTGTTGGGCCTTTGAGGGTACTTGCACATATGTGTACCTCACCTTCTGCATGTACACATAATTAAAATTAAAAACATCTTTAAAAACAAAAGCGGTTGTGAAATGTAGTCCCTATTACTAAGAAGGATAGATGAAGATGACCTGAGCCCAGGGTTTTGAGATCAGACACCTGATCTCAAAGATATAGGGAGTCATTATTTTATACTTAGCTAAACTTGCATATGATACCTATAAGACTACATGCACAGGTATACATCAAATGAAATTATATCACATTGGGTGATAATATTGCTCCCACAAAATATCTAACAAACCCTCAACTAGTACCAGGCATGGGAAACCTTTCAAGTTTTTGGTCAGTGGGTTCCATTCAAGAGATTCCCAAAACAATATAACCTATTGGAATACCTCCTTATTGCTAAAGACACCACACACACACTTGGAGGGTTTGAGTTAGAACTGACCCAAAACCTCCTCCTCTAGGGTTATTTTTCATAGGACTGAAGGTGAAATGCAATCTACTAAGGGGGAAAGGGGCCAAGAATCCTAGCTAGGTGTGGTGCTTATGATCCAGTACAAGAACCCTCAAGGCAATCTATCTCTACAAGTGCTGCCTAGCCTACTACACATGGCTAGTCAGGCCATGCATTAGAGGAGGGTCTTCCAGTGCACTTTCCTGAATCAGTATAATCCTAACTACAGTCTACACACTTATCTCTGTACACAGAGGTAAGTATAGGTCTCACTCCTCATCAAAGCTTCTTTTTGCAGCAGTAGCAGTTAGAGACCATTAGGAAAGCCTCAAATGGTCAAAATTCAAGTCAACTGGTCATGAGGTACCCAACCCCAACTGCTGCATCTCTCAGGGAACACAGTGGAAGAGGATGGGGAAAATGTAAGACCAGGAAGTCTGCTATGAAAATGCATCTCTTAGAAGTGACAGAGAAGCTATGTTCATGAAATCTCAACAACATGATTGCCTAAAGACATGAACAATTACAATAAAGGTTGATATCTTAATGAAGATAGAAATATAAAACTCATTGGGCCCCAACCCTTGATGAAGGTTGACAGGCAATTAACAACCACCGAGAAAGGGAGAATCAGTCTTCCCCAGAGATGACCTCTCTGATTGGCTACCCAATATCAAAGGGTCAGCCTTAAAAACATGCACACAAGCAACTGGACACTCAGCAGGTTGTATTTATAAGTTGACTCATTTCTATGAATACATAATCAGCGCTTAATGATTTCCACACCTGTTTCAGCATGCCATTTGCAGTCTGTACACAAGCCCATGAGAGCTCATAATTTTTAAGCTTGATTACAATTTGGACTAATTCGCAACATGGCAGGAACATTACCTGTAACGGTCAAGTGTGATGTCAAGTGCTTCAAAATATGAACTTAAAGCATTCCTTTTCCTCTTATATGAATATGAGGGAAAGAAAGGCAAATTTGAAAGTGAAGAACTTCAAACAATAAAGACAATTTACTCACCCAAGTAACCAATGAGCGTGGCCCCAATGGTGCGTGCTGGTCCATTGAGATGGCCTGCGGCATTGTGGATTAGCTTCACTGGGGTGGCATTCTCATGGGAGGAAATGCCTAACTGGAGAACAGGAAGGGGAAAGAATGTAGTCATAGAAGAGTGGCCTGGCAGGTCGGTACCACTTACACGACGGGTAACAAACCCTTTCTGTCCCCTAACTAGCAGAATACATAGTGTGAGTATCCTTTACATTTTCTTCTTTTACTTGGGCAAGTACTTAAACTTCCTAAAAGTAATTTTAAATGCAGTTACAGACATACAGACAGCAGAGATACTTGAGAAGCTTCCTGAATGAATCTCCTGTGACTTGGAGGCTATCCAAGAATCAGTACCTTGCAGACAAATACTGTTGACAATTCAATTTTATTCTAGACCCAAACAGCTTCATTTGTATAAAATTTCCAAGATTATAGATGAAATATGACTACATAAAGAAATTATCAAACACACAGACTAGACTCTTCAGGCATAGAGCCAGAGTCATATAGATAAGCTTTTTTATTTTATTTGCTAAAATTTTAACAAGATCAGTTAAAAAAAAAAAGAAAGTCTATGTTGGTAGTCCAACCTAAAAATCTCAGTGTCTAGGAGGCTAAGGAGGAACGTCATGTCAAGACCAACGTGGGCTACGTAGTGAGAATTTGCCTCAGAAAGCCACAAATTAACCAGCTAACTAAATAACTTACCAAAGAAACACCAGGAACTGTGTTCTTTATTGTCATAAGGTTCAACTTCTTAACTTTTTGTGGAGCTAGGGTCACACCCAGGCCTCAATGTATGCCAGGGAAGTGTGCTACACTCATGGCCAACATAAGCTTTGATACTCGCAAGATATTCTCATTTTCCCAATTAGGCAAAATATTTAAATATGTTTGACCTAAATTAGGAGCAAAATGTACCAAATATAAATGGCACATGAGGGTGGCAATTTGAAAAAAAAAACAAATATGCTAATTAGAATCCCAGAATAAAACTAAAAAAATGTAGCAGAAAGGTATTTGCAAATATAATTACTGAAAGTTAGTGAAAGATGGGAATTTATAGTTCAAGAGAGTCGATGAAACCGATCAGGGAACAAGTTTTCAAAGTCTAGGTATATCACATTTGAATTTCTAGAGATCAAATATTAAAAAAGAAAAAAGCAGATGGAGAACAGTCACTTCAGATGCTCAGGTCTGCATCAGAAGCTAGAAAACATTACAACAAAGAAAGTGTTTGACTGAATTGTCAACTTGACACAACATCTGAGAGGAAATCCTCCAGTAGAGAACTCTGCAAGTTAGACTAGCCTGTGGCCATGTCTGCAGGGAACTTCCTCCTAGCTGATGTAGGGGAGGCTTGTCCACTGTAGGTGGCACGATTCCTAGGCAGGCCATCCTGAGCTGTATATATAAGCTAGCTAAGCACGAGTCTGAGGGAGACAACAGACAGCATTCCTCCACTTCCTGCTTGAGTCCTGCCCTGATTCAATGATAGAGCGAAACCTGAAAGAAGAAATGAACCTTTTCCTGCTGCAAGCTGCCCTTGGTGAAAGTGTCTTGTCATCAAGAGAATGATGACTGGGACAGGAAATGACAACAACTGCTGAAGGAGAATCCTGGTCACTGCTGAGTGTTACACCCAGCAAACCTGCCCCGAAAGGAGAAGACCAACCATAGCAATCTCAAGGCTGCTTACCACATTACCATCAGGTTAGTGACAACAGTAACTGATGTAAAACATGGTCCCAATGGTCTACAATGAAGGTATTGTGCTACTTGTGGAGAACAACCCATTTTCTTCCCACCTGCATTTGTGGACCCATGGCCCCCTGGTTTCCTCTTTAAAGCATTCCATCTACGACACTGGTCTTTACCTCTAAGGGACTCTTGATTCAATTGTGCCCATCTGGACTATCCTTCCAGTGAGAACCACCACGGCTCACTGGGAGAGCAATTGGCTTACCTGTTTAGCAATAGCTTTGCTGTCTAACTTGTTATAGACTTTCCGAATTCTTGCCACTGTTAGGGAGGACACGGAGAGTGCATAGAGGCCAAATGACACCTTTTCCTCTGCAACTAGTGACACAGGTGAAGGAATAACACCTTCAGACTTTGCATCTTTACCTTCAAAAGAAGAACGACTCTTTTCAGTTGCCAGTAGTTTTCCACATCTTCAGAACAAAGTGTTTATTCTTACTGTCATCCCTGCCTGGCTGGATGTAAATATTTTTTAAAGTGGAAAAGACAGCCAGATTTCAAAGTTATTTTACTTTTTTAGCTCTTGTCTGTTTCTTTGATCACAGTATGGTAAAGGTCTTGCCAGTCATACACTTGTACATTGTTTTGCTCTTATAGTACCTGACTATAAGGCCTACTGCAAAAGAAGCAAAAGAATGTTAACTGTTATCTAACAAACCATCACGTACTTCATTCTACATAGAAAGGAATAAGAATGCATGTGTCTCCAGCATGTATAATGCATGAGTGTCTTAGTCTAATGTATGAGTGTCTCTAGCATGTCGAATGCATGAGTTTCTTAGTCTAATACATGAGTGTCTCCACTATGTCGAATGCATGAGTTTCTTAGTCTAATGCACGGGTGTCTCCAGCATGTCTAAATCATGAGTGTTCTCAGCAAGTCTAATGCATGCATGTCTCCAGCATGTGTAATGCTTGAGTGTTCTCAGCAAGTCTAATGCATGGTTGTCTTAGTCTAATGCATGCGTGTGTCCAGCATGTCTAATGCATGAGTGTCTTAGTGGGACTGGGCTCTCTTCTTATCAAGTGCTCGCACCCACACCTCTCACACCCCTCAGTACAGGACTACATGGCAGGGTGGGGAAGAACACATAGTAGGGTGGGGGAAAAGGACACACGTTTTGGAATTTTATTTTACTATTTAAAGTCTATGTGCTTAATCTATTTGTCTGTCTGTCTCTGAAGCTACATATAAGATTTTAGACTCACACAGATAGGATAGATAATAAAATATTTTCTTTAAATCTTACTAAATGTCATGAACAAAATATTGTAACTATAGTTCTTACTTGATAACTGTTCTGTTATATATAATTTGACTATGTTAAAGTTAAAACCTTTCTTTTATTTTAGACAGAAAAGAAGAGATATTGGGAGACGTCAGCCTGTAAATATGTGTCTGATTGGTTTGAATAAAGCACTGTTGGCCAACGGGAAAACAAGACAGGTAGGACTAGGAGTCTAGGAGGATTCTGGGAATTGAAGTGAGGGGAGATCTCGCCATGTGATCTCCTGGGAGCAATGGGCGCTCAGGAGTGCGTCCTCAAAAAGATAAGTTCTTATAAAATATATATTAGTAATTATGGGTTAATAATCAAATCAGAGCTAGCTGATAAGAAATCAAGCAAATGGCCAACAGCTTCATAATTATTATAGTTCCTGTGTGTTATTTGGGGGCTGAAAGCAGCAACAGGAACCAGGCGGTGGGCAGGAAGACTAAATGTTACAGAATGGGTAGGGGATAACACAGTATTTTGAAATAAATGAATATACATGAGGAGCAGCAGAGAATGGAAATGCCCTTTGGGCATTATTAACCAACTTGGCACGAGGTAAGTTTCCAGTGTTAACTCCTACTGGATACTCTGTAAGACAATGCTGAGTAAACAGACAAAGTACTCAATCATCAAGTTAGTTAACATTTTGAATTTATTTGTTGTAACTTCTCTGAGACCATGAGTGGAATCAGAACACGGAGGAAGGCAGATGTGATTCATCTGGGTGCCACAAATAAACTGTCAGTAGTTAAATATCAGCTCCTTCATTCTGTATTTCTTTGGGAAAAAGAATTTCAAAAATGGACTACTAGGAGTGACAGCTTTAGTGTTGAGAATATATTTTTGTTTATTGGACTCACTTGTTCCTTTTTTAACATTTAAATATTTAAATTGCTTCTGTAATAGAAGAAAAAGAAAACAGGATTAAGGTTGGCCTCTTACAGGGTAAAGCCCCTCACCTTTAATCCAAGAAGAAAACCAGGAAAATTAATTGGTGAGTAGATAATGAATCAGAAAAGTACAGTGTGATTGTGGAAGGCATACTATATTTTGTTTGCTCTATCTCTTTATTTGTAGTAAACCAGGAAAATTAATTGGTGAGTAGATAATTAATCAGAAAAGTACAGTGTGATTGTGGAAGGCATACTATATTTTGTTTGCTCTATCTCTTTATTTGTAGTACTGGAGACATGCTGGAAACCGTGAGCTATAGCCTCAACCTAAGGAGAGCATCTTTTTTCTTTTTCTTTTTTTTTTCTTTGAGACAAGATTTCTTTATGTGGCCTCAGCTATCCTAGAACTCACTCTATAGACAAAGGATGGCCTCGAACTCATAGATCAGCCTGCCTCTGCCTCCTGAGTGCTGGGATTAAAGGCGTGTGCCACCACTGCCTGGTGGAGGAGAGAATTTTCAACAAGAATGATCAGTAAAATTATTCTGAAGGAAATGAGTGGAAAAAACACTTTCCTAGTCAAATATATACCTACTCCTACATACACATGAATCTGCATTGTAGAAGTTACGTGCCATAAAGCTTCAAGAAGCAAGGATAAATTACTCACATGGTGTGCACACAGCCTGATAACTTCCAACGTAATTTGGTCCAAGTTCATAAATAGTAGTGACACTAGAGGGAGGTAAAACTTCCTCTAGAAAATGAGTGGGTCCCAGGCGCCAAACCAATGAAGCGATGTGTCGTTGTGCAGGTGGAGTGCCGATGTAGGCGTAGACTGTGCTCAGTACCGGAGGATTTGCAGAACCTGAGCCCCCAGGAGTACTGTGGACATAATGCAGCTATAAGGAAGACACGAGTGTGAGATGTGGGAACCCTTTGAAGCAGGAATAACTACTGTACTGTATGCATTTCCATTATCTTGAGGCCACACAAATCTACACATATGCAAGGCCACGTTGAGAAACACAAAAGGCAAGATTCTAGAGTCTGACCCTGGGCACTCAATAAAGCAATTTGAAATCTGTCATCGAATTATGTACAGAAATGGCAACAATTAGATATAGGGATACTATCGATTACTGCCTGTGGTCTAATTATCAAATTAATGATGCTTTCCCTGAAAATATAGTGTTCACAGTTCTATAATGGAAAACCACTTTTGATGTGACTCTAATTAAAATTACTGATTAAAAGTATCTTAATATTTAGAAAAGTAAAATCTGTAATTTATATGCACATTTATTATCTCAACACAAGATAGGCATGGTTGATTGACATTCTTCGAGCTGAAATGGTTTTGTTTACCGATGAGACAACTTAGTCATCAATCAACTCATTTAAAATAAATATATATTTAGGTAGGGCATAAGAAATGAGGAATTGGGGTGCTGACTGTAAAAGCAGTTTCAGGACATTCCCACTGATTTGTTTTCTCATGATATCAGCCAGCTTCAGATCACATCTAATATTCTATGTACATTAAAGAATGATTGGTCCTAGCATTGTGGCAAGCATGCTGGTGAAGACCCACATGCACACACTAGCCCCTGACCACTCATAGTGTGTGCATCTGTGCATGTGTGTGTGCATGTGTGTGTGTATCATGATGTTGCGTACCCCTCAATACTAAAAGTTGACATTTTTATTTTCAATAATGTAAACAAGAAGCAACCTACTAGAGATTCTAGAAACTTATTTCAAACGTCATCATATATACACACACACACACACACAAAATCAACGAATACTGCAATGGAAGCATTAGCATTTATCTTATTAGTACAGAATGTCACAATGAAACTACTACCATGAGAGAAGGAAATAATTCAAAGAAGCTGCTGTTTTCTCACAAAAAGACCACTTTGCTTTTGTTATATATCAAGTGATATCAGTGTAAGATGGAGACTGTCTCACACAAGTTAAGCAATTTAAACCTCGTTGAGTTCTACTGATGGAAAGGACGACTTACAGCCTGGACCAGAAATGCTTCAGAGGAACAGCTGTGCAAACTTTGCTACTCAGAAAATGTAAAACTCAAAATAATCTGAAATTTGCAAATATTTTGTGAATGATGCTGGCACTCAGGAAGTTTTAGATTTTGGAGTATTTTGAATTTTTGGTTTAGCAATATTCAACTTTGACCCATATTCATGAAAAGTGATTCTTTACTCCTTCCTCCCAATTGCTTCTGAATACTAGAGTATGACATTCTTAAGTAAGGCTTACATCCCCAGTCATCCAACAAAGAAAGCTGGGGATGGCTCCAAGTGCCTGCTGCACAAGCACCTACGTGAAACCCAGACACGGTGCTGTGCATTGGAGAGGTGGAGAAGGAAGGATCGCTGGTGCTGTGACAACTAATCCAGTTATTCGGTGAGCTCTAAGGTCTCAAAATAGAGTGGTGAGAAACAGGAAAACACCAATGTCAACAGCTGGCGTCCGCATAGATACATGTACGCACGCACACACGTATGCACGCACATACCCCATCGTCTTCTCTCTGGAGCTCTTTCGAGGGCAGCTGTGCCTCCTGACAAAGAACGCTTACCTTTACAGTGTTGACGAGCTGCCCGTCGATATAGAGGGCCGCAGTGCTGTTCTTGAGCATGCCTTTGCTCATCAGCAGAACCAGATGGTGCCACTGGCCTTCCACTATCAGCTCTCCGCATCGAAAGCGGGCGCAGCACGGGAGAATCTCATAGAACGAGGATTCTTCACTGAAGTCATCAACTAAGGCAGGAGGGAAAGAGTCAGAGCGCTTGCCCGCACTGTCCCTGCCTGTAATCTGCATATGACACCAGCCTATTTTGACAATCCAACCTTGAGGAAGGTGTGCAGCTCATCCCACGAACCTGTTGCTGATATGTGATCAGCCTACCCAGGCCCTCAGGACAGCAGCTGCAGGGAAGAGGAGCTCCGTGGCAGATGCTCTTCCAAGCTCTTGCTTCCGGGAGAACTCGGTCCTATACATATCCTCTCCTGCCAGCTCCCCCAACTCCACCAGCTTCCCTAACTCTGCCAGCCTCCCCAACTCTACCCTCTTCTGCCTGATTAAGTAGCTCTAGCCACACTGTGCTAAGAAACAGCAGGTTACTCATATGGAAACAGTAAGATTACAGGACAGTGAGAATTTTCTTCTTTTCTTATCTTACGTCTTTAATTGAGACTAATTTAAATACAACAGTACTCCCTTCCCTTTCTCCCCCCACACCTACCCCCAACTCCTCCCAGGTCCTTCCCATCTCCATTCCCAATAAATTGTTCAGAATAAATTTTGATCAACTATAACAAAGAGAAACAAGGCGTTTAAATCAATTTCATCTTAATGTTCACCTAATTGAAAATTAACCTACTGTCTTTTGCTTTGTTTATTGTTGTTGGTGGTGGTGGTAGGATCAAATCCAGACCCTGAGATGTGTGGGCATGTATTCTTCCCGAGCTGTAAGACATCCTACCCTTTCTCACAATTTGTAGTGGGGTAGATATCAGTGACAGGGCTAAAGCCACATTTAAAAGGGGGCACAAAGTAGCTAACACAACCCACAGCCACACAATTTAAAGCAGACATGTAAATATGCTTGAAAGTCAAGTCCCAATTCTATGAAAAAACTACAAACAAAATGCCAAGTTTTACTTTGGTTCTGTTAAAGATAGATATTTCAGTATGATATCAAATTATATTTTAGAATAAGAATTCCTTGAAGATTTCATGGTTCCTGGGATAAAGTGGCCTTAAGTAAACAAAAACGCATGATTTCCCCCTCCCCCAGGGAAGAACAGATTGAACCGAAGAACATTAATTTTGAAGGGAAGATGCAAGGGAAACTGATGAGAGGGAACTGGGAGAAAAGGTGGGAACAGGCAGTGACTGGAATGTCCCCCACAACAGCAGACCAGGAGCGGTCTTAATGAGGAAGAGGCCACCCAAATGTCCAGGACAAATGCAGTGTAATAATGAGTTTTGTATTTAACTCTTTATTGTTTGCTATGCTGGCGTCAAACTCACGGACAGCTTCTACTTCAGAAATATTTCCTCAGCCTTGACGATGAGAGTTCTGAAATTAACTACACTGATACTCAGTGCTGTGTAAGGCACCCTGAGGATACTAAGAAACCTCGTAATTAAAAAGTTAATATGCATAATCCATTAATATTTATTATCAGCCACATCAATCAAGGAATTATTTTGGTTAAAAGAACAAAAGCTAGATGATTAAAAATTCTTTTGTTTTTAATTTTTATAACTGGGTAGTCTGGGGTTTATGTTTACGATGTGATTTCTATGTTTTAGGACGATCTTCATGGATGCCTTGAGTTTGAAGTTGTACCGCACATCAGAATCAGGTACTGTATGTTGGGGAAATTAACAGTTATAAAATGCAAGCCTCAAAGGTGCATGACCTGTGAAGTGACAGTGGTGTTGCTGTGGGTGGGGCACAGAGCTGCCCTTAAGGCACCCAGGTGCTAAGTACTTACTCAGCACATTCACAATCCACCACCACTGCAGCCAAACAGCAAACACGAGGCGGCTGCCCTGCAGAATCCTGAGCCCTGGTGCTACAGATGCGACACACTCGGGCTCAGGCTCTGTTGTTTCCTAATTCACTTTAGAAAGCACCTTAGGCGGGATGTACTTACAACCAAAAGACACACCATACATGCATGGAATTCTGAAATATATATATATCTTTACTTGTGTACACACACACACACACACACACACCTCACAATTCAATGGTGAATAGGCAAGCATCCACATAACCTGTTCTACACTAGCCTAATGAAAGCTAGATGAGGATCACCACTTTGAACCTACAAATATTAATTAAGACAGACTTTTCCTTTGTAGAATAATGAGAGCAAAGAGGCTGACACCAACCATAATTTTGGAGTAGCTCCTCCTTTGTGGAAACAATTAAGGAGCGGTCTTTTGCAGACAGAACTATGGCAAGGCACACATAATGCTGCTCGGATGAATTCGCTCGTCGCACAACAGTGAGGAGCCTGACAGGGTGGTTATTTGGAGGAGAACTGAAGTGTTCGATGCAAAACCAGCTGGAATAGCTCAGGCCAGAAGGAGGAGGGAAGAAGCGTTCACCTGGAGTCACAAAAGAAAAATAATGAAAGGGCTTTGTGCTTCCCAATTACATTCTTAAATGAGGCAGTAATAGAATCATAGGAACTATTAGTAAAAATATCTAGGGAGAAAGGAATGACACTTACCAGAACCAATGCCACTCACCACGGCCCCATCAGTGAGACCTGTTGTGACAGCATTATTGGTAGGGGCATTATGGGGAGCCAAGCTGGGCAGAAAAAGGCAGCTAGTAAAGAAAACACATGCTGGTTAGATATCCAGTCCATTTTTACACAATGGACATGCAAAACAAGTGTGTAACCACAGCTGGAGATTAGATAGTATGAAATACATCTGGGGCAACCAGAGCCCTTCCTGCCTTTCAATAATGTGAGAACATCAAATGATGGACTTTAAAACCTCTCTAACAATATGATGCAAAATTTAAATTACTTAAATTATGGTTAAATTTGCATGTGTAGAACAAACATACAATCTTAATCAAAACACTCGAGTAATTTCATTATCACAGAAAAAAAATCTCCTTGTAATGATTCCTCATAATTCAGCAAGTGGACATATGTGTGCAGACTCTGAGGCACAGATTTGGAGATTCACTATAGCGTCCTTATTGCTGCTTCTGTAACTGTAGCAGTCTCAGGATATTTAAAATTATCATCGGACATCACTGGTGTCACTCATTAGTCATACAAGTGACATTATCAATCGTACAGTCATACGTTTTACTACATAAACTGGAGACAAGATGGCAGAAGTGAATCACAGATTTCCATCGAAGTTTATCTCTTATCCACACCTCACACTTATCACACCAGCAGTTGGCTAACCCTTGGAAGGGGCCAGGTGAGACACTTCCTTTTAGCTTCCTTCTAAGATGACACAATTCTGCCACTCAGAGAGGATCCATGAATGAAGGAGCCAGATGTGTGACCCAGTAAAATGGTTTCATCCACAGTCACACTTGCAAAATCTTACTCAACCCTGGATCTCAATTATGAACTCCACTATTACAGCAATACAGCTAATATGATAAATAATTCAGAAAGGTAACCATAGAAACAGCATGCTCAGACAACTGGAGTCACTTGAAAGCATACAGCATAGAATGTATCACAGCATATTTTAACCCAGCAGTTTAAATCAAGTCTATTTACAAAGATCTCAAAGAGGCTCAGGACAAGAGAGCAAGTGCCCAACAGAACAAGGCCCAGCTTTGCAGTTTCCTTACCCAAAGCCTTCAAGGGATGTGTCAAATTCAACAAATGCTGGAGTAACAGAGGAGCCATGAAGTCTGATGTCATGAGGGGTTGTCATGGAGACAAGACACTTTACCCTGGTCAAGGGCACAGTACTTCCTTCTGCTGACTTCACCAGACTTTTGCTTATCCTGTAATGGTTATCTTCATGCAGGCTAAAAACGTTGTCAGAGCCCAGGCCTTCCAGAGAGGTGACCATGCTGCCTGCAAGGCAGCGGAAGAAAACATGCTGAATTTTAAATAAACTTTACGAGACTAAGTTATTTTCACATGCTACAAGTTTCTTTTTCAATACCGAGAACGCTTGTGCAGTTGCGATGTTGTATGTTGCCTTTCAGACTGAGGAGCTTGCTTTCCTTCTTAAACTGACTATCAAAGTAGCATGCATACGGCAAAAGAACCAGACACTGGGCGTTAAAAGGAATGAGTGCCCACGATCACCACCCAAGCCCATCGCTGCAACACAGCTAAATCTCAGCTAAGGGGCGTGACCTCATTTCACAACAGTACTTCTCATCGTTTCTTATTTCACAACAGTACTTCTTATCATTTCTCTTTCAAAGGAAAACAGTTCTATATTTTTTTCTGAAAGCACCATCACATAAAGAAACTGGTATCTCTAAGACAAATAGTAACACTTCTGTCTTTCCCCATCTTTTGTATCCTTATATCTATCAGAATAAAACATGATCATAAAAATACAGGGTTTAAGGATTCCTATGTGTATACAAGTGGTGATAAGCAGTTGTGTCTTTCCAGGGAACATCTCAAATGTAACAAAGGAAACATTCCCCATAAAGATGAACCACATGGGTATCTTCAATGTGTCTGATGCTGGGTCAACCATAATAGTGTTTTAGTGCTCTCTCAGGGAGTAACTACTTTTGCCTCTATTTTAACAAAGAAAATTACAAATCAATTCTAAAGAACTGTGTAAAATACAAAAACACATAAAGGGAATGTATATTAACTAACATCCTGCCATCCCATGAAACCATGCTGGAACTCAAATGATCTTAAGCTTCCAGAACGCAGCAGTAACAGTGGTGATGACAGGTAGCAGGGGACAATGGCTGATGATCTGCCTTCAGAAGTCTTGGCTCAGAACTGAAGGGAATGATGGTGATGTACATTACTGCCTCTTCAAGTCGCCACTGTGGACTGGGAGGATGTGCCTTGGGGACAGAGCCTGCCTAGCACAGGATCGATCCCCAGCACATCACAAACAAAAGGACAAACACAAACCACGGTAGGTAGTTACTCTAGCTTTCTAAGGGTCCTCTCTGCATGCTGCACTACTGGTGTCTACTTATTCGTCATTCTAAGTCCACCTTATCTGCCATACGCCAGTCAATAATGATCCAGGAGGGATTGTAAAGTAAAAAACGCACAAAACCGCATAATTAACCATGGAAGGAAATTCTAGAAAACAACAGGTTGGAATCTAGTGCAGTGGGCTCCACTGAGATATCTCCCACCAGTTTTGCTTGGATGGCATCTATTGGTGTCCCATGACCCTGACAGACGGACTGGTGGGCAGTGCCTGCATTCTCCTCACTCCCTAGATCACTTTTCTTTCCTCCACTCGGAGTGACATCTCCTTAGAGGCTACTCAGCAAATCTACCATAGTCGTCTGGGAGCCTGGACCTCCTCCTGTCTCCCTCATTCCTCCCTTGACTCCTCCCATCTTCTCTGTGCCCATTCACACTATTCTGAGTTGACCCACAGGATACCTCTCACTTGATGCAGGACTATCTTCCTCCAGAAGCCATCTGATTTCACTTCTGTCCCTCTCAGACCTAATGTTATTTTTGTTGTGAGTTCTACTTTCCCATCTCTCAGCTGTCCAGCAAATACACTGCACCATGTAATAATTTAATCAATCACTCACCGGCCCAGGCAGCAAATGCTACTTGGGAAACAGAGTGTGTCTCCTCTGAGATACGGGTACTCCCTCTTCCACACCAGAAGCTAATTCTTTCACTCCTTACCAATCACCCCGAGAGAACCTGAACTGTTCTCCTGCGTCATTGCTCAAACAGCAACAAACTCTTCTGTTTCTAAAAACTATCATAAACACCACCCTCCCACACATGGACTCGTTAACAAATAAACCAAGACAAAGAATGTCAAGACGCAGCTTACTTCTCATCTCCGGTTCATAACTCAGCGAACTTGGTTTGTGAACCCTGTACTGTTTCAGCTGCTTTTTGTCCCAGGCACCGCAATTCAAAGGACTCGCCAAACGCAAAAACCCCCTAAAGAAGAGAGAAGCAGAGTCACTCCTGAGTGAGAATATTATACAATAACACACTATGTCAAGGGGCTGGCGGTGGGGCATAAGGATTTATTTTTTTTTTTTTGGCTTTTCAAAACAGGGTTTCTCTGTAGCTTTGGAGGCTGTCCTGGCACTCACTCTGTAGACCAGGCTGGCCTCGAACTCACAGAGATCCACCTGCCTCTGCCTCCCAAGTTCTGGGATTATCTAATTACCAATGCTTTCCTTATGTCTCAAACAGGGTAAGGGCTCAAATAATAGCATGTAATAATAGGTAAACAAGATGGCACTCCTGTGATAGCTATAAAAATAAGCTGACTTCTTGTTCTTTTTTGAGTACCAGAAAGAGTCAAAGTACTGCAAAGGGCGAAGATGCAATCTGCTGAGCACATGAGCATGTCCCGCTGGATGTGTACACACATGGAGCACACCGTCCCAGAACCACACACAGTAGGATTCCTTCGGAACCTTGTCGTATAACGTGGCATGCCACTTGATACAACACTAACATGTTTATAACAAGTATTTTTCTTAATACTAAGTTTGCAATGTGTTTTCAAAATCACAAGCAACATCTCAACCATGTTCTTGAAAAGCTTTTCAAGTCTCATGATAACAGTACTTCAACACAAGACAAGAATAATCACAGAGCAGTATACAGTCTCAGAACAACAAACTGCAGGTACATTTGCAAAAAAAAAAAAAAAAAAGGAACAACGTAATGTATTGCTAGATCTATTCAGCTACATGTTTTCAAAGATAACAGGAAAAAAGTGTTTTTAAAGTGGATCAATTTATATTCATTTTATGTGTATGGGTATTTTGCCTCTGTGTATTGCTATGCACCAAATGTGTGCTTGGTGCCCACAGAAGCCACAAGAGGGCTTTAAATCCCCTAGACCTTGAGTTACAGAGGTTTTCTAAGTCGCCATGTGTATTCTGGGAATCAAACCAGAGTCTGGTGTATAAGCAACCAGTGCTCTTAATTGCTGAGCCATCTTACTAGCCCTAGGAAAAAGCTTAAAAACTGACCAAGTTTCGCTTTTTAAAACATACCATTTTCCTCTTAAATGAAAACTAGAGATACAGCTCCATAGTAGCGTGCTTATCCAGCATGTATGAGGCCCTGGGTTGATTCTCAGGATTACCAACACACACACACACACACACACACACACACACACACACACACACACACACACACGTGTGCACACATACATACATGCATATTCAAACACATATATACATTTGAGTGATTAACAAACTGTTTTATGTTCATACCATAAGAAATTATTTAACAATAAATAGGAAGGAACTACCTAATAACATACATTAAAAACTTGCACGTATCTCAGGAGCATTATAAATAAAAATTATCAGCCTATAAATGCCACATATGCTGTGTGCGCAAGCAAAACTACGGAGTTGGAGAACAGAGCAGTGGTGTACAAAGGTCAGGGATGGGGGAGATCAGAGAGTGTGCACACAGAGCAAGCGCAGCCCCCATTTGTTTATTTTTGGAGACGAGGTGTCACTATGGTGGGCCAGTCTGGCCTTAACTCACAATCCTCCTGCCCCAGACTCATAAGTGTTGAGAATGCAGTTTGACCACTTCTAAAGAGTTGGTTCATTTTGTCGTTTGTCCATATTTAGTTTAATTAAGTCCATGAAAGAAAACTTTTTGGTTTCTATGGTGCTGGGAACTGGACCTAAGACTGTGCAAGCCCAGCCAGCACTCTACCGCTGAGCTGTATCTCAGACTTCATTCACTTTTCCTCGTACGGCAATACTGTACTAAGTTCCCCAGGCTATCGCCAACAGTCAGGCCTTGCGCTTGTGACCCACCCTTCCCATCCCCTCCCAGCTTCCTGAGTACCTGAGGTTGCAGGACCTCAACACAGAGTTAGAATAGTATGCAAGACCCTCGCCTCAAATGCAAGGACTCCAAAATCTGCCTTTGCTAACAGGAAAATACGAAAAAGGATTTACTAACCTCAGCACCATGGGCTCCAGAGCCTGGGAGGCTAAGCGTTCAAACATGCGCTGAAGGGGTGGGTGCAGCGAGTGGTCTTCGTCAGCCAGAGCAGCACTGCACCGCTGCAGCAGCCGTGCATGAAGACCAGCTTCACACATGACCTGCTGGTTTCTTTCTGTGTGCACCAGCGATTGCAAAATATTGGCCACGGCGAGTTGCAGGTCCAAAGCATGCTAAAGTTAACAAAGAGATGCATGCCACCAGGGCATCCTTAGTGACATGGGTGACAGTTCTTTCTGCATAAAGCACCATTTGTAACATGAAGCTTTGTTTACTTGAACATATACTCACAGAAATGAGAAACAAAGCAATAAATACAGCAATTTGAGAATAAGGTCAATAAGGTCATTCATACTTAACTGAAGTCTATTCTCCCTGATGTCTTTTGAACAACAAAATTATGCAACAAGTAGTAGCTTTGTTTCTTTAAGACAGGGTATCACCATATACCCAGGAACCAATTAGTAGACCAGCCTTTCAAGTGCTGTGATTAAAGCTGTGCGCCACTATGTCTGGGGCATGATGTCTTTTTCATGGTGGTAGGCAACTAGCTTAAAGGAAGTTTGTCATTCACATCTGTGACACTGTGGGGCTTAGAAGCCATACATTATTAGCAGAAACAATCGCCCCAGTCATAAACAACCCAGACTTTTGTGAGCTACACAACACAGCAGATGAGCAGGCTCATTGTGATACTGGCAGGCAGGTTTTCTTCTGTCTCCTTTTAGCCATTGCCTCCACCGGCCAGGATTTACAAGGGGAAACAAAGAGACTTTCATATCAGAAGCAATCACCTGGGTTCTACTGGCAACAAATTAACTGTATTCAGAAACATAGCTGGTATCTGGAAAACATGTCTCAAACAGGGGTTTACTGTTGTGGATGTTATGGGTCAGCTACATCCAATGCTCGTACTGGTCCTTATTGCTCAGGTAACAACACACTTTCCTTTCGTTCATTAAATATAGAGAGAGCTACAATAATTCAGCTTACTTCTGGCTGTGTCCCTGAGCCCACAGAGGCCAGGAGGTCCAGCATGGCCAACATGGCTCCAGGGTGGATGATGACGGCATCGGAATTCTGTAGAGGTGAACTTGTCACATCAAGTTTCAGGTCAGTGACACCTTTCGCAGGATACACAGGAGGAGTTGAAACACAATGAAATGCATGCCTACAAAAAAAGTAAGGCTTGTTGAGAAGCTGCTTAAAATCACAGTTCATTTTCCTCATCTTCTGTCATTTTTAATCATTAATAAGCAAAAACCCTTGCAATTCAGGGAGTTACAAAAGACACAAAGAGACATAAAAAAAAAAAACAATGTATCATCGCCTCACTGAGGTACATGCAGACAATTTATCAACACTTGGCTCATACTGTCTGTACTACCTACGCTTTGGGTTAAGTCATTAAACAGTAGCATTTCCAACAGAAGGTATTTTTAAAAAGCAGGTGAATGAGTGATTCGTAACTCGGAGAAGACAAGGGTTTGGGTGATATCTGACTACATTGAATCCCTCAATGAGATTCTTTCGATACTACCTGTATGTTATTAATCTTCTCCGGTTCCAAGAGAATCATGAGCTAACAAGATGAAAAGGTTCACTCTAGCGGAAGTAACTGAGCGAGAGCTGGTTCAGCTGAAAAGTCTGGAACTACATTCATGTGTTGCGTCTCTCCACGGTTACTGTAAACATTCAGTCTTTATGAACTGAAAAGGTGGCTTTTATACAACAAGCTTCTATCAGATGGACAGAAAAGCCACTCCCTGAATGTGCATATTGCCTCCCCATAGTGGGCACCTTTTTCTACCTCTTAATATACTCATCTACAGTTCAAGAAAGTGCACGTTTCTGCCGTCCAGCACTCGGGAACAGGTGCCTGTGGCCACAGACTGTGTACGCTCTAGTTCCAATAGGTGGGTCTCAGCCTAACCTAAGGCAGAGCTCTGTCACTAAGAGCTATGCTGTTCCAGCTCAGGAGCAGCTTGGGAGACAGATGCCACACTTCAGTGACTTAGCAAAAGAACTGGCATGGCCATGTTTTCAAAAAACGTATTATTCTCTTTTTACAGAAATTCTAGGAAAGCATTCAGCTGAACATGTGTTTTCTGTGTAAGTCAGCAATCTCGTACCCATTCATGGTTTCACTCCCTGATTTGACTGGTTTACATTAAGAAAGATGCAACTTCTAAACTTATCAAAAGGGATTTGTGGGCTGGAGGGATGGCGGAGAGATAAGAGCGCTTGCTGCTCTTGCAGAGGCCTCAAGTTCAGTTTCCTGCACCCACATGGCAGCTCACAACTAAACTCCAGTTCCAGGGGTCTGTCATGCCCTCTGGGCTCTCTGGGCACCAGGCACAGCAGGCAGGGAGGACACTTACACATATGCAAAAAAACAAACAAAAACACTTCTATACATAAAATGAAAATAATTCTAAAAAAGGAAGAGTTGAGATTTCTAAGCATATCTTACTAATGGGCTGCTGCCTCATATTTGTTCTCCTTATTCCTTAAAATATTTTTATCCATCTAGAAAAAAAGATTGTACTTTATCTGCAGTGTAACAGAAATCCCCCATCCACTAAAATTTAAAACGTTCATACAAAGTATTTTCATTATAAACAAAAAACAAATCAAATTTGATGAAAATGAAGATTTCAATTTTATGTCTTACATATAGGCCTTCTTTTGAAACTTATTTGTGTTGGAACTCCGGTGGCGCAATCAGCGCGTGGTACTTATATGAAACTTATTTGTGAATTAATAGTTCCATTCAAATTTGAACTTAAATCATGGTCAGACTCACAAGGATGTGTTTTGTCTTTAGAAATTAAACTCTTCACTAATGGACAAATATTGCAGTAGCAAACTTCACAAACCTTATATGAAAATATTGTCACAAGCAGAAAACATTGCAAACATTATGAAATACCTAAAATATGCTTGTTTGTTTGAATAAGTAAAGTCAGGAGCATTTTATAGGGCTGTTAAGACAGCAACAATTCTTAACAGGTAGTAGGTATGACCAATCTTTAACTATGAATCATGGTAAGCTTCTTAAATAGTTAACTCACAAGCAAGACCTAACTTTTTGCAAAGGGAATAAAATGATATTTCAAACATCAGCTAATATGAGTGTTGTAATAACTTTTAATTACTAGAAATTACTACTTAATTCTCCAACTTAAAGTCTCACACAATTAAGTTTTGTCAGCCTGTTTTGGTAATACAGTCAGACACTCGAGGTCTACCCAGCTTTTATCAGGTATTTCAAGGCACAAAAATCTGTACAGTAACTAGTGTCTGCAGCCTTCCCCCAAAGACCTGTTTTGAATAGTTTTGAGTATTTTGTGTTTTGTTTCCCCTAACTCTCAACATTGCTCAACTATAACTCTGTCCTGGTATTTCCCTTAACTTATAAGCCATGGGAAAGTCTCGTGTTTTATCTCCCAAGCACTAGGTTGACTAGTTCTTCCTATTTTAAAAAGAGGCAATCCCCAGGCTTTTCATGTAAGACAAGGATCAGGAAAACAAAGTACAAGACTAGTCTGTCTTTTGCCAGCAAACCCAACATGTGCTGCCAAAAGGAAGAGATGCCCATGAGCTGATGTAATCTGCTGAGGAGTTCTAGAAATAATGTGACTACATGACTTCTAATTTCAAAACGTACTATATTTGGATGTGTGAATAAATGTACTGTGTTATTTGCTTGATTATAACTCAGGAGGGGACAGCCTGACCTAATGGCAACCTGAAACTGTTGGTATGGGGGCTGGGAATGCCCAGCTCAGCAGGAGAATGCTTTCTTGGTCTGTGTAAGTGACCATGATTAATCCTGAGCAGTGGGGGCAGGGGGTAGGGTGGGGGGACAATGATTTTAGCATGAACAGTGTCAGGTGCATCGGCTTGTAAGACTGATGGAGAACACATGTAGACTAGGACTCTTCATACATGTTCTGTTGTTTGATTGACAGCTTTCCCTTAAGTCCCTGGTATCTCTACAGATGGTTACACTGCAAACAATGAAAACATGTTACTGACTTAAAGCCACATAGACCTCTAAACAGAGCCATTTCTCTTTGTCAGTCATCATTTAAATAACAGACATGCTTCCAGATTTTTTTTTTCGATACATGGTTTCTCTGCATTGTTTTGGAGGCTGTCCTGGAACTAGCTCTGTAGACCAAGCTGTCCTCGAACTCACAGAAATCCACCTGTCTCTGCTCCCAAGTGCTGGGATTAAAGGCATGTGCCACCAACGCCCGGCTCAGGTTTTTTTTTTAAAGAAATATATTCTTTAGACTATCAATTTCTACTCTGAGTTTCGATGAATACATTTAAGGCCTAAATATTTTGGAACAAAGCAAATTGTAGACCTTTACCATTTATAATATGGTCATTTTAAGAATCAGGAGTTTTAGTAATTTCATACTAAAATTAAAATGAAAAATTTCCTACTACCTCATAAATATAATTCTTTCTCCAATATTTACTAATTTTTTGAGGTCATAAACACATTAATGTTCAAATTTAAATGTCTTTTACCACATTCATTTTGCAACAGAAATCTGTACTGAGTTAACTCAAATGTATCTAATTTATGTCTTCTTGAATTAACTCTTGAAGAGAAAATAATTTGGCATGCACAAAGCCCTCTTTACTCACAGAACCATGCAAAAACTGAAAACGACATTTGAGGGTGAAAATATATTGAACAATGCTAAATTTATTTAGAATTATTCATAACTATAATGGGATACAAGTCCCAGTATAAATTTAAGACAAAATATACCCTAATCTCTCTGATGGATATTGCTATAGGGATTTGGTTGGCCCTGTATATCCTAGGGGATTAGAACTAGATGAGACAACTCCATGCATGTTCCAAGTTCACACTGAAATGGGGGGTAGTATCTGTTTGTAATATAGTTTCTCATACCCAATACAATATAAATAGTTCTTAGACTACATTGCTCACAGAATAAGAAGAAAAAAGCTCATATACATTCAATACAAACCAAAATTTCAATCTGAGATTGACTGAACTTACTGGCACAGAAAAAAAATTACAGAATATGTGATATTGATCTATTATCCATAATTTCATTTGTTTTGTAATCTGAACAATTGTCATTAGGATGAAAAGCATGACATAACCAAATCATTTTCATAAACCCCAATAGAGATGTCTATATGAGCGTTAAGGAACTGCAGTAGCCTCTGAGGACAACAGGAAGGAGGAGGCACACTGGATGCCAACTGCAGACCGATGATTAGGTGCAGGCTGTCCACAGGATCTTAACTGGATTGTAACAGTTGTTGGCTGATCACCTGCTATTTTGCTTTTTCCCCCTTTAATAAAATGTAAGTGTACAATGAACTGGACCAGCCCACACATTTTCATGGGCTCTATGAAAGTAAAAACTTGGCTTTGCCTCTGTGACAGCCTCATATAAAATACACATTCCCTTCAAGGGCTATGAAGTTCACTTTGCAATAACAGTAAAACCAAGATGTCCCCAACAATACCTAATGAGAAAGGAGCAGCAGCCTACTTACTTGAAGAAGCATCAGCCCATGGTTAATAGTTCTCTTTAAGGGGGAATACTTCGTGAAAACACAGGAGGGCAGGGTCAGCAAGAGACCCGCTACGGTGGAGTGCAATGGTCTGGGAGAGCACAGTGGTCTGGGAGAAGCGCTTCCCCAGTTGTGGTTAGGATAAGCTTCTCTATGCACAGGTCCCTGTATGTAAGGCATGCTGTGTGAGGAGGGCGCCACCCTTCACTTGTATAGCAAGGAGTACAGCAGGCACCTGTCAAAGTGCACCGTCAGGTGCTGGTCCTTGCATCCCCTTGTTTGAGAGAGTCTCTTGTGTACATTGTGTATGCCACGCTGGCTGACCCATGAACTTTCTGGGGATTCTCCTACTATTGCCTCGCATCTCCCCTTTGAAGCCTGGGATTACAGACATTTGCTCTTAGAAGAGTCTTGAGGATCTGAACTCAGATCACTGGACTTGTGCAGCAAGCCCCTTTCCCACTTGACAGAAAGTATGCCTGTTCTAGAGGTCATGATAACAGTGAAAACCACATAATGGGGATGAATGAAGAAGTCTACATGTCCCCCGTACTTTCATAGATTAAACCTATTTTATTTTCTTCAACATACTCAAGGGAAATAATCTGAAAACCTGAAAAGTATTTTTTAGGTTCCCCCAAAGCAAGGCTAAACAAAACAAGAATCCATGTTACAGAGCAGGAACACCACATCAACACATAAGTAAGCACAGGAACCCCCCGGCAATCCAGATTGACTTCTCGTGTAAGATCAGTACCTTTTCCTGGACAAAGCTGGTGTCCCCCAAGGAGAGGGAAGAGAAGACTCGCTTGTCAGGCAAGGAGGGATCTGCTCTGCACGACTACAGATGACAAAACAGACAGAGGTTAGAGGTTAGGAGAGAGCGCCGCCGCCGGCGGCTGGTTAGTTTCACAAGAGATGTAGGGTCAGTGTCATGAGGTATGTCTTCAAACTCTGCAGGAGTGAGGACCACAAGGAGCACAACACACGACTGACTGAAGCAGGAAAGCTGCTGGAGGCAGAGGCTGCTCCTACCGGTGTTAACACGGACCTTGTTAAACAGAGGTGACTAAGGCTAGGGGCTGGTACGGGGTCAGGAGCAACAGGAAAAAAGTTTGGTCTATACGCATCTACACACTCATGCCTTTGGTGCCACACAACAGCCTGCTTACTGTAAGTTCATAATTAATTGCAAGATGAGCAACAATTTATAATACCTGGATTTTCAAACCCATTAATAACTAAGATATACTGTTAAGAAGCAGGAAAGGTATCAGTATAACGCTTAAAAGTGGATATTCTATGAACACAAAACAAGACAAATACCAACCCCCCCCCCGCAAAAAACCAAACAAACAGAAGAATCCCTGGTAACTTGGTCTATTTATGGTTGAAATGGAGAAATTGCTTTTATTATATGAAAGAAGACTGGAAACTATTAAAATGATAATTCTTAAGATGATGGAATCAGGACATGATCACATTATTTTTAAAGTGGGAAATTAATTGCACAGAATGCATCACTGTCCACTACAAATACTTAGGCGTGTAGATGACCAATGAGCAGGTGGCCAGGATGCATGTAGCATTATGCAGAGCTAAACCCTCTATGCCTAAACATACAGTGACTGGGCATGCAGGAGGTCTCCATCACTGAATGGGTGAGGAAATGATTCTGATGGCCTCTTACCAGGGATGTCCCGATCGATACCCACATGTCTCAGCCATTTTGGAAGGACTATGAAATATGAAGCATGACAGGCTGCCTGCTATCAGTCTGGAAATGGGTATCATTATAACCATTTCTGTGGCTGATAACCAGTATGAGCATGCCCCGTGCACGTAGAGCTTTTTTGAGGGGAAAGAACAATGAACATGCTAGGAAAGGAGATGTCATAGTAGCTGTTTCACTAAAAGCAACAGACCACTACCTGAACCTTCATTTACTGACAAATACTGGCCCCTGTGCCACAAACTCGATGTCCGGGGAACAGTAACAGTCCTGAGTAGAGCGTCAGACCTCAAGTGACAGACCTCACTTCCTTTCCAGTTAACTGCAGGCCTAATGCTGACCTTGCTTGTGCTGACACTCTGCCTGTCAGGAGGCGAAGCTGGCCCTACCTGTCAAAAGAATCAGTGGCCACTTTGTAGAGATAGATGAAGAGTTTGCTGCAGTGCCGCAGGGTAGGTGACACCGAGTCCACCGAGACGGCACCTTCCTCGAGCAGTCTCTGGAAAGGCTGTGTGTTTGAGGGGAAGACATTCATAGCACTTATTTTCCTAAGGTCTGAGAAGCAGCCGAGAAATCGAACGGCATCCGCCAGCTTTTCATACTGTATCTCTGTTTTGAAGAAATGGGAGTTGGCTGGCTCGTAGCGCAGCGCTGCAGTCAGCGTGCAGAACACAGTGTGGAGGAGCTCAAACACTTGGTTCTGGTTCACTTTCTCCCAGCCGTTCTTGGGAGGAGAGCTCAAAGACCTCTCCATAGCCACCAGCAAGGAGGTGATGTACACAAACCCTCCAACTTTCCGGAAAACTGTTCTTGACCGGTGGCTTTCTCGAAGGACTGACAGGAGAGCCTGTGGGAGAAAAGACGGAAAACAAATGTAATTCAAACTAAAACACAAAACTAAGAAAATATCATGCATGTGTGTCAAAGGGAAACATCATTCTGTGAATACTTGGCATGAATGTTTTTGTCGTTTAATGGACAAATAGTTCTAGAAAGCATTTCAGGTTTTGCAGAGACACACCATAGTGCAGCAGAATATAATTTCAGCTTATACTGTCACATTATTTCTTGATACAATAAGACTGGATGGAAACAATGGCTAAAATCTGTACCTTGCTTAACTTATAATGCTACAATGAATTCAATTACTTAACAGAATGATGGTATTAATAAGTTCACAGTCTAACATCACATGGGCATGAAAACCTGGGACGGTGAATATATAGACGATGGATTATTCTAGGAGGGATCGGAAAGATAAGGAAGGGCAGCCAAGAACTGGGGTCCTTGATATAAATCAATGGTATGAATACACAGTTTCTCAGGTGGAGAAGACTTAGAAGACAGTGAATTAGACCCCGTGCCAGGTCAGCCACAAGATCTAATAACCAAAGGCAAAGGGAATTACCCAGTCCTCGTCCTGACTCACCAGAAATCACCTAAGAGTAACCAGCCATCCAACTACAGGGGGCGCTCAGTACCTTCAAACCTGTTGTCTTTAACTGTTCAGCAGTATTGTGTGTTAAGTATGTAAAGTAAGAGCCTCTTATACAAAAGGCTTAGGTCCAGGAATTTTGTGTACTGTTTTCAGAACACATGCACATATACAATGGCACACTATGCATATGGGAGCCAAGTTTGAATAGGAAATCCGTTTGTGTTTCATATATGATTAAGGGAGATGGCCCGAACAATGCAGTATTTTAAACAATTTTACATTTAAATCAAAGCTCCTACTGTAGGGGATTTTCCACATAGGTCATCATAGCAGAACGTTCTAGAATTTGAGGCTGTAGTGATGACTCAGTAATCATCAGTCCTGGCTGATGGACTCAGGTTCAGTTCCCAGCTCTGCATGGGGACTCACAGCTGGCTGTAACCATAGCTCCCAGGTATCTGGTATTCTTCCTCTTCTGCCTCCCTGGGTAGCGGACATGCTCATAGTGCACAAGCATAATTCAGGCAAACCCTCGTTTATTTTTTTAGTTTGTGTATGATGGAACACCTCTACACAGAATATGACTAATGTTATAGATGATGATGAGTGAGTTCAGGGTTAAGGAAAATATTCATATGACTAGTTATTATTTTGACATAGTTGGCAGTTGTGGCGCATGCCTTTAATCCCAGCAAAGGCAAAGGCAGGAGGATCTCTGTGAGTTGGAGGTCAGCCTGGTCTACAAGACAGCTAGGGCTACACAGAGAAATCCTGTCTCGAAAAACAAACAAAAATCAGAATTTTGACCGGGTTGAAGAACAGCCAACTATGAACTCTTAGTCGCAGATTTATTATGCTAAAACATGTTTGTCTCCTACTTCATCCAAAAAATTGCTCCTGTCCACAATGTCATAGTACAGTCAGTATTGGGAACTTTCAAGTAACAGGGTAACAACTTCTTGCTCAAATCAATCAATGATAATGAGTACTCCTGGAGCTAATTAGAGAAAATGTCATAAGTACCGCTTATTTCACATTAATACAATGCATATAATTCAACATGTGTTGTCAGCAGGATTATGAAGAACATAGGATTTCATGCTTGTGCATAAATAACTGCAAAGTAAATTAGCAGACATGTGGTCTACACAGTTGGTGACTCTGGGAGGCAGTTCTGAACACAGTGAAAATGGAGATTGAAGTTGAGACCCAACATCCTCCCTGCTGCTTCCCAGCATTGAGGTGGGAGCCCTGAAATCACAGCCCTCGGCACTTTCAACGGGTGCAGCAGGCACTTCAGCAACCAGCGCTGGCTTTCGGGTTAGCCCACTGTTAGTGAGACAAGGCTGCAAATTGTATTCTCTATGAAGACGAGCTGTTCTGTTAGGCTCGCTTGTTCTCCCTTCTGCATTTAATCATTTTACTTCCCTACTTTGCCCTCTTACTTTCTGGCTAAATAAAATGGTTTAGGCTCACTTTGTTTCTTCATCTGTCTCAGCGGTGTAATCCCCCATCTCCCTAAGGAGCCCTGCTTGTTTACAATGAAAACAATTTATTTAGAAATCATGGATCAATAAATTAATGAAAACCTAAGAATGTTAATGTCTCTAATGTTACTTAAGTGAAAAAGAGGTTTCTAGCCAAAACTATTAAGTTTCTTGATTAAAACTGTTACTCATATCACAGATGTTAAGAGCACGATTCTGTGGGGTCAAACTACTTCTGACCATGGCTCCTCTACCTACAGACTCACACGCCAGACTGTCTAATCAAGCTATGCTTCAGTTTGCAGTGTATTAAACACGGGGAGGGCCTCAGGGGCAGAGGCTCATCCAGCGTGCAAGAAAATAAATCAGATTAAGCACAATGACACAGGGACACAGACAGCTCCTGTCTTTACTAAGGGGCTCATGTGAGTGGATGCATGTGAACGTATAGCACAGTATTTACACACAGGAAGCAGTGCTAGTTGCTGTTAGAATTACAATTACAATTTCCTGGTACTTAGAAAAACGGCTTCACATGCCATTCTGTACTCTTTGCTCGTCTGATATACCTGGCTTAGAGTCACTGAACTCCTATGCAAACGAAAATGTTTAGTTTTAGTTAGTTCTAAAGTTTTCTTACATAGCAGTGACAACAGCAATGTGAGCAAATACATGTGCATAAAGCCTGGTGAAGTATGTTGGTGTGCAGAAAGATGCACAAGGAAACACAGCCAACCGGAACTGTCTCCTTCTCTGCAGACCAATGCACCAGCGGCTCTGCAGGCTTGCTGTGCATGAAACGATCAATGTGTACATAGAACTTGGGGGTACTGTTGGGTATTTACTAGATTATCTATTACAGTCATGGAAACACACCAACATGTATATACACATAGTATTACATAACACGTTTCATACATGCATAGCACTGGCTGACTGGAACTGAATAGATGATAAACATATTTAGTTATTACAAATTTCAGATGAGTGTAATGAGCCAGGATAACTGTTCCAAAGGTCAATCAGCAGGAAGACCATATGCACTAAAAGACATGAATGAGAGAGTTCTCCAAAATCCTTAGTGTCTATAAATTGTGCAGGTTTTGTTATTGTAGCTATAGGCTAAGTGGCTAAAAGCCACCTGCCACTCTGGTAAATGACCTGAGTTCAATTCTGTTATCTCACAACTGGCTCTAATTCCAGCTGCATGGGCTCTTATGCCACCAGCCTTCCCTGGCACCCACAGTGAAGGGCACACACTTATATGAAGAAATACATCTGAACACATAATTTTAGAATGTAGTACATAATAAATCTCTTTAAAGAATTGCCTTGATGAAACTAAGTACATTTCATTTCAAAAGGATCCTGGATTTTACTAGTAAGACAGCAGGCACATGTTTCTCAAACGTACCCTTAAGATGTCAGTCTTCAACTGCAGCTCTGTGGGAGGAGCTGAGTGCATCAGCCCCAAGAGCGTGCCCATATCGTCGTCCCCATTTGGAGAGAGTACCAGCTGCTGTATGGTCATGAGGGCATGCTGCCGGCACTGCGGGTACTTCACTATGTTGTGCGCACACCTTGCACCTCCAAACTCTCGGAATATCCCTGAAGAAGGGAGAAAAAGGACAGCAGGGAGGAACTTAGGACATTCCAGGCAAATCAGGTGAATTAAAATTCAATCGCTTCTGTAGGAACAGGAATTTAAACAAGGGACTAAACAAGCTGACATACCTATTTCACATTTTATATTACAATATAAAAATTGCACCGTGGGATGTCAAAAAACATATACATATATTTTCTGTAGACTTCTTAATGTAAGATTAATGCCCTGATACAGTCACCATGTCCATGTCCAGAACATTTGAAGATTTTATAGGAAGCAACAAAGAGACACTGAAAGCAATGTACCAACAGGTTTTCAAATGAATAATACCCCAAATAATAGATATTTGCACTCAAGGGGACTTTCAAAAAAGTGCAGAAAACAATGGAATAAAATACCATGGAAAGATTAACCTTTAAAACAACAGACCAAGTCGTGGAATTCACCAATCTGTATTTCTTACAAGTAGTTCTCACAATCCTTTATAAAATATTTTATAGTTCCATTATAATTTTATCAGACTTGTTATTTACATATTTGATCACCCACAAAACGAGTTTTCTTCTGATTTTGTTGTCAATGAAAGTATGTCAATTGAATAACAGTATATTTTACCTTGGTGACCACTGTTGCCTCTATTTAAGTGGCTTTCTATTTGCTAACTTCATAGGAATTATAAAGCCTTAAAGTGAGTGTTAAGTCACATCCTTAAGACATGACATTGATGGCTGATGTGGAGAGGTCCTGGACCTCAAGCCCTACTTTTGGGAGTTACAGACAGGGGGAATACAAGGTCAGCTGGAGATATGTAACAACACTTTGTCTTTAAAACAACAACCACCCAGGCTTGTGACATCCTTTGTACATGAGGGGTTATAAACCCCAAGCTTGTAAGTTAGAGTCCACAATGGCTTACAGCTGAAGAATATTTTCTGTGGGCATGGTACAGACCTCAGATAAAAAGGAGTAACAACATCTTTCCTAACAAGGAAGAGACAGACACCAAAAGAATACATGGAAATGTCTGTGCCCGGGAGGTGCCAAGACAATGGCTGGGCAAGCCTCTACTCTATCACAGCCTTATCCTGGTCTGTATAACTTCCCAAGAGACTACATAAAACTGATCTGACAAATTCTTGCTTTTCATCATTTATTGTGTCTGTATCTCAGTCAGCTAAATCTAGTTAATGACAACAAGCATATTATGCACTGTGCAGTAGACAAACTATCCTACAGAGCCCAGGAAATGTCACCCAGACTTATAGTTTTAGTTACCTACTAAATTTATTCAGTCTTGCCTCAGCACTTACCCAAATTGTATTTAAATAATTACTGATATAATTGTGTATTGCATCTTTCTCAGTTCAGCTATAATTCTCCTGGGGGAAAGAATTACCTTTTCATCACTATGAGTTAGTATGTTGGCTGGGACAAAACACAGTTAAAAATGTCGAATGTGGAGTTTCTCTGTGTTCCCACTAATAGTCATACATTCATTCATTCATCTGTTCACTCATTCATAGTTTCCCCATACACCCACAATCTAATCCGAGCTCTTGAATATGCCCTAAGAAGATCTCCATGAGGTGAGCCTGCCCACAAACCTGAGTTCACTTCTGTTTACTTAGTTCTCTCAAGTTGTACTGAACATATGAACTTAGAAGTTTTGGTTTTTTTTTGGCAGGGTCTCACTATCCATCTCTGAATGGCCTTTACGCTCTGTGTAGACCAGGCTGGCCTCAAATTCACAAGAGATTTGCCTGACTCTACATCCTGGGTGCCAGGATTAAAATTTTGCTTTACTGCACTTATGAACCACAGCTATGAAGAAGTATTTCAGTGATAATTTAAATAAGGCAATCACTTGAAGAGTACACAATAAAACTAAGAAAGAAAAAGAAAACCCAAACAGAAAGCACACCATAAAAAGCAGTAAACATATTTGCAGATGGTAACAACATTACAGCTTTTGCCAAGGCAGTATTTTAACAGGCCACAGCTGCCTCACTTGGGAGCGGGTGGGGGGCGTTGAGAGGGATGAGAATGCCATCATTGAACCAGCATTTCTCCTGTGAATGACAGAAGAGAAGCAGACCCACCCCCTTAAGCCTGTGCTGTGCTGTTCTGTTTGTTACCTGCATTTGTGTTTGAGCCTTGAAGCAGCACAGTCAAGGCCTCCATCACCAACAGAGCCAAGTGTTCCTGGTCTTCAACTGAACTATTGTTTCTTGAGTCCCCTAGAAAAGAGGTTCAAAGGTCCAAATCACAAGCATGGGGGTATTTTTTTAGTCAGTTTTATTTAAATATTTAATCCCTTTTATTATGTCTTCAACATTTTCTTTCCCCACTAACACAAATGCTAATAATGCACCCTTTAAAATAACATGTGTCCAGCACCAGTCCAAAATATGCCCAAACAAATCAAAACTAACAGATTTTTATTTTAGCGTGGGAGGAGTTAGTTACGTAACAAATATTAAAACTGAAAATGCCAAACCAAGTAAATATAGCCTTCTCATGGGGATTCTGATCAGTGAGACCAATAAGAGAATTATCACATGCAAAAAGATGCTTATCAATCAGCCATCTATTCAACATGCATTAATTCACAATTAAAAGTTGCCAATTGCTATCTACAGCAGGACTTTTTCATGTTTATTAAAAATACATACAATAAAGTCTAAGAAACATCAGATAGACACATTTGCTCTCCAGAATAAAATATTTTGATACCCACATTTAAAAGTATTTAATTATAATTAATAAAAATATCAATTATTTCTAGAAACTTAAAATCTCTCAGAGAAAGTAATAAACTCAGTCCTGAAGACCATACACTTTCTTTTTTCTTTGAACTCTCTCCCATTATGTAAGATAATCCTAGGCGCCCTTTACCCAATTTCCTAAGAAAAGGTGAAGAAAAGTTGGTGGTGGGCAATCCTCACTAGAACACTCCAATCACAGAAGGATGACAGGAAATCATTCACATCCATCATCAAATGAAAGACACTGCCGCCTCCCTGACCTCTTCCCAAACACATCAACCAGAGAGGTGTTTACCTTGCTCACTGAGTGCCTGAGCTGGATCCTTCAGAAGGGCAGCATACTTATGCAGGAGGTTGACCATGACCTCTAGAAGGCCCACCTCTCTGAAGACATCTTTAAATATGTAGTCGTGCCTTGTAAACTTCAGAAGGGTTTTCATCGCAATGATGCTACAGTGGTAAGAAGAGCTGGACTTCAGCAGGATGCTAACACTAATGAGTTCTTTACAAGGGATATAGTTTAAGCTAAAAACGACAAACTCCAGCATTTCAAAGTATTTGTTTTGTACTTCTGGGAGTTTAGAGATCTTCTCTGCAAACTGTGACAGGGTGTGCTGTGACTCCAGGATGAAGTAATTGGCATTGTCCGCCATGTAAATATTTGTGATGGCATCAAGGATGATCTGGGCAAGGAAGTTGGTTTTTGCTTTTAGAAATGCATTCTGAAGAACCGCAAAGGCTTGGATGTTTCTCACGCTGTGACCTGCAACAGAAAACAGGAACACAAGTGGGTGCTGTGTGATGCTTTAATCATGGCAAAAGATTCTGTGTCAACACATCGTGAACTTCACCACTTATCAAATATTTACCAAGACAATGTCCTGCTTTCATGAAAGGCCTCATTTTTCTTCATCAAGTTCAAATAATTATAAACAGATAGAACCATTCAAACGTTTAATGCATTGTCACGAACACTTTAAAAATAGTTTGTTTTAAGAATGCACTGCTTGCGATAGAAGGAAAGCGTACCGAACACACTCAGCGTTCTGATGTGGAAATGGCTCACTGATGACTGAGGAACAGTCAGAAAAGATACAGCTGTAAGCACAACAGCGAGGGGGGGGGGGAGGCAGGGGACTAGGAGGGAAGCTCTTCACCTTCTCCTGCATGGTGGCAACACAAGGATTTCCACAAAATTTAATTTCAAAATCTGCTCTGTTTTCAAGCTGAAATTGGATTTTTTTTTATGTAAAATGGAAAAGTCAAGAACCTTTTCACATAGCTCTTGTGAGAAAGTTACTGATGGTACAGTTACATAGAAATTAATACAGAAAGTTATATTTGAAGTACACTTAAATAAGTGTTTTCCAACAAAACAAAACAAAACTGGCCCTGGGTTCACAGTTGTTAGCAACTTATAGACTTGCAAAAGTGAGAAAATTAAAATAGATCTTTATGTAATAACAGAGAGCTTGTAAGAAGGAAAACACAAACTAGAAAAGTCTACAATGGGCCAGGAAGTCACTCAGACACTAGTCAGCAAGGACATTTCTGAGAAAGTTTTTAAGGTTCCTCAATCTTCAGCACATGTATTAATTCAGTTTTCATCTACAACACAAATTTATTCTGTGGATGAAAAATAACCAAACATGCTTATATTTAATTTCTTACTAACAGTATGACTTTTCTTTTTGAGAACATACTTTTTATTATCTGTAGTCACCCCAAACTCAAGCTTAGACAGATAGACTAACAGAAATACAAATGCAAAATCCTGAAGGCATATCAGAAAGAAACATCGTCTCAGGTTAAAAAGGAACAATATCCAATGCTGTGCAACTGCATGAGAGGAGTATGGGCATGGGTCTCATACAAAACGCCAGTGATGAGCTGGAGTGAGCTGTTCTCTGATGGCCAAGGATGCTGAACACCACTTCAAATATTTATTGGTCACTTATACTTCTTTCTCTGAGAAATATTTATTACTAGAACTTGGGAGGCAGAGACAGGCAGAAAACTCTGTGAGTTTGAGGCCAGCCTGCTGTACACAAGCAAGCTCCAGGACAGCCAGAGATACCCAGTAAAACCGTCTCAAATACCCCAAAAAGACAATGAACAGCAACAAAAGCTGATGAGTTTATGGGGAAAGAGGAATGTTCAACACTGCTGGTAAGAACAGAAACTGGTGTACACAACCATGGAAATCAATGTGGATCTTCAAAAAACTACAAACAGAATCATCGTATGATCGATCCAACTACTACTCGTGGGTTAATGTCTGATGGAGGCCAAGTCTGCATTCCACAGAGATTTCTGCACACCCATGCTTACTGCTACACTATTCTCAATAGCCAAGACATGGAACCAGCATAGATGTGCATCCATAGATGGATGAAGAAAGTGTGGTACACACTACTTCATTCATTCATGAGAATGAAATTATGACATCTGTAGGAAAATGGATGGCACTGAGCCTCACTATATTAAGTGAAATAAGCCAGACTCAGAATGATAAATATGGCTTACTACTGCTCTCATGTGCAGTCTGCAGATTTAAATGTACACAGACGCACATATGTGTGAAAAGAGGGGTGCATGTGTATATGCACGAGTACACAGTCATCATATTCATTCACGAGAGGAGGAGGAGGAGGGAATCTACAAGGAAGAGGAGGGACACGACAGGGAAATGAAACATGTGACATGAGAGCAGGTGTACTGTTTGGAGAAAGGGGGACTGGCGAGGGGACTGGAAGGGGGTGTGACAGGGCAGTGGAGGGGAACTACAAATGAAAATTAGTGATGCCCAATATGTGAAATGTCTATATTCTAACAAAGAAAACAGGTTTTCGTTTTGTTTTGTTTGTGTTAAAAGACATTAGAAGAGAAGAACTTAGAGGCTGGCAGGATGGATCACTGGGTATTGTGCTTGACGCCAAGCCTGATGAGCTCAGCTAGACTCCTGGAATCAGCAGCCTCCACGTGGTAGGAGAAGCAGTTCTCACAAGCTGCCTTCTGACTTCCACGTCACACATACCATCCCAGCATCCTTTGCTGCTGACAACACAGACTTCTGTGATGTCCTGCTACACAACTTAAAAATACACATAACATCCTTTCTAGTAAACTGTGCCTTCCTCGGACATACACCACTGGACTCCAGCTAGCGCGAGTCCTGAAGGCGCACTGTTATAGAATGCTGGTCCCTGCTGTTGACGCGGCATCACACTGAGATAGTATATAAAGAGGCAATTTTGCTTCAGCGCTTCTGTTAAAGCTGTATTGTTGTAATCAGTCACCAAGATCAGAATGGCTGGACAAATGAAATGATCACATAGGAAGCAGGAAGTATAGTACTGAACTAGGTTTAAAAATTTACATTTCTTTATTAAAATTTATGTACACCATGTGTGGTGGCAGAGGCCTTTAAACCCAGCACTTGGGAGTTAGGATAACCAGAGCTAAATAAACAGACACTATCCCTTAAAAAAAATAAATTATTTACTGCATGTCTTTCTGTATACCACATGGATGCCTAGTTTCCGTAGATGCTAGAAGCAGGCATCAGATTCCCAGGAACTGGAGTACAGATGGCTGTTAGTGTTGGGAACCAAACCCTAGTCCTCTAGAAGAGCACTGGGTGCTCAAATCCCTGAGTCATATTTCCAGGACTCTGTTATTTTATTACTATTATTACTACTATTAAATTTTAATAGTATTTTTATGTGTCTGTGTGTGTGAGTATGTGCATGTGTGTGTGTACATGTGCAAGCACTGGACTGTGTATGCCACAGTATTTGTATGGAGGTTAGAGGACAACTTTGTGGAGTTGCTTCTTTCTTTCCTTCTAACTTTGAATGGTTCCTGGGAAGCAAACTCAGGTTGCTGGGTTTGCATGTCAGGTACTGTCCACTCGGTGAATCATTCTGCGGGCTCCTCATCATAGAGACAGTTCACTGGAATGCATACGTCTGTAAATTAGGTGTTGGAGCAGGGCGGTGGTGGCGCACACCTTTAATCCCAGCACTCGGGAGGCAGAGGCAGGCGGATCTCTGAGTTTGAGGCTAGGCTGGACCGACAGCCTCCAAAACAATACAGAGAAACCCTGTCTCGTAAAAACCAAAAAAAAAAAAAAAAAAAAAGATTTTGGAGAGACTGCTACGTGAATGATTCTATGGGGTTTTGAAAATGGAGAGCCTACACTGATTCCAGAGTTCTTTTCAAAGGTTCACCTCTGCTCGGGGGCAGAGTACATCGGTGAGGTCCATTCTTCATCTGCTCACAGCTATCAAAAGGGCTTGATTTCATAAGAATGAGTAAATTTTACTGTGAAGTCTAAACAACTGGATACGCTGATATTTCTGATCGGCTAAATTTTACAGAAAGAAACAAATAGAATCTCCAAGTTTAAATTTTGGAGACTGGCTATTACACATTTAAAAAAAATTAAAGAACCAATATAGCTGGCATTATTATATAATGGTTTGTTTATGGTTTGTTTATTCTGAGACAGGGCCCGATGTAATACAAGCTGGCCTCAAACAAGCTGTGTAGTTGAGGCTGACCCTGAGTTCTTCATCCCCCTGCCTTCATCTCCAAGTGTTGGCATTGTAGATATGTGCCATAAACTCATCTCATAATTAGATGTTCTTAATTATGAAGTAAGTTTTACTGAGTTAAAAAAAATTACTAATGAGGACCAAAATGCTAGAAAAATGTAATCTATGGAAACTTACTCTCTGACCTAAAAGAAACGAAGTAACTTCTTTGTCTCAGGATTGCAGGGCATTAAAAAGAAATGAACGCACTCACACCTCCTACTTTCTAGACAGCAGCCCAACCCAGCAGGTGTGGAAAAGGGCATGTGCTCAGCCTCCACCCACACAGAAGGCATGCACGTGATCAAAAGTAGTGGATTCAGACGACTGTGGTTCACACGGATGCATCTTCAAATGAACTCATCTCATTTAGTGCTACAATACTGTTTCCAACTCTCTATCAGACTAAAGACTGGGGAAATCTTTCTGCGGCTCGACTGTGGGCAGAGAACTTACAGGAGAACTGGCAATCACTCTCACACAGGAAACAGCCATCCGGAGCAACTCCTCCACTCTGGGCCCTCAGTAAGAACTCACCTTTGCCTGCAGGCTGAGGTACTGCAAACCCAGGCAACAAAAAGGGGGCCCCTGTGGTGACACCAGCTGGCTTCAGCTCACTGACCCCATAGGTGGTCAGGGAAGTTACCAGATTCACCAGGTCCTTCAGAGCATCCCTGCATTCCGCCTCTTTGGCTTGTTCCAATCTAGAAAAGGTCAGATTTAGATTTTGTTTTCATTTTTGTCAAAATTCTTGATTTAATATGGAATTACTTGTCAATTTCAGATTCAGTAAGTAAAGGGTATAAAGTACTTCCAAAGTATTTTACATTTTTCTCATATACTTTTTTTAAAAAATCTAAAGGTTTTACTATGTTACATTACAATGCATTTTAAAGTTTTTTTTTTCTAATTTGCTATTTTTAAATGACAGCTTCCCTCTGCAGCCCTGGCTGGCCTGAACCTCTGCATGCAGACTATAGTATAGTTTGTTTTTAACCACACAGGGTCTGCTATGTGTATAGTGCGGCTCAGTCTTGAACTCAGTGATTCTTCTGCCTCAGATTATTCTTCCTAATAAATTTTGTCTGCAAACATTGTTTAAACATGAAATTTATGGGAGGAGCTCTAAGAGTTGTGTGTGCTGCACAGGTCTGTGGAGGTGACAGAACCCAAAGCCAATTTTGGAGCTAGCTTGACTGCTTAAGACCTGCTGTGTGAGGTCATGAAGACTCGACTTTTACTGTGGCCTTACTGTCAGCAAGAGATGCTGACAAGAATCTTGTTCTCATAAAGACTAAGACTCACTGGGACTTTAGTACAGAAATTACTAATTGTCATCAATATAAACTTGGGAAATGCCTATGACTGCTGGAGAAAAGACACAGTCAGTGTCGTGACTCAGACTACCAGCCTCACCATTTCACTGGGCTTCCCAAGTATTGTTTACATTTTCATGGCTCTACATGTGTGATCAGGTCCAACCCCTGCTCTGCCACCTCCAAGTCCTTCTGCACCACCAAGCAGTGGTCCAGCCCACCCTCGCGCAGCCTCTCTCTTAACCCAGAGTCTACTCAGTAATGCCTGTACCTGCATGGCCCACGGCTGGAGCACGCCTGTGGGTTTTCAGATTGTTTGCCACCTAAAGCTAGTCTCTATGTTACTCACACTACATTCACAACTGTACAGTCCCTTTCTTTCCCATTAACCGTTAGCCATGTCCTCCATGTCAGTGCAAGCTCTCCAGAAACATGCTTCTGCTGTCACTCAAGCCAACCATGGCTTTGGCAGTTAATTCACTAATGTATTCCTCCATATTTAGAATCCTATCCTCTCACCATAGGTAAAAGATTGGATGGTGACTACATTTGTAGTCTCAATCTATGTAGTTGTTCTTACTGTTAACTTAGTAAAAGTAACCAGAAGTTATATAAATAACAATAATTCAAAAATAAATGGCCATGAACTTGAGAGGAGTGAGGGGGATATAGAAGGAATGGAGGGAAGAGAGGGAAGGGGAAATGATGTAAATGCAGCACTCATGAATGAAATCCCAAGAATTAAATAAAACAAAACTTTTAAAACTGTCTTCTGTCTTTCGTACATGCACGCGTGTGCGAGCCCACACAGAGAGAGAGAGAGAGAGAGAGAGAGAGAGAGAGAGAGAGAGAGAGAGAGAGAGAGAGAGAGAGAGAGAGAGAGAGAGAGAAGTACTATAAGACGAGGAAAAGCAAAACCATAATTACACAGGAAGAGTCTGCACTTGAGAGCCATGCTAACCAGCTCTCCAGCTTCTTCTGTGGTTACAGGAAAGGGACAGCTCCACCCTCCCATCTAAGCCCTATTCAATGTGTGTGCAGCCTCTGACCTGCTCACTCAAAATTCCTCTTCTGTCCTCGAATGGAAAACAGGAATACCAGGAGAGTGAAGCCAAGAATGCATTAAAAAGGCAAATGTTTCCCTCATCTCTTTTGATAATCCCACCGTTTCCACTGATATTTCAAATGTATTCTTAAGCTCTGGGGTTTACCTGAGCAAGAGGTCGCAGAGAAAATTATAGCCTTGCCATATCCGAAAATCATCCAGAAGAGTCTGGGAAACGTCACTGGAGTCTTTGAGGAAACAAGAAAGTCCTGCAAACATTTCAACTATCTCAAGGGGAGACAGGTCGTCGGATTGTTGCATATTCTGCACACACGTAGACAAACATTCTTTTTCTGTGAGAATAAAAAAATCTTAGGAATTGTTTATGCCCATTGCTTAAGAAAAAAGTGTTTAATGAAGCATCACACTTTAATGTACATATAGCATGGCACACGGTAATGTTCGACACTCTAAGGGGAAATGAGGCTTTAGACTGACGGGAAGGTTCCCCAAGTAAAGGGTAACACTGGAGCACGCTGAGAATGAGCTGCTTAGCACAGTCCTTACATCACACTTTGATACCATCATTAAACAAAATCTAAATCACTGCCCACTGCCAAATGTTTTTTGGTCATTTATACTAATGTATAATAACAAGATTAAAAAATTAAGATGGAAAAGAAATCAAGTATTCAGAGTTCAAATCCAGACCAACTGAATAACTTATACAACTAAAGAGATAAAATGCTAAAAATTATGTTTACAGTATCAGTTGCCAGTATAAAACAGTCACACACCACCAGCAACTCTGAGGACCCAGCATCCTACCACAGAGTTAAGATTAACATAGGAGAGGAACGAAGACATCGGTGACTAATTTAGGACAGGGTGTTAGGCTACATGTGCATGTACATACACACACACACACAAAGGAACAGTCAATGAATTAATTCAAGAATTCCAGGATACTTTAGCATGTATGTGTATCCACACAAAATAAGCGAGGCACTTGAGAGACTGCAGGAATTACCACTCCACTCATTTCAGTATCTCAAAGGCCAGGTGTTATTATGTATATATTAGCTAGATAATTCTCTTTAATACTGATAAAAAAAATCTACCTATTCTATCTATTTTGTACGAGAAAGATTACCAGGCTATTTATGAATATATTTAATTAGATGACATAACCCACACTGAATTAAGACTACACATTCACACAACAGTGAAGTAATTTTAACTTGTTCATATATATTATGGGGAACCATGGAAATGTCTTCCGTTGGAAAGACCTGACAAATCAAAAGAACATTTTTTCTCCTTGTAAGTTTCTGTATCTGGGAATCCTGAGGACTGAATGGACACTCTCCACAGGCTACTCAAGCAGTCCATACTGGGCTACATGAAGCCTGTTTGCCTTTCATTTTGAGAAATGGTCTCACTAAGCTATCCAGCTGTAGCTGGGCTGGGCCCTGAATTCTCCATCTCCCTGCCTCAGCCAAACTAGACCTGTCAACATTTATGCATTAATTTAAAGACCAATCTTTGGACAACTTAGCGATGAAGAGAGAGTGGAAGATGGCAGGCTCCTCACCGTGAATATACTTCACCACGTTGACGCTCAGCCCGTGGCGGGAGATGGTCATGAGGACCTCCCCGGCACTCTTCCTCCAGGGCAGGTTATAGGGGGGGCACCAAGAGGTTATTGCACTGAACAAGAGCTGCAGGTCATCCTTCTGGGCCAGCTCCTCCGCCGGAGAAACGAAACTGCAGAGCTTTACTAAGATCTGGATGGAAAGGGAACGAGAGAGCGTGGTACACAGATGGCCACGGGAAGACAGGACTAGAAAACAATGACCCAAACTTCACTCAAGCTTCCCAGCGGGTACTGGGCAGTCAGTAAACTCCTGAGGACCGTTGCTCTTAGGAACATTAGAAAGATATGCAGGGGTTAGGTATGGGTTAAAGACAGATTACTTAAAAAAAACTATTCACCATCCGTTCTTCCTTCTATCTTTGACTAACTGAGCTGGAAACTGGATAACACAGCACTGCTGACTACTTTTCAGGTTCAGGACTTCAATTTTCTTATTTTCTCTTTCGTTTTTAATTTTTTGGGGGGAAGGGGGTTGAAACAGGGTTCTCTATGAATCTCTGGCAAGCCTGGAACTCACAGAAATCCTCCTGCCTCTGCCTCCCCAGTGCTGGAATTAAAGCTGTATACTACCACAACTGGTCACTTTAACTTTCTTATTTAGTGCTTCAGTTCTTTATTTGCACTGATGAAATATAAATACAGTTTTCTTCTTACAAAAGCATAGCACAACTGACAAATTAAATAGTTATTTATCAAAGCGAGTTTTAAATTGTTTCCATTTTATGTACAAGTAGGAGGAAATGCCTGAATAGTATAAATCATCATAATTTGAAAATACCTTCTAATTACATCTAATTCACGGAAACTTCCTGAAGCTTGGTTTTCAGTGAAGACTCTAGACCCGGACTGTGACCTGCAAGCCCACTGTAGCTCGGTGCTTTGCTGCGCTGCAGCCTAGTCCACTGAGAAGTCCAAATAGATCTTGTTCAACGGTCTCTCCCTTTGATCTAAGCTCAGTGTCAGGGTCAGTCAACTTCTCTGTGCTGAACATTTTATGAGATATACAATACCATGGAATCATTCATAAAAATGTCTTCATGAACTGTGGGTATCTTAACACCAGTAAGAACATTGCAAAATGAACTAAAGAAACAAAGTATGTGAAATACCACACCCTGCCTGCAAAGCGAGGTCCTCCTTGTCCTACTCAAGGTCAAACCTTCTTAAATAGCAAAGGCTTCCCACTCCTAGTTCATACCTGCCAACCTACAGAGAAGGTCTGAGGATTGAGATGGTAAAAGGCTCATATGGTTAGCAAACACAGGCACCTTCTCCACAAAAGACCTGGAAGACCTCACCACTGATGCATGCATTGTCTTTTGCCCAAGCAAACGCAGCAAGGCTAAGCTGATAAAGGGAAGCTGACAGCTCTGTTAGAGTCTGCTTGTGATACTGCCTGATGCCATTAGAAGAGATGTCATTTTTCTAATTCAAAACAGAAAACAAACAAAATAGTAAAAAGTAGGAAATACAATCCAAACCAACTCCTTTCTCACAAAGTCACCTAGATTTAATGATTCCTTCACTGCTAATATAGTGATAACCCTACAATGACTGACTCTCAACTTTACTGCAAAATGGCTTTTGTAAATCATTTAGCCAGATCTTTTCCCTTGGGGCTGGAAGCGTAGTATACTGCTGCTCTCTCCTCTCCCCTACAGTGCTTCTACTCTAGGGAAACATTACAAAGGCCAAGTAAGGAGAGGAAGAACCATTCACCAGCAGATAGTGAATGCCTGCTAAGGTTCCAGAAAACCATCTATCGTTCAATACAAGCATGGAGATCTCATCTAGCTTGAAACATTTAATAAGCTTGTCTTAATTTGTTTCCTGAACGAAAGAATGAGGCAGGAAAACAAAGGTACTGAAACAGTGGAGGAGTGCTGGGCTGGGCTGTGGGCTACACACACGACGTCAGTTTCCCACAATGCAAAGGGGTGTTTGAAGCTTTACTTCCCTTAGCATCTTAACAGTCAACAACTGCAGTGTATTAACAAGAGTCCCACCATATTTCTTTTCAATGTCTTAAAGAAACAGAGAACTGTGCCTGCTTAGATGATAGCAGCTTTCACTTAGTTACTATTTTTTTTTAATGAAAAATGTCATTGAAATGGGGTCACCAGTCTGTCAATATTAACCCACTACACCCATCGGCAAGACCTCGCAGGATCTTTAATTCTCATGTGACACATTCCTTCACTTAATCCTACAGTTTTGTTCATCTGCCAATTGCCAATATAATCACGTTGGTGAAAAACAAAAGCTCTGAGGCTAAATGTTGTTTCTCAAGTTACATGGGATGAAGCGGCAGTTTAGTACAAAAATATACGAGGAGTCAAGTGCTCAAGAACTGCTGTTTTGTTTTGTTTTTTAATGTAGGGCTTCATGTAACCCAAGATGGCTTGGCAGCAGGGGTGATCTTGAAGACCTCATCCTATCCCTCCTTCATGCTAGGGTCACAGGCATATGCCACCACCCTAGTTAATGCAGTGCTGGGGACTGATCAGGACTTCTATCTGCCAGACAAACACTTGTGACCAACTAAGCTACATCTCCAGGCCTCCAAATATTTATTGAGACGGTACTTTCTTCGGTGATCCAAGTCTATTATCATTGTGTTGGTGTCCCAGTCTCCAGCCCTGAAGCAGCAGCACCCTTTCCAAGACAACCATCTTGCAGGGAACTCACACCAGAGGCGCACAGACCACCAGCATCGGCACCCATGCTGTCCCACCCAGCACAGCCCCACTGTCCTATCTCGTCTCTCGCTGCTCTCAAGGCAACAGCAGCAAGTTGCTATTTAAAGTCTGGTCTGTGCTGAGCAGAGAACTAAGTTTCAAAACTGAAAAATTTTTAGACACACACTTCACTTTGTAGGTGAGGAATCTATATCCTTACTTACATACCTTCAGAAACCTAGATTCAAAGGTATTATCATTAGCGTACTATTTATTGAAGTTTTTAGAAACTTCATCAAATTCATCAAGTGATGTCTGCAGTGTTAGCTATACGCTCTGCTATGCAATAGACCTCTAGAACTTTCTAATCTTACAATGCTGGAATCTTATCCCTAGAGCCCAGTGAACAACAATCCCTTTCCTAGCGTTGCCTCTCTTCTCTACCACTCTTCCTCTTCTAATTGTCTGAACATTGTAGATGCCTCACACAAGTGCTATCCATTCGGCATTCGTCTTTTTGAGTTAAAAGTGTTTTTTTGTTTTTGTTCCTAATTATATTAGGTCCACAGTCAGACTAACTTCTATATGTTCGTAGGCTGCTTGTTTAAAAATGTTTCTCCCACAGATGAACACTATACATGTACATGAGGGTGCTTTGAAAGGGTCTTTTACCTTTATTTACTCGCAGTGCTATAAAAGAACAGTAGTAGTGATGGGAAGGAAATTTCTAAAGTGCAGAGGAGGTGGCGGCAGCCAGTGGGGGGTGATAGTAGACACCAGGAGGTCACAGTAGACAGACAGGAGGAGGTGGCAGTGAACAGTAGGAGGCAGCAGTAGCCAGTAAGAGGAAGGAGAAGACAGACAGGAGGAGGAGGCAGTAGCCAGTAGGAGGTTAGTGTAGACAGTAGGGGGTGGCAGTAGACACACAGGAGAAGATGGCAGTAGACAGTAATAGGCATTGGTATTAAGAAGGTGGCAGTAGACAGTAGGAGGGGGCAATAGCCAGTATAATTGATTATGTTTTTCTACGTTTAATGTTTACAAGCTTGGCAATTCATATATATATATATATATATGTGTGTGTGTGTGTGTGTGTGTGTATATATATATATATAAATTACATAGACTTTCTTGCCATTATAAGACATATTTCCCAAATCTTAATATGATAAACTCAGCAAAAATATTATTCCTTAGCAATTTAATTTTAGAGACGCTATTGATACCTCAAACATAATTTAACAACTGGACTTGTTTATAGAAACAAATGCACTAACACCCCCTTCAAACATCCCTGGGAAAGTAACCCATATTCCTTCTACATTTACAGGAACACGCAATTATGAGGAAAAAGCCGTGCCACAATAAACAGAACAAAATGCTATGAGAAGTGAAACACCACCACGTATATGATGGGGGTGTATCCCTAAAATCCCAGCACTTGGGAGGCCAAGGCAAGAGGCTGTGGTTTGAGGTCAGCCTGGCCCACAGTGAAAACTTGTGCTAAAACAAATAGAACAAGACAAAGTAGACCAGATGGGACATCTACGTAAGAAATACTCATTGTAGTCAAGATAGTTACAGAAACCCCTGTAGTAGCATCTCACCTTGCCAGTGAATTTGTGTTAGTGACCACACCCCTTTGGGCGTGGTTCCAAGTGTGGATGTGACTGCTGGAAGGTGAGGGGGAGTAGGGGGAAGGAAGTGCACTCCTGCTTGGGTGGAGGAGAGCACCAGAAGGGCAGAGACTGCATCTTCTGGAGCAGGAATGCCGCGGTGGTTCTTTACCAGCATCTGTGTAAGCGTTCCCCAATAAAGTGCCCATTTATCATTTATCTCGGGTCTAGTGATTGGCGCCCCCCCATGTAAGGAGTCTTCTTACCTGCACAAAGACTTTCTGGAGGAGTCCTCGGCGCTCTGCTAGAGGTAGCTCATTCTGTGCACCTCCACCTGCCTCAGGCACATGTGGAAGGTCGAAGAACAGATACAGACATTTAACCAGGGTGGAAGGCACTGACATCGTTGTCATGCAGTCCACTGTTTTCTGGAAGACAAACCAACCGAGGTGAGTAGAGAGATAACTGCCATGGGGAGAACTGAGGTATTCTCAAAGATGAGCTGGAGGGCGACAGGCACGCCAAGCTCACACTTCCTACTGAGAAACAGTCAATTTGCCATTTGGGCCAATTTGCTTTAATCAAATGTTGAGACTGGTTTGCTGGTCATGCAGTGAGTTACTTATTAAATATGATACTTATTTATTAAGCAGCTTGTTTCACAGAACATGAACTTTAGGAATTTAAGTAAAACATACTTAATTACCACGAATGGTAAAACTACTTCATCTCTTGGGCCTTCTCTGTCTGTCTGTCTATCTGTCTGTCTGTCTGTCTGTCTCACACACACACACACACACACACACACACACAAATGAACTGAACTGTGCATACACCTCAGGATAAATATGATAGCTAAAATAACAATAAATATTTAAAAAGGTAAGTTGGAGGCATAGGCTGCAATCCTTGCTGTCTAGGAGACAGGAGGATCCCAAGGTCAAACATTATCTGAACAGCAAGGTAACCTTGAGGCCAGGCTAGTCAATTTACTGAGAGTCTGTCTCAAAAGAAAAACTAGAACAAGGGCTGGAGATAACCTTCGGGGTAGAACTGTTTCCTTGAAGACAGGAGGCCCTGAGTCAAATCCCAACACCAAAGAAATAAAATAATCAATCAGTAAACAAACTTATTAACCACTAAATTGTGTGCTAACATCTGATTTACTACCATGTTTCCTATTGTTATTCCTTTCGGATGTTCTTGGGTGGAAAAGACATCTTGGGACAGAAATGATGATCTGCATCATTTTCAAAGACTTATAAGAGGAAATCAGTGATAATCTTTTAGGAATCATACTAAGAAGTATACAATTACCAAAGAGTCCATGGTGCAGTGTGGCATAAAGTTATACTACAACAGGAGCAGGCAATATCCTTCAGTTCACTTATTTTCTTTCCCATTAAACATATTTATTGAGTATCTGTGGCAGAGGTTCTTAACCTATGGGTCACGACCCCATTGAAAATCAAATGACCCTTTCACAGGGGTTGCCAAAGACCTTCAGAAAACACAGATATTTGCATTATGATTCATAAGAGTAGCAAAATTACTGTAATGAAGTAGCAAAGAAAATAATTTCATGGTTGGGGGTCACCACAACATGAGTTATGAAGGTTTAGAACCACTGGGCTAGGGTGTGTGAGACAGTACACAGAAAGCCACATACAAGACTAGGAATCCCTCCCTTTCAAAGGTCCATACGCTATAACCATTAATAGATCTACAGGACCATACACTATGACTGTTAATAGACCTATAGGACCATAAGCTATAACCATGAACAGACCTACAGGACAATATGCTATAACTGTTAACAGACCTATAGGACCATGTGCTATAACTGTTAACAGACCTATAGAAACATAAGCTGTAACCTTGAACAGACCTATAGGACCATGAGCTATAACCATTAACAGACCTATAAGTAACTCTGATTTAAACTCCTCCTGACAATGGCAGTACATACAACCTCATATGAGCAGGAATGATCAACCATGTCTGAAATGACACAGATAATTACAAACAGGTTTTTTTTTTTTTTGAGACAGGGTTAAGTAAGTTAGGGAAACACCACCTGAAGACATGGTAGCCTATTTGAAGAACTAGAGTCCAAAAATGGCAGGAGCTTAAAAGCCACAATAACGATGACTTTCTAACTAGTGTCCTCTGAACAATAGGTTCACAGGGTATGCCATTTATACCTGGACTCAACACTTCATAGACCTCACAAAGAACAACCGAGGCTCATCATTGGCATACCGCCACTGACACCCTGGTCTAGGTGGGGAGCTAGTTGAGTGTGGAGGGCTAGTTGAGCATGCTCAATGATCCATGGCCTCACGCTCTAGTTTTTTTTTTTTTTTTTTTTTTTTTTAGACTGGGTGGCGGACACCCAATGAAGTATTACCAACAGAACAGAACAGAAACTGAATTCAGAGCATTAGCCTATAGCAGCACAGATCATAAACTAGCAGAGGCAGCCAGGGGTGAGCGGACAGGGAAACCAATACAGGAAGCCACAGGAGTGATGAAATGATAGGACACAGTCGTGGGAGATGGAGAGGAGGGAAAGCTTCAAGAACAATGCCTTGAAGCTCTGGCCCACTCCTACACAGACTTCACCATTCCCTGCAAACCCTCTGCTCTACTCGGCGGTGGGTTACTGCTTCTCAACACCCATGCTACCATGCATCAACACCCCATGCCACCATGCATTTAGTATGTAGTTAAGCTGTCATTTCTCCAATTTCCCCAAATGTCATTTTTTTTCTCTAATGCTCAACCACTGGCATTTTTATTGCCGAGGGGCTGCACGTGGCTCATCACTGTATTTCACGACACTGTATTTTCTCTCTACATGTAGAGTTAGGACTATCTGGGTATCATGCTGGTGCCAGCAGAAAAACGGCACTCAAACAAAAACAGCAGCTCAAGGCATAATTCTGAATTTGCTTTTTAAATACATCATTTTCCAGTCAAATTATCACTAGCTTTCCCTTCCCATTATGCAAAGCAATATGGCTTTTCTTTTTCATCTTATTACTGGTAGATTTAAAGTATGACTTGGCATCCAAACTGTATCTCGCATTTGTCATCGTTTTAAGTGAGTAAGGTGCCACTAGTCTCTTTTTGTTTTTTCAAACTTGGTTTCATTACAGAGCCCAGGTTGGCCTCTAACTCGTTGTCTAGCCTAGGCTGGCCTCACACTTTTCCATCTTCCTGCCTCAGCCTCCTGACTGTAGGTGCTGGGCACCATGCCAGGCTCTTTTCTTGTTTGAAAAGCTGTTTATCCATTCATGGAGTTGAAGTTCATCTGCATTCAGTGAGTTTCTATCGTGTTAGGCATTACTGTAGGGCAGCCCACTCACAGTAAGGAGATCTTAAGCCCTTACAAAAAATCTTAGTAACATTCAGGAGCATTTCAGTTAAAACCTAATACACAAAAGTATTGATAGCAATTATTTCATTTAATGTTAACATTTGAATAGCACCTAACGATAAGGCACTTTAAATCAGGTTTTGGTACTATGGTATAGAGGCATTTGCAGGTATCGCCAATGGCAGGTAGAGTTGGGGATTTTGCTAACTCTCTGGTACAGTCACAGACCCGGAAACAGTGGTCTCTGCTAGGATCACCTGAAAGGCATGTAGGGTAACTGGCCACCTCTCCTGGCCTGGGATTCAGGGGACGTCTGGGATGCAGCACTTTCTATGCTGATGTGTAAACAGCTCAAGTTCTGAAAATCAGGATATGTTGGTCTGGCAGGTTCTCGAAGCGCAATGAGTGATGCAGACAACCCAGTGAGCTACCAAGAACATGGTGCAGACAGACAACCCAGTGAGCTACCAAGAACACAGTGCAGACAACCCAGTGAGCTACCAAGAACACAGTGCAGACAACCCAGTGAGCTACCAAGAACACAGTGCAGACAACCCAGTGAGCTACCAAGAACACAGTGCAGACAATCCAGTGAGCTACCATCAAGAACACAGTGCAGACAACCCAGTGAGCTACCATCAACACAGTGCAGACAACCCAGTGCGCTACCAAGAACACAGTGCAGACAACCCAGTGAGCTATCATCAACACAGTGCAGACAACCCAGTGAGCTACCAAGAACACAGTGCAGACAACCCAGTGAGCTACCAAGAACACAGTGCAGACAACCCAGTGAGCTACCAAGAACACAGTGCAGACAACCCAGTGAGCTACCAAGAACACGGGCTGTTCTGAGGAAAATGTCAAAGTGGTAGGCTGGTGAACACTTTAAGAGTACACTTGCCAAAGTTTCTGCCGTGACCTGTAAATTGCCACTGTTTATGATGTTGGGATTTTCTAAGTCCATTGAGTTTAGATAACAGATACCCAACACTAGTTTTCCTTCTAATAGGTAATTATACTCCAGATTTTAGAAAACTGAAAAAACCTTCACAACCCAAGAATGTCAAAGGACAAAAATGAGCTCTCCAAATGGCTCACTCATGAGGACATTCAACATGTCTCAGATTAGACACTTAAAGTCGAGTTGGGAGAAATAAAGAACAGCCTCACTAAAAAATCAGGTGAAAACATACATCATTCTGAAACACAAGATGTCACTATTCCACGCTTTTTGTAAAATTCAGTACTCTAAATATCCGTGTCATTTATTCATTAGCTCAAGACATTACATGAGAACATTTTCCAAACCACAACTTTTCAAGTGTGAGTCACACATGTGTTGGCTATGCCCACCGCTGGCTAGTTTCCTCTGGCCACCAGTGGTCCATCGTGTTGCCTACTATGCTTCATAATGGTATATTTGTGTGTGTATAACACGGCGAAGATGGAAACACTGCTTGCGCCATGTGTTTCCTCATGAGAAAAACAGAAACAAGAGGCTGCATCTCAGAGCTGTCGTGAGAAACACGGCAGCACAATCTGTAGGATAGAAATGATTACTATAACATCAAAATCCTGGATGGGACACTGAGGGTTCCATTAGCAAACACGGGGAACATGGCACACTCACCTGACCAGAGGATGCCAACAGGTTAATTGTTGTTAGGAGCATCCAGCCTCTACTGGCTTCTTCGCTCTGATTGATCTCCAGGAACTGGACGATGGCCCGACTTGCAGCCTCTATAAAACCAAACGGAAGCCAGTGAACAGGGAGAAATCACTTCTCAACTTAAAAAAGTCCCTAAAACATACCAGGGAAAAGGTCATTTCTTAAGCACACATTTTATGCCACTATTATTTTGTACACTATGAAAAAAATTAAAATGTAATCTTCTAATGAATATTTGTATATGTATACATACACAATTATGAAAGAAGGCAAGCTAAGGGCTGTAGTTGATCTTGGTAAGAGAGAATATAGAGAAAATACTACTGAAGACTATTAACCTAGTAGCGCTGTGTGCAACACACTGTGAGTCCAGAGAGAAGGGCAGAAAGAAGGTAAAAGATGTTGCCGGGGCCCACGACACCCACCAGGACTACTTGAGAGGCTAGCCTGGGGACATAGGAACAGTAAAGTCTAGGAGCAGCATGCACAGAACGGTAGAATTAGAAGAGTATCTGAAAGTCAGTTTAGTTGAGCATGACTTCAGACAAGTAGAAATAAGACTGGCAAGCAGGCTCAGCAGGTGAGGATGCCTGTCAACAGAAACGATGACCTGGATTCAATCAGCAGGACCCACACAGTGGAAGGAGATAAGTGACTCGCACAAGTTGTCCCCTAATGTCTACCTGTGTACTGTGGGCCCTGCATAATACATAAGAAATAAGTACATTTTAAAGCACTTTAGGAGAGCAATGAAAATGGAGAAATCTCTAGACATCCACTTAATTTTATCAGCAGATTGCAAATTTTAAGATCCGCATGAGGAAGAACTGTTAGAAGTTCCCAATGGCTCCTGATGAACTGGGCAACACGTCAGAAAGCCCCTCCCACTTCCTGAGGAAGCAGGAAGCACTAAAGCTTGGCTGCTAGGAGGTGTACTATGCTTCTTCAGGGTTACACAGCCTAACATGTTTGCTTAGATAGCTCAGCTCAAGTCTTATATATGTTGCTGCTCTGGACATCTTAATGCACTTGTCCTTGAAATATTTTAACAGGAAACATTAAATCACTTGTTTTCTACTGAGTATGAGCTGTATCGGGCAGTGTTTTCAGTGCCCATGTTTTAGCTTATTTGGGTTTTATAGAACTAGATGAGTTACTTCCTATTAATAAGCCCCTCTGGTAAAAACTGAAAATTAGGAGAAGATAAGTAATTTGCCAACAGTGAACTCATATTTAAATCCAAGCTGTCTAGTCTGTAAGAAATGGGGGTGGAGGGAAGGGAGGAAGGAGGAAGGAGGGAGGAGGGAGAACTGGAGAGTTCAGCTGCAGTCACTTATGCAAACAGAAGGGCCTGAGTGTGGCCTCCAGAATCCATGAGACAAGCAAATAATCAAAGTGTGTATGATGCTGTCCTCTGGACACGGCACTGGGATCATAAACTTAACTAATCAGCTTCAGTTACCTGTACAAGACCTGGATAAGAGTGGGGCTTTCAACATTTATGGGAAGGAGAGAGGCCCTACCGTTACCTAGGAGACAGTGAAGGTGGCTGGGGTAAGGGGTGTCATTTTCTTCACCAGCAAATGCACTGCCGAGCTGCCTTTTCACTCGAAAACAACCTCCTGTCTGTGCTCAAGCAAGCAAGCCAGTGCAGTCCAGCAGGTCAGAAACAACAGGCAAGAACGCAGCAGAGGGCTGGCTGGGTAGGAGGGTCTCAGTGAGAGAAGAAAGGGAAGAGAGGGGAATGGGAAGTGGGAAGGACTAAAATTCATTATGTGCAAGTAAAAGATTGTCAAAGAACTAAAAAGAATTAAAGCTAGGCTTGCAATCTCAGCGCTGGGAAGTGGAGCCGGGCAGGTTCTCGGGGCTCACTAGTCAGTCGGTCCAGCCGAATGTGAGACTCAGGCCACTGAGAGACTGAGAGTCCTGGACCAAAAGTAAAAAAGAGGGCAATTCCTGAAGAACAAGCTGCGGGCTGAGAGAAACCTAATACTTGTGACGTCACAGGTGGTCCACCGGTGACTATATTCCTACGCTTACGTGCAATCCCTGGCCTTCTCCGGAGAACAAGGACGACAGGAACAGATTCCTTGCTCAGCCTTGTCCACTTGTGATACTGACCAAGCACAGTATGACACTAGGGGCACTCAGTCAGTACCTGACGAAGGGGCAGTCAGACCAGAACATAAGAAAAATGTCATACAATGCCACTAAGATCTAACTTACTATGGGCAGCAGGGATTCTGTAACAGTTAGGAAAGGGAAGCAATGAGAGCAATGTTTGCAGCTTGTAAATTTGTGACGATCTTATTACAGAGAAAAGGACAAAAAATCACTCAGCAATCTACTTTGGCAACTGTAGTCTGAGAACACCAGTATACATTGAACTAAACTAGTTCTTGCAAGGCGACAAAGAAGCCAACTGACGGGATAAGAACCCCACGCTGAGGAGAGGCAGCAGTCTGAGGCTTGGTGGAAAGCTCATGGATCAGCCCTTTCGGCCTGTGATAGAGGCAAGAGCTAGTGGCTTAGCTGCTTTGCTTTTCTGAAGCAAACCCCCAATATCAGTCTCTTGATATTGAGCTTGAACCCCAATATCAGTCTCTGGGTCTTTTATTTTTCGTATTACAATCTACCTCTTCCCTTGGGAGTAATTAAACAGGTACACAGTAGCCATGTCCCCAGGTAGCTGAAACTCTTGACCAAAGCAGACCAAACATCTTCTTCATAATTGGGCAACTTTATTTTAAACTATGCACCTCAAGTCTCACAATACAACATCTTTGGGACATGACTTGCACTTTACATATTGAGTGTGTCTAGTTACCTAATATATTTACACACTACTTAATAATAAACACTGGTTATGAACAGACTTGGTTACTGTGTCCTATATTACTCACAGAGGAGGAAAGATAAGATTTTTAAAGAACTAAATCAGCTTTAAAACCCAAAGCATTGACGGTTTCCTGGCAGACAGGGACAGAATTGAGAGATACACACAGACTTTGGGTACATTTGCAATGGCCACGATTAATTTTAGAAGAAAACGTAAGATATGCTTTCTTTTCACTACTATTCAAAACTGTCAGCTATTAATAAGGGTGCTAAACCAAACATCAAAGTGTATTCTTGAATTTAAACTATTAATAATTTTGCTTTATACTTATCTGTACAATGATAAGCATTTATACTTGAAAGGGGTGTGCAGTTTACTTTGTTTTGCCTTTACTATTATTATGACTATGGTGTGTGTATTTCAAGTGTGCAAGGGCTTACCCAGCATGAGCAAGAAGCTAGAGGATAACTTTGGGGAGTTGGTTCCCTTCATCCAGCACAGGTTCCAAGCACTGACCGTATGTCAGGTTCTCGTCAACTAAGCCATCTTCTTGGCCCTGTTTGTCTTGTTTTTGAGACAGATTCCCATGCAACCTAGACTAACCTCACCTTCTCCTTCTGCTCTGACCCCTCTGCCATGCCTGGCAATGGTGTGTTTTTTATATACTCTGTCTGACAGTGAACATTAAGAGGTTCTTCATCATTTAAAAGGGCGAGGGGCTCAGGGACAGGCATTGTCCTAATAAACATGACTGCATGTTCTGAGGGTCAGTATGCCAAATAAATAAAAAGTGAAAATAAACCAAAAAGAACGAAGTCAGTAGAATACTTCACAGTGCCTTTTGAACATCTTTGTTTCACACTTACTCTTTGAAGAGGTAGGAAAGACCTAAGCATGGACAGTATGAGTCAATCAATACCTGGCTTTGAATTATATACCTGAACAGATTAAAAGGACTAGATACATTTGTGGCTGGATGATATGTGGGAAGCTCCAAACTTTGCTGATAAAATGAATTATCAGGGCTGAAGAGAGAGCTTGGCAGTTAACTGCATACACTGCTTTGCTCTTGTAGGTCCTGCATTCAGTTCCCAGCCTCTACCTCACACGGCTCACAACTACCCATGACTCCAGTCTAGATGCTTCTTCTGGTCTCCAAAGGCTTCAACACTGACATGTACATAAACCCCCCATACACACACACACACACACACACACACACACACACACACACACACACACACACACACACACAATTAAAAATAATAAATCTTATACAACAACAACAAATTATATCCTCATACCCACAAATAAACACAGAGGAACTGTTGGATTTCACCTTCTGATTTCAATACAGTCTTTTCCCATCAAGCAAAGGGAACCTCCACTTATTTAAGTAAAGAAGAAGCTCATGCAAACAAACACTTCGTTTGTAGCATCTTTATGCCTTTTTGTCTGGGCTGAGGGTGTGGAAAAGTAAACCCCTTACTTCTAGACACCAACACTGTGTGAGGGTCTTCTAACTGCGGTAACATTTAACAAATCTAAGTTGAATGTTGACTTAAGAGTTCTAGAGTTAATGCAAGCACATGTTAACTAACTCATCTCTAGGGCTACAACATGTGACGTAAGTCTCAACTTTTCCACTGCATATCAAGATAAACACTTAGAGGGAAAAGATGAAGTCAGTACAGATTGAATTAGATTAAATACACAAAAAATGTACACAGCCTTAAGAGTGATGTTAAGTTCCTGTCACACACAGAAAAATGACACGTGAGTTCCAGAAGAAACATTTAGAGTAACTGAGACACGAAGTGTGTTGACGACAAACATGAAGTCCACTGAAACATATAAACTTCAGTCTGATTGCCAGTAGTATTATTACATTCATTTTATTAATGAAGAAACAAAGCCCTAAATAACCCTGGCCCTGAAAAAAGCAATCTGTAAACTTAGCTGGAAAACGGCATTAAAATTCATAGCCTCCATGCTTGCTTTTTATCTACCACATGTGCACACCTTGGGGACGGAATTACCTGAAGGTGTTACGGCTCTGAAATCCTTGGAGGGCAGCACAACACACTGTTTTTCTGTTTGGAAAGAAAGGCTGGGTTGTCTAATTGGGGATTCACTACAAGACACAAACCCTGCCACTGGAGGACTGTGACAATCACCAGCCTCTCTATCGCTGGCATGGTGCCACTGGGAACTGTAACACTGGGTTTAGCTGTGGCCTCCCGCATATAGTAAAGTCATTCGCAATAAACTGAAGATATTACTATACACAAGCAAGGAAGCAACACACAAACGAGAAACCTCAGAAACTATAAATATGCTTAAAATGTTAAAGCTCAATATTATATAGAGTTACAAAATATGATAACTATATACCTTACAATCCCTTAATAAGAAGATGTCAGCAATGGGAAAATAAATGAATGGCATCCTGAGATTCTCTGTTTTATTCTTGCACTGTCCCATGAGGCTATAAATACTTCAAAATTAAAACCTAAAATATTTGCATAACTATTACTATAACTAAGAGTGAGATATACTCTGCTTGAGACATCTGTCTTCCCACCAAAAAGATTGTCTTACGTGTATAAAATCTTAAAGGGAGTTAGGAAAACAAATTTGTAGTACAGCAAACTGTCCTTCCACAGACAGTTCAGGTATTCAAAGGATAGCAACAATGACATGAGGGAAGCTGGTGAAAATAAAGTCTTGGCATTGTTTTCTAAATTCAGGTGTCATTCAAGAAAGAAAATGCAATGACAGAACTTTCCCTTCCCGCCATCTGTCTAAAGCCACACAAATCTCATATAACAAATCTTTACTTCCAAAAAAATAACTTGGTCAGAAGTGTGCACTAAAAGAGGGTTTGATCCCACCCTGGGTGCAGGAGAGAATGAGGTCAGACATGGAAACTGATCCTTTCATTAGACGTTTTCAGGTACCAATGTTATCAAAGTCACCTTGGTTTTAAATGCATACATCAGTTCACGTATTGTACCACTCACTTGCATGGACTAAATCCTCATTTAAAGACATTCTATTTACTCCAAAGACTGCATAATGGGCTCGGGTTCAGACAGACATCTCAGATCATGTACTTAAACTCTATTTGCTAAATGCGACTGTTGTGGTCTGAGGTGCCATGCCCACTGCGATGCTACACACAGACGGAGCATCTGGGAGGAAACCAGGGTGAGATTGGGTCCTGAGGATAGTCTCTCACAATGAGATGAGCACACACATTCGAAAAGTCCTGAGGGCAGGCTCATCTTCTCTCTCTCATTTGAGCTCACAATGAGAAGGCAGCTGTCTACACAGAAGAAAACCCACCTGACATCAGGAATGAAGCCCAAGCGTACATACTGAAGGTTCCCAACCTTCCTCCTTTCCCTGGTGCTGACTTCCAAAATACCAAGATAGATACCATGTTTTCTCAGCAGAGTCTGAAAAATTCTCTGGGAAATCCCCTTGATTAAGAGGAAATCCCCGTGATTAAGAGACAACCACCAAGAAGATGGCTCAAGACAAGCTTACTCTGAACTCACGGTGCCAGGTTCTTCCCACAACTGGGACAATGTACTGAAGGGAGGACTGACGCAATCATGCAAGCAGGCTGTCCCTGATGACCCTGCCTCCTCACCCTGGGCACCTACAAAATGCCCTCACTGGCCTAACTCCCATAAATGACTTCAGGTTCCTATTGCAGGGTGAAACACCATGACCAAAAGCAGCTTGACGAGGAAATAGTTTATTTTATCCTACACTTCCAGGTAACAGTCTCTCGCTGGGGGAAGTCAGGGCAGGAACCCAGTGCAGGGAACTGAAGCAGAGCCTTGGAGGATACTCTTCACTGGTGTGCTCAACCTGCTTTCTTTTACACATCCAAGACCATGGGTCTAGGGGTGGCACTGCGTCTAGAGGGTTGAGCCCTCCCACATCCGTCATTAACCAAGAAAATGCCCCCCACGTCAAAATAGTGAGGTCACTTCTCAGTGAGGTTCCTCTTCTCAAATGATGATGGTAGCTTTTGCCAAAATGGAAAAACAACCAACCAGGACAGCCCTTAAATTGCTTATGATATAACACACATGCACACACGGACACACGCATGCACACACGGACACACACATGCACACACCACCCATGGGGCTAAGAAACAAAAGAGTCGTTTGGAAGAATAAAAAATGACTTGATTACAGAAATCATGTACATTTTTTCATCAAGGAAGCTGACATAACCCAGGCTGAGATTTAGACAAACTGAGATAAGGACAGGAATACAACATGGTCATCTCTGCAGCCTGCTTAGCCCATTTTGATCACCATAAAGAAAAGGAAGCTGGATGAAGATGAGCGCACACTTGGCCAGACTTCAGACTGCGGTTTAAGGATTGGTGGAGAATGATAGCGGGGTGGCAGGGGAGGGGTCAGCGGCCTGCAGGGGCAGCTTCAGGCAGACCTGCAATTCTAGCAGTCCCTGGTCAAAGCAGCAGACGACTGTGGCTATGGTGGGGCAGGGACTGAGGCTGAGATCCATGTGCCTGCGGCAGGGCTGCCTCCCACTGTCACTGTCTTCTGCCTTGGTCCCTCCCTGGCTCGCTCGCCTCTGTAAATACCTGTGGATTTGTTTGATGCTCTCCTCCGAATCTCCGTCACCATTAGTCTTGAGACTTGCGTTGTGAACTGCAGAAGGTCAGAAAATTTTTCTGTCATTGTATTTGGTGGAGCGTTTCCAAAAACCTGAAAACGAGAGAAGTATTTAATGAAGTACTGTCCCTTTGCCTGTAAGTGAGAAGCATTTCATGAAAGAGCACATTTGGCCACGTGTCCTTACACATACAAACGAGTGCACTGAGTATACGATTTAGTAAGGAAGCTGAAAACTGCCACTAGCAGACCTCAGAAAACATAACCTACACTGAAAACTTACAGAGAAGTCACAAAGGGGAAGGTTCTTTGTGGGGATCACAGACCCTGGCTGGAAACCCACCCCTCCATCAGCCTGGGAGCAGGCAGCTGTGAGATAATGTTTACTGAAAACAATTCAGTGCTATAAAGCTCTTGATAGGGCTCAGATAAGGGCTTGCTCACTGAAACACCATGACTTTGACACCCCCTACGGCTAGATGCTTCTTCCTGCTCCCTGTGGTCCCCCCCCCATTCTCACTGGGAGAGTTGTGAGAGGTGTGTGAGAGCTGGGTTGGAGAATTGTGTGTGTATGGATGGCAGAAGTCTTTAAAAAAGGGAAGCGGTTTTTCTTGGGGACTTCTCCTAAGCCAACTTGGGGAGCATAAAGTTTTCTTAAAGCAACTGACCGGTCATCTATCCCGACCACCTCGCTACATTCTCGGATGCAGGCTGCTCAGCAGGTGCGACAGTTCTTTGATGGAGGTCAGACACTCCATGGGAAGACAGAGACTGACCTATGCTGGGCTGAATTCATTCCCTTTATGTGATCTTTCAGATGTTTCTAAATTCTAAGCACAATCATTTCTAATATCAGACTGTCATGAAAATGAGAGAGATAAAGGAATGAATGAAGGCTCACAAATAGACTGGCTTTCTTAAAGGCTTAGGACAAATGAACTTTGTAATGAATAATTCTTACAAACTGGTGTGGGCCCAGTAAGAAAGGGCTGAAACAGAGTGGACCGCCGTAAGAAAAGAAATGGTACTTTAGTAGCTATATGGATAGATTTAATTTTTTAAAATGATCTTTGCAACTGAAAGGGAATTCTGTCTTTAAGCTGTCATAACACTTCCCATTGATAATACAATATTCCTATTATTACTATTCAAATGTCACTATAAAGAGAACAAGTATAATTTACCCACTTTCACATTCTTTCCCAAGCTAACATTACACTAAGGCATTTGCAGTAATGCTTCCCAAGGAAGACCGGGTATTTATATGCAGCCTGTTCCTGTAAGCAAATATTACCTGGAGATGGTTAAAGGAACACTAAGGCTAAATGGAAGAATAGTACACACAACTGTACCCCCAGCTCACAGACAGCCCAAAGCCAGTCTGGGCCAAATAGTAAGACACTGTTTCAAAAACAAAAGCAAACAAAAACCAACAGCAAATAAAAAGTAAGAGCAACACAGGAGAACAGTAAACTCAAACTCCCCAAAGTACTCCACATTTTTCCATATTTGGGTCACAAAGTTTGGATCAACTGGTCAAAAGAGAAAAACCTAATCAATAATGCTCCTCCTAGTTGGTCAGCCAGTCTCCCTAAGACATATTTGTCACAGATGTATGCTGTGTGCATGTGGACTTGGACTTCTCAGTATCTGTCAGGCATGAATACTGTGTGCATGTGGACTTCATGGTATCAGTCACACATGTACAAAGTAGACTTCTCACCATACATGTATGTTTTATGTATTCAGACTTTTCGGCATGTCATGTATATATGCTATATGTATATGTAAACTTTTCGGTATTTGTTATACATGTATGCCGTGTGCACGTGGACTCCTTGGTGTCTGTCAGACATGTATGCTGTATGTAGGTAGACTTTTCAGCATCTGTCACACATGTATGTATGTATGTGGACTTCTCAACATCTGTCACACATGTATGGTGTATGCATTTGGACTTCTCACCTTCTCTCACACATGTATGGTGTATGCATTTGGACTTCTCATTAAAACAATAAGACTTTATTTCACATATCCTGGTAAAATATGCAGAAACCCGACAATATCATTTTAAAATGTTTCCTACATCCTTAGAAAGATACTAAGTTGAGAGCAATAAAACAATTTTGCAAAGGTTGCTCTGCTTAAGGGATAATGTGCCCCATCAACTCCACAGCAGGAATTTTTATGCTTTCAAAGAACAAACTGTTTTAAAGCAATTCCTCAATTCTTTCCTGCTACGGTGTTTTAAACTTAGAAAAAGTATTCATATATGAGTGTTTTGCCTGCATATCTGTACATGCATTATGTGTACACACACATGTTTGCCTGGAGCCTGTGAGGCCAGAAAACTGCCCCAGATGCCCTGGAACTGGAGTTAGGGTCTGTTGTTTGCTGCCAAGTGGGACTGGGAACTGAACCTGGGACCTCTGCAAGAGCAGCCAGTGCTCCTAACCACCCAGCCATCAGCCATCTCTCCAGCCCCCGCGCCCACCATGGTTCTTTGATGAAAGTTATTTCCAGCTTAATCTTTCACCTGTTAAATAAGACCCATAGTTCCATCTTTTTGTTTTGTTCTGTTTTGGTGATACTTGAGTCTGAATCCAGGACAGCAGGCAGGCCTGGCAAGTAACTGGGCTGTATCGCCAGCAAGTCCAATATTTCTCAACAAACTTTAAAAAAACATTCAGACACCAACTAATGATGCACACTTGAATATGTAATTGTAAAATGGTGTTTATAAGTATTCCTGAGACATAAATACATTGATATACACTATAATTTGCTTGTAAGAATTAAGTGTTTCATTTATAAGAGCTCTTTCTTCCACAGTGTAAGAATGGAGTGATTCAAGCAGTCTTTATATAAAGAAAATAAAACATTTTGAAGATACATCCAACTTACACAAATTTGAATTTTATTGCTTTATTTCTATCATCATGAAAGTATTATGTTCTAGCTGCTAATCAGAAATGAACATGCATGGCTTCCTCTAAATAAATCATATTTAGCCTAGTGAAACAGTTCTGCCAATTCTTCATTTTCATTCATTTATTCATTTATTTTTTTTCATTCAGAGACTTCCTAATCTCCCTCCCACCCCCTCTCTCTCTCTCACACACACACACAAACTCACACACAGATAGCACATAGACTATAATTTTACAATTCATAGTTTTGCAATTTATGCCTATAATAATCCCATGGACTAGGAGGCCCAAAACTGCCGAGAAATCCTGTCTCAAAACGCTAAGTATTAACCATTAAAATTAGGGGTTCAGCACAGGATTAGACATGTAACTTTGAATGCATGAGTTCTATTCCCAGCACCAAAGATAAATAAAAATATTGAAATTAAAATCAATTTAAGGGGTTAGGGAGATGGCTCAATCAATTAAGAGCACTTGCTGCATTTACAATACAAAGGAACCCTGTCTCGAAAATCCAAAAAAAAAAGGCAAGATTTCCAGGAAGAGAGAACACTGGGAAGAAGGGGGCATAGGCACCAGCTGGACTTGGGGGAAGCATGACATGTAGGAGGTAAGTAACAAGCCACGAGCCACATGACAGCAAGCAAATTAAGAGAAATGGTTTAATTTAAGTTATAGTTAGAAACGTGCCTAAGCTATCAGCCGCACCTTCATAATTTATAAGAAGTCTCGTGTGGTTATTTGGGAGCTGGCAAGTGGGATAGAGAAGGGCTTGCTAGATGGGTGGGAGTGGGTACCCATGGATTTGAGTTCTACCAACACGAGGGGGGGGTGTTAAAATGTTTAGGTTTATCCAGTAAGGAAACACAAACCGTGACTCAACTATCCCACGTGCAGTTTATTGGTGGATGGGGAGGGAAAGGGGGGTGAGAGGTAACCTACCCGTGCAGAGCAGAGAGAGAGATAAGATGAGAGACAGAGACAGACAGAGAGAGATAAGAGAGAGAGAGACACAGAGAGATGAGAGTTAGAGAGTAAGAGAGCAAGAGTAAGAGAGCTTAAAGGGGCAGGGGTCAGTCCTTTAAAGGGGTCCTGGTTCTCACAGAACTCTGGGCTGGCCAGAGTGCTGCCTGAGTGCATCCTGCCAGGTAACAGGGCAGGCCAGTGCAATGCCTGAACCTTTCAGGGTGGGGGGATACTAAACTTCTGATGGTAAAACAATTCATTATAAAGAAGTTAAGGGACTGCATATACCAGCCCTTCTAATCAGCTAATTAAAAACTCGCAATGTGAAAAAAACATTAATAACTAGTTGAAGATACTTCTTTATAACAATACGAACATAAGAAAATTAAACCAAACAGTATAAACAGAGAATACTACTAAAGTGTCCTAGATTCACTTTGAAAACTGGCAAACAACCCACACAAAATGCAAATACTTCTAAGACTCATGGACCAAGACTTACTTCATTGACTACAGGAACTTAACTGTGGGGTGTGTGTGTGTGTGTGTGTGTGTGTGTGTGTGTATTGGGGGTGAGAGGGAGATGCCACAAGCATATGCCAGATATCACTTGACAGTTTACACTAAGAGCTAAGAAACAAGCTGGGCAGGTAGCTCAGGGTAGACCACTTGCCTAGCACACAGAAGGTTGAGTTCCGACCCAAGAACTGCAACAGAAAAGCTGAAAGCAGTTCTTGCAACTGTTCTAGAGAGTCATTGTTCCTTGAGAATGTCCATAGTCTGAGAGAAACAGTTACCTTAAACTAATCAGCAGCCAATGGCTTATTATGAATTTTTTTTAAAAAGCCAACTATGAACAAAAAAACAGCAAGAACATTCTACAACCAGTTCCAATAAAATCTATGACTTTTGTGAACAGGGCTTGAAACGGTGCCTGCTCATAGCCAATTTTAGCTCCTCTTTCAAAAATGGCTGTTTTAAACACTGTTCTGCCTCTCCTCCTGCTGTTATCCTAACATCTCCTCTCCCATCATTCAAGACAGAAAGCAAAAAAGGAGAAAATGTGTATTTCCTGAACTTACTGACATTCTCATTCTCTCTGCGTTCTATCGAGGACAACCCCAATAGATGATGTGTCAGCTAACCCTTCCCATGCACCTTCCACTCCTGCTATTCTTGACAAATTCTAGCAAATCCTCCATCCCCAGACATGAGTAACCTCCTGCGTCCCACAGCAGGGCAATCTAGATAAGACCCAGTTCTGAGGTGCCACCTCTGGTGGGGACACCAGACCTTGAGCAGAGACTAACTTCCCCATCAGCCTGGGAGTAGGCAGCTGTGAAGACAATGTTTACTAAAAACATGTTTACTAAAAACAATACAATGCCCAGGGCAATAAGTTCCTGAAAAAGGCTGGCCCACAGGAACCACCCTGACCTCCACCTTTTCCAAAGACTAAACGCCTCTTCTGACACACCCAAGTCAGTTTCTGGTGTCAGAGAGAACCAGCCAGGGGGGTAAGGAGAGAGCAGAAGCTTTTCTGGAGGGAGGCCTTTCTTGGGAAGTTTTCTTGAGCCTTTTTGGGGCCTGCTTAGTTTTCTCTACACCGTTGAACGAGTCTCTGTGTTGTCAATCCCCGACACCCTCTGCACATTCTCGGACACAGGCTGCGCATCGGGCGCGGCAACCTCCAACATTCCCTATACTCAATGCTGATCAATCGTTATTGCTTCTCCGTCTCCACACTATGGTTCTAAAAGAGTACCTTCCTTAGGTTCCTATTAAGTCTACTTACTCTAGACCTGTAAAGGACACTTCTGCCAATGACAGCAGGAATCTAAGGTCACCGAGCAACACCTTACCCAACACGACCACAGATCTATATTCACACCAGCAAAATCTGTTTCCCACATGAGCTCAGTGACTTTCTCTTGTCCAGAGCTTATTCATCTACCTGTAATTTGACAATATGCTCTTTCCTTTGATCTAATTTTACTGTCCTTGAAAAGTTACAAATTTCTCCCTTCTTGGGCTTCTTCTTTTTTACAGGCAAGCCTGACTCTTTTAAGTCTTCAAAAACAGCGCAAACCTCAGCTACATACAAAACACTAACTCTCCTTATGTGCTGGCTGAGTTTTGCCTTCTTAATCCAAACTATGGTCATCTAGAAAGAGGACACCTCAACCGAGCAACTGCCCCCATCAGAGTGGTCCTGGGCAAGTCTGTGGGCATTTTCTTAATGACTGGCATCAGAGGGCCCAGTCCACTGTGGGTGGTGCCACCCCTGGATGGGTGGTCCCCGACTGTGTAGGGAAGCAGGCTGAGCAAGCCAGTGAGCACCACTGTGGTCCTGTCTCTGTTGCTGTGTGAGTTTCTATGACTTCTCGAAATTACTGGCTGTGGTCTAGACATGCCATCTCTAGCATGACTCGGGAGAGCCCTTGCCAGGCTGCCAGCACCTGTGCTGGCCATACCTCCCAACTTCTTTCTTACTCAAAGTCCCTAACCTCAAGTATTTTGTTATAGTAACACCAGACTAAAACAATGTCTATCAATTTCTTTTGTTCTAATTTCTTTCAAATTTATCAAAGCCTAGTTGATTCTTTCCATGCCCTATTCACTCCTCAACTCACTGTCTCACTAGACTGTCTGATTGGGTTAGCCTGGGTAGTCTCTGGGCACACCTGTGAGGGCTTCTGGTTCCACTTTTCTACACTGGTAATTTCCAGGATATTTTCAATATCTTACCTTTAAATATTAGCACAGACAATTAGGAGAAAAGAATAGCCTGGACAATTTCCAGAAGATATGCCACAGAGAAAATGATACAGATGAAGAGAGACTGGTGAGCCAGGAACTCGGGAGGGAGGGGAAGAGGACAGGAGACAGAGAAAAAGAGATTAAGGAGAGCTAGAGTGAAGGGCGGATGGAAGGAGGGACACAGGGACACCCATTAGAGGGATGGGGACATACAGAGATGGAGTCAGGAGGAAGAAGGCATGGAAAGAGAGGGAGAGAAAAAAGGGGAAAATCCAGAAACGGGGACAAAGAGACAACGGAGGGAAAGAGAAGAGTGGGGATGGAGGAGAAAGAAACTAAAAAAGATTATGACATCAGGGAACAAGTCTAAACTACTGAAGGACAAAGGTGACACTCCCAAAAATTCACCTTTGTATTACTCGGACCCTTCAGCCAGTGGCCAGTCACTGAGAACAGATTAGCCACAGCTATATGGAGACGGGGAGAGTCTGTGGAGTGTGAGGCAGGGGATTGCCTATGTGGTGGTTGGGAGGAACAGGAAGCAAATTCTCACTTGTCAGTAGGAGGAAGTCAGTCAGAAGGACACATGGGAAAAAGCAGTCATAGCTCTGAATTAAATAAACCCTTCTGCCGCAGCCGCATTTGGGACAGCAGCAGAATTTCCAAGTCTGGAGCTTCTACACGTATCTCAAGGCTACACACTACAAACCTTTGATCAATACCAAAAAGGCATCTTAAAAAGCTGCAACAATATCATATATGCAAGAACAGAATACGTGAAAGCGCAGGGTTTCCTTGCATTCGCTGTAGCCAATAACTATCTGCTTAGGGGACTGTCAGAAAGTCAGCTGACCAACGCCAACTGTGACGCCTTTTTTTCTCTGAGATGGCGTCACCATGTAGCCCTGGCAGGCTGCCTGGAACTCACTCTGTAGACTATGCTGGCCTGGAACCCACAGATGTGCCTAGCTCTGCCTCCTGAGTGCCGAGGTTAAAGGCTGAACCACTGCGCCCATATGTGATGACTTGGAAGCATACAAAGCACTTAGCGATCTCACAACAGAATCACACAATGACAACTGACAGTCTTCCCTCTTCTAAAAACTGAGTTAGCGCTTCCCATTGCTACGTCAGGGCTGAAGAGGCCTAAGTCAGCACAATGTACTCGGCTGCCGTTCAACCTCTCTCACTACAGAAATGGAGAGAGAAGCAAAAGTTTTGGGACGTGTCACTGTAGTCCAGGCAGGCCTCAAACCTGCAATCTTCTCAGTTTCCCAGGTGTGGGGAATGCAGTGTGTGCTCACCTGTCCAACAGCAAATTAAAAAACAAAACAAAATGATGCCGTCATTCACCTGTGACTTTCCAACAACCTTAAGATTTCCATGGTACCAGGACTGCATTCGGCCAGTTGGACTTACCCTGTTAAATACCGGCAGCATCATGTACAACTTTTCTTCCTGCTCTTTCTGGGTCATGTGTCTTGGAGGATGGCACAGCTCGGTGAAGAGCCGGCGGAGGTGCATCAGGCCCAAGGCGTTGTCCTGCGGACTGCACTCCTCCTGCCGAGGCCGCCCCATGATCCTCTTCACCATGTTCATCTTGGCTGGTGGGTGACACACACTTCTGTTTCTGCAGGAAAATGTCAAGATACGAACAATCAGCATGTCCCCCCTCCTTGCCTCGGTCAAGTGAGCCTGAGAGAACTTTAAACAGTCCTAAGACTGTCCAGCATCTGTCTGCTTCTTCCAATGCAGAGCTACAGCTAATAAGCCTCCCAGAACAGCCCTACAGACCATGCAACTTCAACCTCCTACTAGTTCCCAGTTTATATAGGATATAATGGGGCAAGGAAAAGCTGCTTGCCATTCATTTAACATCAAGTTAAGTTGTAAGGAAACGTCGTAAGGAAGGGATCACAAACCTTACTACCATGAGGCTTAACAGTCTAGCATATGTAAAAGGAACAGCCAGAAGTGACCCCTACTCTCAAAACATCTACAATAAAATCAGAATGAAGCAGACTCCACAAATTTCCTAGTTTTAATTTTAAAGCACTTTGATGGGAAGGATTTTGATGTGATGAACGGCATGTTAATCTGAAAATACATAAACTAAATGGAATGATATCCCTTATGTGTTATAAATATAAAACAATTGATCACAGAACTAAAGACCACTTTCTCAAACTGTGGTTGTAAACCTTTGTTACATCTTGTTAATTCATTACAGTGATGGACATTTAGCAAAGAAACCCATGAACTGAATGTGGTAAGGATGTCATGTATTTTGGGTGACAATGTATAAGTACATATTGTGCAGTTACATAAAATGCATCCCTCGCTGGACCTGAAGTCAGTGAACTAACCACTGGGTTCAAGTATATGTGGAATCAATCACATGTTCAGAAACTGTCAACAGCCATTTGGTTACTTCTGACTGTGCTGGGAATTAGCCAATCTCAGACACAAAAACAGGAAATCTAACAAAGGACCAGGAAGGCGGGGAGAACATTAAGGATAAGGGCATTCTGGATGAAAAGCAAGTTTGTTTTCAGTCTTTTAGAAAAGTAACCATGGCTTGCTTTTATTTTTGCTGTGGTTATATGAACTACTATACTACCTCTCAAGAAATAAAAAGGTCATGTTTAAGTGGGGAATCTCACCTACTTACTGCAGGTCAGTGACCTTAAGAAAGAGGACCTGAAGCATGTTGTCCTCGAGGATTCTGTGCAGGCTTACACCTGCATGGTCTATCTTCCCTAAGGCAGGAAGGCCTGAGGGGCATCTCCCAGAGGAAAGGACACACCTCCCAGCTGATGGGGCACCTCCCAGATGAGGACCACCTCAATGATGAAGGAGCATCTCCCAGATGAGGAGCAACCACGCTACCTAGAAATATGCCTCTAGTGGTGCATGTATGGGTGTATGAAGTGACTGATGTGAGAATATATCCTCAAGCGACCCACTGTAGCAAAGAATGTTTAGACATACAGACAACACGCCAAAAACATTTAACTAAAAGTAACAAACAAAACTGAGTCCAGTTCAAGGTTGTCCAACATCCTCATTTTTGGAAACTACAACTCAAGTTTGACAAATGCTAATAAAAGGAAATATACTCAAGAAGTCTACTAAAGTGCTAGTATGTTACAGTCTCCAAAATCTCTAAATCAAAAATAAAATTGGAGGTGATAAGTAAGCATTGTACACAGAGCTGCTCACAACTGCCTGTTAACTCCAGTTCGGGTGTCTGGTGCCCTCTTCTGGTCTCTGTAGGCACCTGCGCACACATGGTGTACATAAAAATCACACAGAAGTACACACACATATACAGAAAGATAAATAAATCTTCTAAACAAACAAGCAAACCACAATGAAGCTCCTGTACATCTACACTTTTAGCAAACATTATTACACAATTCAATGTTGCCACTATAGTAACACAGCTGTATATTAAATGTCCAGAGCTTTGCAGCCTTGACCAACCCATGGTGTGCCAACTACTACCCTACTTTCTGACCATGCTGACCTGTCAGGAAACTGGCAACATGCAGTATTTGTGCTTGCAAAGCCACCAGAATTCACAGGTAACATAATATATTCAAGGTTTATTAATATTGTTTGCAAGTGAAAGGGTTTCTGTGTTCTCTGGGACAGAATAATATTCCACTGGGTAGATATACTCATATCATTCTTTTTAATCCATTTATATATTGTCTGAGCTACTGTTCTACTGCTGTGAAGGGACACATGACCGAGGCAACTTATAAAAGAAGGCATTTAATTGGGGGCTTGCTTACAGTTTTATGTAAGCAAGTGTTAATCCATCATCACCATGACAGGGAGCGCAGCAACAGGCAGGGATGGCAGTAGCTAAGAGCTCCTACCTTATCCACTAGATGGAGGCTCAGAGAGAAAGAGACAGACAGACAGAGACTGACTGGGCTTGGCGTAAGCTTTTGAAACCTCAAAGCCCACCCCCAGTGGTACCTTTTCCAACAAGGTCACACTTCTTTGTACTTACTAAACAGTCCACCAACTGAGAATCAAACATTCACATATAGCCTATGGGGGCATTCTCATTCAAGCCTCAATAACATACATCAACAGGCATGTATGTTATTTCTACATCTTGGTTCTTGTGAATGACTCTAAGGCAAGCATGGGAATGGCGCTATCTGAAATCAATTCCATTTCAATGTTTAGAAGAGGACTGATGGATCATTGCACAGTGTTTTAAAGAACCTCTACACTGTTTTCTGTAAAGGCCATAGCAGTGTACATGCCTACTGACATTGTACAAAGGCTGTATCAATGTATATGCCTATGGAAGGTATAAAAAGCCTGTATAAGTGTACATGCCTACCAACAGTGTACACACTGTATAGGTATACACACCTACTGACAGTGTACAAAAGCTTTTTTCCACCTGGCCAATATCTATTATCTTTTGTCTTTCGAGGTAACAGCCAGGTTATTTAACAGGCACAGGAGCAGCTCATGGTTTGGGTTTGCATATCCCTGATGCCAGTGATGTTGAACACACTTTCATATAATCCACACTCAGTGGAATGTTTTCTTCTGAGAATAATTTATCCAGATCATTGACTTAGCTTTTAGTTGGGCTATTTGGGAATTTACTATTAAGTTGTTGGAATCTATTGTATATTTGGGATCTTAACCTCTAACAGATACACATGCTGCAGGCATTTCCTCCTGCCTCTCAGTTGCCTCTTCTTGCCTGTTTGCTTCCTTTGCTGTGTAGAAAGGTTGGCATCTTGCAATCTTACCTGATGCTTTTGTAGGCTATAGTTTCAGTGTCATAGCCAACAATATTATTTCCTAAACCAACAGCAAGAAGATTTCACTTGCTTTTCTCTTGTAGCTTTTGGTTTCTAGTCTGAGCAATTTTACATATATCCTGTAAAGTAAGAGTCTAATTTCAGTTTTCTGCATTTGGGTGCTGTACCTAGTGGTTTTGTGTCAACTTGACACAGCTAGACTCATCAGAGGAAGGAGCCTCAGTTAAGGAAATGCCTCCATGAGATCCAACTATGAGGCATTTTCTCAGTTAGTGATCAATGGAGTCCAGGGCAGCCATGGTGGGTGGTACCATCCCTGGGCTACTGGTCCTGGATTAAGAAAGAAGGCTGAATGAGCCAGGGGAATCAAGCAAGCAGCATCCCTCCATGGCCTCTGCATTAGTGCCTGCCTCCAGGTTCCTGCCAGTTTGAGTTCTTATCCTGACTTCTACCCTAACTAAGACAGGCACCCAGTTTTCCTCCCATTTATTATAAGGGTTGTCTTTGCCCATTTTGTCTTCTTGGTTCATTTGCTGAGTGGAGCTTACTATAAATCCATGGACTTACTTCTTGCTCTCTATTCTCTTCTGTTCCACTGACCTAAACGTGAAAGTTACTATAGACTTGTTACTGTATTTTGGAACCAGGGAGAATGAAGCCTCTAGTTTTATTCTTCTTTCTTCTTCAAGACTTCTATAAATTGTGAATGTCTCTAGGGTCATGGAAATCTTAAGATTTTTGTTTTGTTTTTACTTCAGTTAAGTACAAGTCTTATCATGTTGGACATTAGCCTCCAAGCTCCAGCCTGAATTCGACTTTTAAATGTACGCCATTACCCTCCTGCACTGTTTAGACTTCCAGTGTGTGCTGTCACCCTCACTTGGCGTTGCTACTATTTACTTGGGTTGTTTATTCATTTCTCGTTTTGTGAAGAAAGCCATTTGGCTTTGCATCGGGACTAAACTGATTCTATTGGTGTGTGAATTGTTACATTAATTCAACTAATCCATGAACACAGAATCTACTTTTACCTTGTCTTCTCTACCTCTTAACAGGGCTTAATGATTTTCAGTGTACAAATCTTTTATTTAAGTGTGGTGCTATGAGTTGTAGCATTTTTGCTACTACAGCAATTGTTTCCTCTAGTGAATTCCACTAAGAGTCAATGAATCACTCATATTACCACAGTGGGCAAAATAATGCTGGAGGACAATTCATCTACACTTCTAGCTCTTACTCACATTCTGATCACCGGCTTACCATTACTGCATTCATTTTAGAGTAAACAATTTTTGTTTTGTTTTGTTTTTTCAAGACAGGGTTTCTCTGTGGCTTTGGAGGCTATCCTGGAATTAGCTCTTGTAGACCAGGCTGGTCTCGAACTCACAGAGATCCATCTGCCTCTGCCTCCCGAGTGCTGGGATTAAAGGTGTGTGCCACCAACACCTGACTTAGAGTAAACAATTTATGGAAACTGTGGGCTGAACATTTATTTAGCATGAAGGAATGGTCAGAATCTGAAAACTTTCTTAGGGATAAATTGGTACATTTTCATTTATCTAATTGAAAAATAAGACTACAAAAGTAGTGTATAACTCTTACCCCAGCACCCACAGGCCGGGACAAGAAGATCCTGACAAAAACCAAACACAATATTTCATGCTGAGAAACCAATGGAGTACAGAGCAAGAACCTATATAGCACCATGAGAGTTTAACACTCTTAAACCCTTGGGTCTGAGTTTCTTTTACCTGTGACATCTTTTCTTATGGCCTTTTGGTAAAACACAAGCAACATCATTTATATGATGTGCTAAGTGCATGGTTGA